AGAAAATAAGAACATCAAAAAAGATGTGGAAATGCAATATTTTTCATTCTGTTAAACCCCCGGTAGTTTACAGTTCTGTTAAACTAGAATTCTAGTTCTCACAATTCCTTTCAGATACAGCACACGTTTTCCTCCAACACAAGATATTGCCCACATATTTCTAAATACAAGAAATATAAAGTGTCAATGTTTGGAGATTTTAACATAATTTATATGATTACAAATATAGTAAATACTGCTCTCTAAATACAACAAATTGCAACATTTCTAATTCACTTTAATCAAAAACACATCAGTATACTCTTGACTAAGAAAAAGTGATACGTTTGCAGAACAGAGGGAAAAATACATGATCACTTGTTCCACAATGACCAGCAGTTCATTCAAATATTAGGCAATAGACAGGTTGTCCAAATCCCTTAACTCTAAATCTTTATATGGACATATTCTCAAACAAATATGCATGTTTGCCTGGTGCCAAAAAAAAAAGTGGAAAGAAATTGAGAGACGCACAGTCACATACACACACAAAGATGCACCCATGCTCACGCATAGTAAAATAAAACATACACAGTCACAGGCAGACAGTCACATACACACATACACAACTGACTGATATGTTATCCAGAGTATAGATTTTGCCCCACACAATAGATAACACTTAGTAGATATACCCTTATTGTAATCCATATTTAATAATTGAATAATACTGTAGAAACATGTATCCTTTTATGTATAATGTCATGCCCTCTATGGGATGTTACATTATTTACCATCTTACTACAAGTTAATTTTCTACACTCGTCTTTTCAACATTCTGTTGTGCATGCCTAGCGTAAATTTTTATAATTAATCGTGTATTTTTAACTTACTCGCTATTGCATAACACTGATGCACAATTTTCTAGTGCTAGTGTCATATTCTGTGTTGTTCCATTATAGTGTACCCTGGTTTGGAGCTATATCCCTGATGCTGTTACAGTACCCGGAGTGTGGGTGTTAATAGACTTTCTGTGATTGAAATTTTTTTATATCCTAGAGCATGAGTCATGCATTCTGCACCTATCACTCTGAGCCCTCACGTGTACTCTATATGGGGTTAATAACATTGTTTTTTCGTTGTAAATATGTTGCATATATGTATAGATATATTTTTCTTTTTTGATTTGCTTTGAGTAGTTCACTCTATATCACGTATTTAATAAATGATTCACTTTACCAACAGCTATTGCTGTTTGCAATTCATAATTTCACATGTGATACACATTCCATATGATTCATTGAACCTCGCTTTCATCCTTTCCCCCTCCAATCCACTGTTCACAATGTATATTTAGAGGACTGAAACGTTGACACCATTTACTGGAAATTTGATGCTTTGAATAAACAGCACGATTTGAAATAATTCCGAGTGCTGTGAGTGCACTTCAAACAAGGATTTATATATTTGGAGGTCAAAGTTTGCACCTGGGCAACAGACAAGACCGGGAGCAGTGAGTGCGGGACATTACGTTTATTATATATATATATATATATATATATATATATATATATATTTGTTTTCGGGGCAAATAGCCGTAGATGGAGTAAGGTTCCAGCATAAGCGTAGGATAGTATAAAGGGAGCAAGTCGGTTGTGGCGTGCCGAGACCGACGATACGGTAGGTCTGTAAATAAAGAGGGCCCACCAAGGAGTAAGTAAGTAAAGTAAATGGAAAGAAAAGAGAAAGTGTTGAAATGAGGAGTGGGTGGGAGGGTCCCACAAATACAGGCCAAACGGCCTTAATACATATATATGCATTGTGATAAGGTGAATGGGGTGGTCTGTGAGGGAGTCTATATCTCGACAGAATTGTTCAGAGAGGCATATGATTTTTAACCCAAGGGGGAGTGTATGTTTCTGTGTATGTAACCAGAATGAATATTTAGTTATGGGCCCCTGGGGTGGAGCATTTGGAGAGCAGGGTGGGCCAGTGCTCCACTCCGCAGTTTAGCGGTTTTCTTGGAAGACATAGATCCAGCCCAGGGTTTTGGACTGTCTCCAACCTACTGCTCAGCTGCAGGTAATCGGCTGCAGCAGTGGGAATAAATCCCTCCCTGCTAGGCAGGTAGAGAGACAATGTTTTGTTTCTCTCTGAAAGGCTGGAAGCAGCAGGCTGGCTAAATACTGGAGTGCTGAGAGTGGACAAAGACTCTAGGTTGGTGAAACCAATATTGTTTTGTTTAGTTTAACCCTGAGAGATAGGGAACCTAATGTCAGTTAGTGCTCAGACGAGCTAGGTTTTTGTTTATAAGGTTTTGTGTTACATTTATGTTTTCATTTACTGCTGTATCCTGTGTGGATTTACAAATAAAGTGCCTGGAGTATATGCAATTACAAGGACTGTGCCTATTGTTTACCCTAGAGGACCGTGCTACCTGCAAACAAGGATCACAGCATATATATACTGCTCAAAAAAATAAAGGGAACACTTAAACAACTCCAAGTCAATCACACTTCTGTGAAATCAAACTGTACATGTAGGAAGCAACACTGAGTGACAATCAATTTCACATGCTGTTGTGCAAATGGGATAGACAACAGGTGGAGATTATAGGCAATTAGCAAGACACCCCAATAAAGGACTGGTTCTGCAGGTGGTGACCACAGACCACTTCTCAGTTCCTATGCTTCCTGGCTGATGTTTTGGTCACTTTTGAATGCTGGCGGTGCTTTCACTCTAGTGGTAGCATGAGACAGAGTCTACAACCCACACAAGTGGCTCAAGTAGTGCGGCTCATCCAGGATGGCACATCAATGCAAGCTGTGGCAAGAAGGTTTACTGTGTCTGTCAGCATAGTGTCCAGAGCATGAAGGCGTTACCAGGAGACAGGCCAGTACATCAGGAGACGTGGAGGAGGCCGTAGAAGGGCAACAACCCAGCAGCAGGACCAATACCTCCGCCTTTGTGCAAGGAGGAACAGGAGGCTACAAATGTGAATCTGTCTGCTCAAATGGTCAGAAACAGACTCCATGAGGGTGTTATGAGGGCCCAACGTCCACAGGTGGGGGTTGTGCTTAAAGCCCAACACCGTGCAGGACAGTTGGCATTTGCCAGAGAACACCAAGATTGGCAAATTAGCCACTGGCTCCCTTTGCTCTTCACAGATGAAAGCAGGTTCACACTGAGCACATGTGACAGACGTGACAGAGTCTGGAGACGCCGTGGAGAACGTTGTGCTGCCTGCAACATCCTCCAGCATGACCGGTCTGGCAGTGGGTCAGTAATGGTGTGGAGTGGCATTTCTTTGGGGGGCCGCACAGCCCTCATGTGCTCGCCAGAGGTAGCCTGACCTCAGACCCCTTGTGAGACCATATGCTGGTGTGGTTGGGCCTGGGTTCCTCCTAATGCAAGACAATGCTAGACCTCAGTGGCTGGAGTGTGTCAGCAGTTCCTGAAAGACAAAGGCATTGATGCAATGGACTGGCCCGCCTGTTCCTTAGACATGAATCCAATTGAGCACATCTAGGACATCATTTCTCACTCCATCCACCAATGTCAGGTTGCACCACAGACAGTCCAGGAGTTGGCAGATGCTTTAGTAAGGTCTGGGAGGAGATCCCTCAGGAGACCATCCGCCAACTCATCAGGAGCATGCACAGGCGTTGTAGGGAGGTCATACAGACAAGTGGAGCCACACACACTACTGAGCCTCAGTTTGACTTACTTTAAGGACATTACATCAAAGTTTGATCCACCTGTAGTGTGTTTTTCCACTTTAATTTTGAGTGTGACTCCAAATCCAGACCTCCATGGGTTGGAAAATTTGATTTCCATTTTTTTATTTTTGTGTGATTTTGTTGTCAGCACATTTAACTATGTAAAGAACAAAGTATTTCAGGAGAATATTTAATTCATTCAGATCTAGGATGTGTTATTTTTGGTCTCCCTTTATTTTTTTGAGCAGTGTGTGTGTGTGTGTGTGTGTGTGTGTATATATATATATATATATATATATATATATATATAATAATTCTACAAATATATTTAAGTAATAATTTTACATAATTAGGTCATTATATTAATTACAATTTGCGGGACCTGCCTGACATTACAGGCAGCCCCCTGCTGGCAATGCAGGAGGCAGCTATCCCGGCCATGTGATTGTGAGGTCCTCGCAAGGACCTCACTCTCACATGGCCGGGGGGGCTGCCAGGGGGTCGGTCGTGCCACGGGGGGCTCCCTGGGAGTCCCCTCAACAGCGATCGCCGGCGTGGGATCGCCGGCGACCGGTTAAGTAAAGAAAGACCGGAGGGCGTACTATGACACCCGGCGGCGTTTAGAGCCGCCTAAAATAGGGCGTAATAGTACGCCCTCCGGTCTTAAGGGGTTAAGGGGTTACAAATGATATCCCTGAATATTAGGTGTTTTCAAGTATTCATCCAGTTACTGTTTAGACATCTATACAGACTTTGAGAAAACATATTCTTCGGCAGAGAATTCAAAATCATTGTTGTTCTTACTTTAAAAAAAACATCTCTTTGCCTGAGACTAAATTTCCTTCCTTCGATTCTAACTGTTTGACCTTGTGTCCTATATATAGTCCTGTTTATGAACAGAGTTCAAGACAATGGTTTCTAATGACCCTAAATTTATATTTGTATAATGCTATCATTTGCCCTCTAAGGCACTATTTATCTAAACAGATTTAATTTTATTAATCTTTATTTATAACTAAAATGTTAAATTTTCAGCCTACCACTGCACTTTTTATAGTGCCATAATATCTTTCTTAAGAACAGGTGCCAAAAATTGGACAGCATATTTAAGGTGTGATCTCACTATTGATTTATAAAGAGGCAAAATTGAATTTTTATCCAGAGAACACATTCACACATTATTATGACGATATATTCTAACTATCTCAGTATTTTTATTAATATATAAATGATGATGCCAAGAAGTAGTTCGAAAGTTCATACATTTATTACAGTCTTGTACAAAACATTTAATGAACAGTTTTAGTTTGAAGCAAAGGTGCTCTGGATCCAGGAGTTGTAGTTGCAGACCCTGGCGTAGACTCCGGGGTAGTTCCTCAAAGCACAGCCATATCCCCAGGACACAACACCTTGGAGCTGACCATTACAGACCACGGGGCCACCAGAGTCACCCTGAGGGAAGGAGAGAGAATGTAAAATATTAAAAGTATATAGCTGAAATATGCATTAAATCATAGAAGCTTTAAAGATATAGCCATGGATTTTGAGCTTTATTTCACTTCCTCACTGGAAATATAACATTTTAAACCAAACAGCAATTTTAAGATACATTACCTGGCAGGAATCCTTGCCTCCTTCAACGTAGCCAACACAGATCATGTTAGTGGTGATCTGTCCTGGGTAGGCACTGCTACACTGAGAACTTGTCAGGATGGGTGCGTTCAAACACTGAAGGAGACTTGGATAATTGGCTGAAATAAAATGGAATAAAATTGTTATCTGTTACATATGCTCACTATTTATGAGTTTATTGTAGTATGTTATCTCTGTTAGGTATTGAGCTAAAAAGTTTTGCTAATAAATAATATTTATCTGATTCTTCAGTTGTCCTGAATCTCAATTGACTTATTAATTCACTATTTGCCTCCCACATCATTATCAAACTTTGCTGAAGACCTCAACATTGAAAGACCAGCATGTAATCAAAAAAAATATATCCTGTATATAAAATATTAACTAGAGATATGTAACAGGGTTGATGTTCCAGGAGGGATAAGCCAAATGACAAATGATTTAGGTAAACTAGAAAAATGGTCAGAATTGTGGCAACTGACATTTAATGTGGATAAGTGCAAGATAATGCATCTTGGACGTAAAAACCCAAGGGCAGAGTACAGAATATTTGATAGAGTCCTAACCTCAACATATGAGGAAAGGGATTTAGGGGTGATTATTTCTGATGACTTAAAGGTAGGCAGACAATGTAATAGAGCAGCAGGAAATGCTAGCAGAATGCTTGGTTGTATAGGGAGAGGTATTAGCAGTAGAAAGAGGGAAGTGCTCATGCCATTGTACAGAACACTGGTGAGACCTCACTTGGAGTATTGTACACAGTACTGGAGACCGTATCTTCAGAAGGATATTGATACCTTAGAGAGGGTTCAGAGAAGGGCTCCTAAACTGGTTCATGGATTGCGGGATAAAACTTACCAGGAAAGGTTAAAGGATATTAACATGTATAGCTTGGAGGAAAGACGAGACAGGGGGGATATGATAGAAACATTTAAATATATAAAGGGAATCAACACAGTAAAGGAGGAGACTATATTTAAAAGAAGAAAAACTACCACAACAAGAGGACATAGTCTTAAATTAGAGGGACAAAGGTTTAAAAATAATATCAGGAAGTATTACTTTACTGAGAGGGTAGTGGATGCATGGAATAGCCTTCCAGCTGAAGTGGTAGAGGTTAACACAGTAAAGGAGTTTAAGCATGCGTGGGATAGGCATTAGGCTATCCTAACTATAAGATAAGACTAGGGACTAATGAAAGTACTTAGAAACTTGGGCAGACTAGATGGGCCGAATGGTTCTTATCTGTCATCACATTCTATGTTTCTATGTTCCTAGTTGTAGAGAGTAATGAAATGTTTAACCATTTGTGTCTTTAGCAATATTAAATTTTGTGATGTAAATGTAAAATAAGACATGTTTAGTTATAAGCCCTTTACTTTTTTAACTCTAAACTGGAAGTTGTTTCCGTGTGCTATTTGTCAAAGCAATTTCTAACATAAACTTACTTCCACTGCTGAGTGTGTTTCCCCAGCCAGAAATCAGACAGCTGGTTCCGGCAGCAGCACAGCCAGAGGGCAGAGACACAGTCTTCACATAGCTGTTGAGGGTGGCAGCACTAGCTAGTTTGATCAACATGATGTCATTGTCGGTGGTCCTGGAGTTGTAGCTGGGGTGTCTGATGACCTTGGCAGAGTTAATGAACTGCTCAGTGCCCTCACTTACATCAATGTTGTGCTCTCCCAGTCTGACCTGAACACTCCTGCATGAGGGAAACATAGGACATTTTTAAGAGAAAGTCAACACATTGGTCGAATTTAATTCTTTCAGAATATGGATTAATTTATAAATTTCTACAAAAATTTTCTTTTGTAATTTCATTCCTCTACATCAAAATTAAGTGAAAGATATGAAACTTACGCCTTGTAGCAATGGGCAGCAGACACCACCCACAGGCTGGTAACCAGGGTACCTCCGCAGAAGTGATAGCCAGAGTTGAGGGATACGATGTATGGGACAGAGTTCTTGGTGCAGGTGTAACCTCCTACAATCTTATCATCATCATCCTCAAATGCAACTGTGGGCAGACGAAGAACATTTTTGTGTCACTATAATCATGAGTTGTTGGGCTTGCTGCTATATTTTAGTCAACTACAAATATTGCATGTCTTATTGTGAATTACATATTGTATGGTGACATTCATATGGCTCAATGAAAAGTACCTATATATATATTTATTTTTTTATATTAATTGCAACATTGCAAGATAGGAAACATTAGACTTAATTAAAAAAAATAATATAACTTTTAAAGAATCTTTAATATTTCCTTTCACATATAAATGTGTTATGGTAATAGTGGGTATTTTTATTATGTATTTACTTAGGTTTTTATTTTTTGCTTTTTTTTATTTTAAGCACATTATTAGTTGTTATAAAGTTGTGATGTCATAGGCAACACAAAAGCAAACTTATCGTAAAGTTGAAACAAAATACTAAAAACTGTGTTTTATTGAAAGTAGATCCATACAGTTGATCTGCAGAGAAAACGTACACAACATGGAGCATATTTATTATTAGAAAATGATGAAAAAAATAAATAGTCATGACCTAAAAGTACACCATAGTCATCTAAAGAACTTTAGCTTAATGAAGCAGTTTTAGTGTATAGATCATGCCTCTCAGGTTTCACTGCTCAATTCACTGCCATTTAGGAGTTAAATCACTTTGTTTCTGTTTATGCAGCTCTTGCCACACCTCCCGTGGCTCTGATTGACACAGACTGCATGAAAAAAACTGGTTTCACTTTCAATCAGATGTAATTTACCTTAAACAATTTTATCTCTTGCTCTGTAAATTGAACTGTAAGCACATATAGGAGACTCTTGCAGGGTCTAGCAAGCTATTAATATAGCAGGTGATAAGAAAATCTAAATTAAACAGAACTTGCAATGAAGGAAGAATAAACATTAGCTGACTGTTTACAGGAAGTGTTTAGGAAGGCTGTGCAAGTCACATGCAGGGAGGTGTGACTAGGGTTAATACATAAAGTGAGTTAACTCCTAAGTGGCAAATAATTGAGCATTGAGACTGCAGGGGCATGATCTATACACCAAAACTGTTTCATTAAGCTAAAGTTGTTTTGGTGACTATAGTGTCCCTTTAACCCCTTAAGGACCAAACTTCTGAAATAAAAGGGAATCATGACATATCACACATGTCATGTGTCCTTAAGGGGTTAAACATGTCTGCAGCTGCATAGTATGAGTTAAACAAGTCCAAACTATTGTGGTGGAGAAATTGGTTAAAAATATATAACAATATTATTATTATATTATTATATTACTATATAATATTACATTATTTTTCAATTGACAAGGAAAGTACTACAACTAATAATAATTGTTACCAGCAGCTCCAAGGAGCACACAGATCAGAAGAAGCTTCATGCTGGAGGTATGCCTGTGGGGTGTTTTGGGGTAAAATTAAGTCAGTATTTATATATTTTTAACCAGAGTTACGCCTGCCCCCATAGAATGTTATCATATTATGTAACTACTGCACAATCTGGTTAATGTGTACCAGAATTATAAGTAAGTGCCTTATTATCAATAACCTTGAATTTAAACTTTTTCCAATACAGTCAATATGTTCTGCTTGTGCTTTTTTTTGTCTACTTAATCTTTTCTATTAAAACCAACTAAAATGGAAAATAAAAATAGAGAGCTTGTACCATCTAGCAGGATATTTCAGATTTTCCAAAATGGAATGGAGATTGTTTGGGATTAATTGCTGTTAAATACTTAAGAGAAGAAGAAAAAATTGTACCCCACTTGTTTAATACTTCAGTTAGGTCAGAACAGCTTTACTCCTCTTTGGAGAGATGTTATCTGTAGTATCTGTATAGATACAGCACATTACTTGTCTACTGGGCCAACTTTACCCAATTTCTAATCTCTACTTGGAAAACATTTTTATCTATGTGTAAGATCAAGATGAATATTGTAACACTGCACTGAACAAATATTTTACCAGACCATTAGTCCCATACAGGGCCGGTGCCAGGATTTTTGCCGCCCTAGGCAAAAGTAAAGTTTGCTGCTCCCCCCCATGTGACATCACAATGGCCTACCCATATGATCTGCCATGTTAACTAACGCCAGTGCTGCAGTGCCACCGTATTTACATTAAAAGGCCTGCAGGGACAGGCTATAGACACCAGAACCACTACATTAAGCTGCAGTGGTTCTGGGGACTTAAGTGTTTCTTTAATGTGAGGAAAATTAGAGATTAGTGCCATGAATAATATATTAGATTGCCTACTTACAACCAGATGAGGATGATGATGGGCTCTAGCTGCAGTCTGGCTCCACTGGTCTGGTGTAGAACAGGCTCTCTGGAGGCGGTTTGTAACTGTGGTCATAAAAATCAATGTTCTGGGATAACGGTTAAGAGCTCCATTTTTTGTGGGCCCTTTACACAGCTCAAGGTCTGGGTCCCAGGGTCCACCTTCACGTTCCACCAATGAGTTTGTTTACAGGGGGTGGAGTGTGTAGGGGATTTCCTGATATGTGTGTAAGGAATGCATTGTGTGAATCTGTGTTTGTATGTGTAAGGGCTGCAAGGTGTGTTTCTGTGTATGTACGGGATGCACTGTGTGTGTCTGTAAGGGATGCATTGAGTGTGTGTAAGGGGTGCATTGAGTGTGTGTAATGAATGCATTGTTTGTTTCTGTGTGTGTAAAGGATGCATTGTGTGTAAGGGTTGAATTGTTGTGTCTGTGTGTGTAATGCATTGTGTGTGATTGTGTGTGTGTGATGGATGTCAATCTCTTCTCCCCCCCTAAATTCTCTTTCCCCCTCCACAATTTCCTTCTCCCCCTTCCTCCTCACAATTTCCTTCCCCCCTCCCAATTTCCTTCCCCCTCTCAATTTCCTTCTCCCCCCAATTTCCTTCTCCCCCCTCCCAAATTCTTTCTCCCCCCTCCCAATTTCTTTATCCCTCCCCCACCACTGTTGTAGCGTGACTGAGCTCTGTATGATCCGCGGGTACAGGGAGCTTTTGTTTCCTGTACCCGGCCGAACTAAAAGGAAGTGCACACTGAGTGTGCACTTCCTATTAGTCCGGCCGGGTAGAGGAGACAGATGCTCCCTGTACCCGCGGAGCATCCATAGCTTGGCCATGCTACAGTGCGGGAGTGACAGGAGGGAGCGCTGAGCGCTTCACTCCTGTCAGCCCCTCTTCTCATGCTGCGCCCGGGCGGTGCACCCTCATGGACACACCAAACCGGGCAAAGTTGCAGCCTCTGCAGCATGAGGGGGGCCGGCGCTCCTGGCGGCGCCCCTTCCCAAGGGGCACCCTAGGCGTCTGCCTAGTCCGCCTAAAAGGTAGCGCCGGCCCTAGTCCCATGAGTGGTATCACTTCTAAATGTTATATCTGCATTAACTTCTATACATTTGCACATATATAATGACTTTAAAATATTTATTTCTAAAAACATGAGCATGTCCCTGATCTGCATTTAAATTTTGTTTTTCTACATTGCTTGTGGATTGGGGAGAACAGTAGTCATCCCCCCTCCTTTTTAATCCATGTCGTGGGAATAGGGAGGACATGAACCACCCACATTAATCATGTTTATGTCCCCCTTAGATGATCATGGATGGAACTGTGCCAGTCCCCTTCCCTGTATTTCATAAATTTTTAATTAAAGTTGGTCACATGGTATCATCTAGTGATCTGCTGACTGCAATTGTATAACCTTTAATCTACTTTTGAAAAAAATTCTCTATTTTTCTTTTTAATAGACTTTGATGAAAGACTTTTAAACTTCTGCTTTTTGGGAAGATTGTTATTCTTGCAACAAAGCTTAGCTGGTGGGGTTAGGAGTGTTCTTGAGAGAAGAAACATGTGTGACTGCAATGTATGATAAGCTAGGTGTGCGTGACAGGCTAAGGAACTGCCAGCAGGTGGGGGAATTGTCAAGTGCTGCAGGCCTTGAAGGGGCCCACCCCCGAAGGCCTGATTAGATATAAAAACATTATAAGTTTGTATTCCTATAAAGAGCAACATGAAAACATTATGTAGTTACAAACCACTGACTATTTATGAAAAATAATTTTGTTTGGTCTATAAGAACTAACAAATTCTGTTGGTCTTTCTGTCATATGCTCACATTGTTTAGTAGACAAGCTCCCACCCACAGCATGACAGCATGTGGGGGGATAAGGGAGCTATTAAGCCTCCCTTATACTAATATGGGGAAGTCATATAATCCATTTGGGACATTTTAAAAAGGGTTTTTGCACTTCCAGTTCAAATTTACATGAACACAGTGATTCGACCGACCTGAAACAGTACATGGAATAATTTTGACTCATCCAAATCAAAATTTATTTGTGCAAATTGATTCAGCCAAATAAAATATTGTTAGTGTGCACGAGTCTATTATTTATTTTTTTACTCTGACTTCTGGCAGAATTCAAAAATATGTCATACTGCTACCACCACCAATGGCATTCATGCTCCACATAGGACCTTAGAAAATAAGAACATCAAAAAAGATGTGGAAATGCAATATTTTTCATTCTGTTAAACCCCCTGTAGTTTACAGTTCTGTTAAACTAGAATTCTAGTTCTCACAATTCCTTTCAGATACAGCACGCGTTTTCCTCCAACACAAGATATTGCCCACATATTTCTAAATACAAGAAATATAAAGTGTCAATGTTTGGAGATTTTAACATAATTTATATTGATTACAAATATAGTAAATACTGCTCTCTAAATACAACAAATTGCAACATTTCTAATTCACTTTAATCAAAAACACATCAGTATACTCTTGACTGGATCCTCTCCAAGAAAAAGTGATATGTTTGCAGAACATGCCTCAATGTAGTTAGTGATTACACTATAGTGTACTTCCTCTACAAATGAAGATCTTTCTACGTGTACTTTGATATTAATATATATATATATATATATATATATAAAAGTATATATATATTAATATTAAAATATACTAATATACTTAGACTATGTATGTGTACATATGTGTATGTATGTATGTGCATATATATATATATATATATATATATATATATATAATTGTATTTTACACTGTTTTAAAAGTAGTTTTTTTTCCTCACAAGGACCTTGCGATCACATGGCCCAGGGGGGCCAGAACGGAAGGAGGGGGACTCCCTGGGATGCCAACTGAGTCCCCGCATGGCAATCGTCGGCGTGGGATCGCCGGTGACCGGGTAAGTACAAAGGACGGCTCGGATGTGCTATGACGCCCCCGGCGTTTAGAGCCAGATCACTAAGGACGGCATAGCAAGCCCGCCCTCCTTAAGAGGTTAATATGTGGGGGAAAAGCGTCAAGAAGGATTTTTGTTTACTTGACAACAGAGGGGAAAATACATGTTCACTTGTTCCACAATGACCAGCAGTTCATTCAAATATTAGGCAATAGACAGGTTGTCCAAATCCCTTAACTCTAAATTTTCATATGGACATATTCTTAAACAAATATGCATGTTTGCCTGGTGCCAAAAAAAAAAAGTGGAAAGAAATTGAGAGACGCACAGTCACATACACACACACACGCAGATGCACCCATGCTCACGCATAGTAAAATATGCCCTCTATGGGATAAGTTACATTATTTACCATCTTACTACAAGTTCATTTTCTACACTCGTCTTTTCGACATTCTGTTGTGCATGCCTAGCATAAATTTTTATAATTAATCGTGGATTTTTAACTTACTCGCTATTGCATAACACTGATGCACAATTTTCTAGTGCTAGTGTCATATTCTGTGTTGTTACATTATAGTGTACTCTGGTTTGGAGCTATATCCCTGATGCTGTTACAGGACCCGGAGTGTGGGTGTTAATAGACTTTCTGTGATTGAGATTTTTTTATATCCTAGAGCATGAGTCATGCATTCTGCACCTATCACTCTGAGCCCTCACGTGTACTCTATATGGGGTTAATAACATTGTTTTTGTTGTAAATATGTTGTATATAAGTATAGATATATTTTTCTTTTTGATTTGCTTTGAGTAGTTCACTCTACGTATTTAATAAATGATTCACTTTAGCAACAGCTATTGCTGTTTGCAATTCATGATTACACATGTGATACACATTCCATATGATTCATTGCTTTCGCCCGCTCCCCCTCCAATCAACTCTTCACAATGTATATTTGGAGGACTGAAACGTTGACACCATTTACTGGAAATTTGATGCTTTGAATAAACAGCACGATTTGAAATAATTCCGAGTCCTGTGAGTGCACTTCAAACAAGGATTTATATATTTGGAGGTCGAAGTTTGCGCCTGGGCAACAGACAAGACCTTGAGTAGTGAGTGCAGGGCACTACGTTTATTACATATAAATATGTAATAAAGTATGTATATATACTGCTCAAAAAAATAAAGAGAACAGTTAAACAACTCCAAGTCAATCACACTTCTGTGAAATCAAACTGTCCATGTAGGAAGTAACACTGAGTGACAATCAATTTCACCTGCTGTTGTGCAAATGGGATAGAAAACTGGTGGAGATTATAGGCAATTAGCAAGACACCCCAATAAAGGACTGGTTCTGCAGGTGGTGACCACAGACCACTTCTCAGTTTCTATGCTTCCTGGCTGATGTTTTGGTCACTTTTGAATGCTGGCAGTGCTTTCACTCTAGTGGTAGCATGAGACGGAGTCTACAACCCACACAAGTGGCTCAGGTAGTGCAGCTCATCCAGGATGGCACATCAATGCGAGCTGTGGCAAGAAGGTTTGCTGGGTCTGTCAGCGTAGTGTCCAGAGCTTGGAGGCACTACCATGCCAGTACATCAGGAGACGTGAAGGAGGCCGTAGGAGGGCAACAACCCAGCAGCAGGACCAATACCTCCGCCTTTGTGCAAAGAGGAAAAGGAGGAGCACTGCCAGAGCCCTGCAAAATGACCTCCAGCAGGCCACAAATGTGCATGTGTCTGCTCAAACGGTCAGAAACAGACTCCATGAGGGTGTTATAAAGGCCCAACGTCCACAGGTGGGGGATGTGCTTAAAGCCCAACACCGTGCAGAACATTTGGCATTTGCCAGAGAACTCTAAGATTGGCAAATTGGCAAATTCGCCACTGGCTCCCTTTGCTCTTCACAGATGAAAGCAGGTTCACACTGAGCACATGTGACAGACGTGACAGAGTCTGGAGATGCCGTGGAGAACGTTCTGCTGCCTGCAACATCCTCCAGCATGACCGGTTTGGCAGTGGGTCAGTAATGGTGTGGAGTGGCATTTCTTTGGGGGGCCGCACAGCCCTTCATGTGCTCGCCAGAGGTAGCCTGACCTCAGACCCTTTGTGAGACCATATGCTAGTGTGGTTGGGCCTGGGTTCCTCCTAATGCAAGACAATGCTAGACCTCATGTGGCTGGAGTGTGTCAGCAGTTCCTGAAAGACGAAAGCATTGATCCAATGGACTGGCCCGCCTGTTCCCCAGACCTGAATCCAATTGAGTACATCTAGGACATAATTTCTCACTCCATCCACCAATGTCAGGTTGCACCACAGACTGTCCAAGAGTTGGCAGATGCTTTAGTAAGGTCTGGGAGGAGATCCCTCAGGAGACCATCCGCCACCTCATCAGGAGCATGCACAGGCGTTGTAGGGAGGTCATACAGGCATGTGGAGGCCACACACACTACTGAGCCTCAGTTTGACTTACTTTAAGGACATTACATCAAAGTTTGACCCGCCTGTAGTGTGTTTTTCCACTTTAATTTTGAGTGTGACTCCAAATCCAGACCTCCATTGGTCGGAAAATTTGATTTCCATTTTTTTATTTTTGTGTGATTTTGTTGTCAGCACATTTAACTATGTAAAGAACAACGTATTTCAGAAGCATATTTAATTCATTCAGATCTAGGATGTGTTATTTTTGTGCTCCCTTTATTTTTTTGAGCAATGTATATGTGTGTGTATATATATATATACACATATATATATATATATATATATATATATAAACATATATATATATGTGTGTGTTTATATATAATAATTCTACGAATATATTTATGTAATAATTTTACATAATTAGGTCATTATTTTAATTACAATTTGCGGGACCTGCCTAACAACCCAGGCCTAAAGTCCCGGGAATTTAATTTGCTAGCACTATATTTATCCCTGTAACTTTCCAAGACTCCATAAACCCTGTACATGGAGGGTACTGTTTTACTCAGAAGACTTTGCTGAACTCAAATATTAGTGTATCAAAACAGTAAAATGTATTACAACGATGTTATCGTCAGTGAACGTGACATTTCTTGCACTTTTCACACACAAATGGCATTACACGGATGATATAATTGTTGTGGTATATTTTTCTCTTTTAAAACACTAATATATGTTTTCAGCGAAGTCTCCCGAGTATAACGGTACCCCTTATGTACAGGTTTTATAGTGTTTTCAAAAGTTACAGTGTCAAATATAAGACTTGCATTTCTGTTTTTTTACATAGAAATTCGCCAGATTGGTCACGTTGCCTTTGAGACCATATTGTAGCCCAGGAATGAAAATTACCCCCATAATGGCATACCATTTGCAATAGTAGACAAGCCAAGGTATTGCAAATGGGGTATGTCCAGTCTTTTTTAGTATCCACTTAGTCACAAACACTGGCAATCTCGAATTTCAATGTGAAAAATGGAAAAATGTAACATGCTATATTTGCCCCAGTAACTTCCCAAAACACTGTGTAACCTGTACATAGGGGGTACTGTTTTACATGTGAGACATCACTGAATACAAATATGTGTATTTTACTGCAGTAAAATCAAACAGTATTATAACATTCACAGTTAAAATGTCATGTAGAACTAACATTTTTTACAAAATTCTTATTTTCTCCCATTTTTTATATTTTATTCATATTAAATTATGTTTCATACCTAAATATTTGATGTAAAATGAAAGCCCTGTTTCCCCTGAAAAAATGATATATTATAAGTGTGGGTATACATAATACGAAAAAGGTGAATTATGCCTGAACAGACATATAGCACAAATTCAAGGTTTTGTTTACATTTTGTTTTGATCACAAATGATATCCCTGAATATTAGGTGTTTTCAAGTATTTATCCAGTTACGGTTTAGACATCTATACAGACTTTTGACAAAACATATTCTTTGGCAGAGAATTCAAAATCATTGTTTTTCTTACTTTAAAAAACCCATCTCTTTGCCTTAGACTAAATTTCCTTCCTTTGATTCTAACTGTTTGACCTTGTGTCCTATATATAGTCCTGTTTATGAACAGAGTTCAAGACAATGGTTTCTAATGACCCTAAATTTATATTTGTATAATGCTATCATTTGCCCTCTAAGGCACTATTTATCTAAACAGATTTAATTATATTAATCTTTTTTTATAACTAAAATGTTAAATTTTCAGCCTACCTCTGCACTTTTTATAGTGCCATAATATCCTTCTTAAGAACAGGTGCCAAAAATTGGACAGCATATTTAAGGTGTGATCTCACTATTGATTTATAAAGAGTCAAAATGGAATTTTTATCCAGAGAACACATTCACACATTATTATGACGATATATTCTAACCTACTCAGTATTTTTATTAATATATAAATGATGATGCCAGGAAGTAGTTTGAAAGTTCATAGATTTATTAAAGTCTTGTACAAAACATTTAATGAACAGTTTTAGTTTGAAGCAAAGGTGCTCTGGATCCAGGAGTTGTAGTTGCAGACCCTGGCGTAGACTCCGGGGTAGTTCCTCAAAGCACAGCCATATCCCCAGGACACAACACCTTGGAGCTGACCATTACAGACCACGGGGCCACCAGAGTCACCCTGAGGGAAGGAGAGAGAATGTAAAATATTAAAAGTATATAGTTGAAATATGCATTAAATCATAGAAGCTTTAAAGATATAGCCATGGATTTTGAGCTTTATTTCACTTCCTCACTGGAAATATAACATTTTAAACCAAACAGCAATTTTAAGATACATTACCTGGCAGGAATCCTTGCCTCCTTCAACATAGCCAACACAGATCATGTTAGTGGTGATCTGTCCTGGGTAGGCACTGCTACACTGAGAACTTGTCAGGATGGGTGCGTTCAAACACTGAAGGAGACTTGGATAATTGGCTGAAATAAAATGGAATACAATTATTATCTGTTACATATGCTCACTATTTATGAGTTTATTGTAGTATGTTATCGCTGTTAGGTATTGAGCTAAAAAGTTTTGCTAATAAATACTATTTATCTGATTCTTCAGTTGTCTTGAATCTCAATTGACTTATTAATTCACTATTTGCCTGCCACATCCATGCCAAACTTTGCTGAAGACCTCAACATTGAAAGACCAGCATGTAATCAAACAATATATCCTGTATATAAAATATTAACTAGTTGTAGAGAGTAATGAAATGTTTAATCATTTGTGTCTTTAGCAATATTAAATTTTGTGATGTAAATGTAAAATAAGACATGTTTAGTTATAAGCCCTTTACTTTTTTAACTCTAAACTGGAAGTTGTTTCCGTGTGCTATTTGTCAAAGCAATTTCTAACATAAACTTACTTCCACTGCTGAGTGTGTTTCCCCAGCCAGAAATTAGACAGCTGGTTCCGGCAGCAGCACAGCCAGAGGGCAGAGACACAGTCTTCACATAGCTGTTGAGGGTGGCAGCACTAGCTAGTTTGATCAACATGATGTCATTGTCGGTGGTCCTGGAGTTGTAGCTGGGATGTCTGATGACCTTGGCAGAGTTAATGAACTGCTCAGTGCCCTCACTTACATCGATGTTGTGCTCTCCCAGTCTGACCTGAACACTCCTGCATGAGGGAAACATTGGACATTTTTAAGAGAAAGTCAACACATTGGTCAAATTAATTCATTCCGAATATGAACTGGTTATGCATTTCTACAAACATTTCATTAATCTATGTCAACGTAAAGTGAAACTTACGCCTTGTAGCAATGTGCAGCAGACACCACCCACAGGCTGGTAACCAGTGTACCTCCGCAGAAGTGATAGCCAGAGTTGAGGGATACAATGTATGGGACGGAGTTCTTGGTGCAGGTGTAACCTCCTACAATCTTATCATCATCATCCTCAAATGCAACTGTGGGCAGAAGAAGAAAAAAACATTTTAGCCACTATGATCATGAGTTGTTAGACTTGCTGCTACGTATTAGTCATCTACAAATATTGCATGTCATATTGTAAATTATATCTTTTATAGTGAAATTCAGATGGCTCAATAAAAAGTACTCATATGGTTTAATTTAACCCCTTAAGGACACATGACATGTGTGACATGTCATGATTCCATTTTATTCCAGAAGCTTGGTCCTTAAGGGGTTAAGATGTGAACTATACATGCAGTCAAACATGATGGCAAATTTATTTTTTAACAATCTTTTTATGTGATAGAAATTACAACATTGGTAGATGGGAAACATTAGACTTAAAAAAGACTTAAAAAATAATAATAATAACAACATTCAAAGTAACCATAATATTACATTTAAATTATGAATGTGTTTAAGGTAAGAGTGGATATTTTTTTTATTTTCTTGTTTTAGTTTTTTTGCCAAGTGTTAAGTACCCATAGATTAAAAAGAAAGTAAAACGCCTGACGCGCGTTTCGGTGCTGTAGAGAGAGCACCTTCGTCAGAGGCACATACCTAATATTGATTTATTATTAGACTACTTTATATTTCCAGGAAACACAGCAAGTCACTGTGATAAGCATATTGTGTGTTTATTTGTTGTTTTTTTGTATACAATTCTTGGGGTTAAGCCCCTTGAGATCCCTGGAGTCTCTATCTTGTACTCTAGATAGTTGGTCACGGTTGAACTATTGACATATGTCATAGGTATCTAACATATGTAACAATAATATTAAATAGTTTTTTTTAATTTACAAGGAAAGTACTACTAATAATATTATTTCTTACCAGCAGCTCCAAGGAGCACACAGATCAAAAGAAGCTTCATGCTGGAGGTATGCCTGTGGAATGGTCTTGCTTGAAATTAAGTGAGTATTTATATATTTTAACCAAAGTTACACCTACCCCAGTATACTGTTATCATATTATGTAACTACTACACAATCTGATTAATGTGTACCTGAATTATAGGTGCATGCTATATTATCAGTTACCTTGAATTTAGGCATTTTCCAAGAATGTATAACATTTATGCACCGAGGTTAAGTCAACATTTATCATGCTTTAGTTTGGCTGCAGCAGAAGCCGATATGAATTATTGCATAATAAATTAATGTTTAAAGCGATTTCTTTACTGGTGTTATTCAATAGCAAAGACAGAATCATGGGCCCATGAGACACACTCAAAGAGAAAAAGATTAACAAGTGGTACACGAGTACACAAGTACCTCAACAGATAGATAGTTCCCTTTGGGTTTTGGAAGGCCTAACAAGACAATATTGGAGACCATGAGAATTTTTAGAGCTCAACAGCAGCAAACGATAAAACCAGAAGTGATTTAATTTGTAATTAAACCACTACTGGTTATATCAGTTGTTTCTTGGAGTGTAGCTTATCTCAGTCTGGGACCAGGCAACGTTATAAGTTGTTGTGGTGTATCCACTAAATAGGGTTTCTTAAGGAAAGCAGTGTCCAGAGCTAGAGTTAAAAGCAATGATCAGTCCGATATGTTTGAGGCGCGATGCAAGAGATGAGCCATGAACAAAGCCAGAGTTTAAGTTACTTTGTGGGCAGTATGATGCAAGGAGACAGAAGTCCAGTAATCTAAGGAGAGGAGAAGCCACAGTCTGGTGCTGGTAAATCTGTCCAAACATGTGGGATGCCAAGCCAATCTGAGTCGATAACTAAGATAGTTACCTTTCTGAGGAGGTGGAAGATACACCAGTTGCAGAGCATGGTCAAATCAAGGGAAGCATGCTAACTGCATCTTAGAGCCAGAACAGTTACAAGAATACAAGCGAGGTTAAGCATACAGACTCAGCAAGTGAGCACAGAGCATTCTACTCTGACAGGTTAAATAGGCAGCATTCTTCATACTCCATGGCCCCAACTGGACCAATAAAGCCTGAAATCCCCCTACATTTGGAAGACCTAAGGAACTGGATTGTTGGATAGGAGCAGTGGAATCTATTTTGATACCGAGTCGTTCACATGAACATCCCTACTGGGTATCCAAGATTTTTCCACCAGTCCATACCGCTTCCACTTAATTAAATACTCCACACATCTATATTTTATTCTAGAGTCCAAGATTGATTAAGTTTTGTATTTATCCTCATAATTCACTATAACTGGTGAGGGTCTAGGATTTCTAGCAACCTCAAAGCTGGGATCTAAGGTGTATGGCTTAAGTAGTGAGGAGTCAGGGAAAGATAGTCTGTAGCAAACAGGATTTATTTGTGATATGATTTTGGACCAATATAGATGTCTGAAAATGTTTTTGAAGCAGTATTAAGTTTAAAATTTTGGGTCGAGAGTAGGATTCTTTCTCCCACTTGGTACAGAAGTGTGTCTTGCCTATTTATTTTTTTTAATTCTTTATTTTATTGTGCAAGAATTAACATACATGCATGCAGTCCCACGACAGCATTATCAGGCTTAATAAAACAGTGTTAAACATGTGTGACATTTGAGATAGCTGCACATTTTATCAATTTTAAGGGTCAAGAGTAATACAGATTTTAAGTATAACTTATGTGTGATCTGGATAAGGGGCCAGTCCGTTAAGTATAACACAGGCAGGTCTGGTTATTAGTGATTATAGGGTTAAAGATTGGCTATGCTTGTGTCATGAGACTGTTGGAGTGGTGCAGAGGTAGGGAAAAGCAGAGCATTAGGGAGCAATAATTCAGGATATGTAAAACAAGTGTAATAATTGGGAACTGTGCTCAACTGCAGTGGAATGAGTCCTTGTAGCTTCACCCAATGCCTTTTATGTGCTTGAGAAGATAGTCCCTTTTTTGACCCGTTTAGGGCACTCCGCCATCCTGCCTTCCTATGGAGGCGCTGACGCCTCTTCTGTATGGTTGGTCTCAGGGTCCGGCTGAGGTTGTGAGTCAGGCGATTAGAGGCGGCCCGGTAGAGTTGAGGCAGGGTAGTGGATGCTTTTACCGCCTTTCTGGGGAGCCGCGTGTGTGTCATGTGGTCATGTGGTGCGCCATTTTCGGATTCTCTGCACCTTGGGCAGCTCGGGTTTACCACTCTATCGTGAGGGTGTCTTTCAAGGTGAGTGTTCTGGCTTGCCTTGCGTCTGAGTCTGTTGTTGCCTCATTTCTAGGTTTTCCCAGAAAGCTGTAAGCCGGCTGTTAAGTTTACCTTCAAAGTCCCAGCACGTGGCGGCAGCCATGTTGCTTAGCTTCATTTTTTCCGGCTGCTCCCATATTTTCATCTCTGGGGCTCTCATATGTAAGTTGCCTTTCCGAGTTGGACCAGGATAACCCCCGCTGGTCCTGGGGAGGGGAGGAGGGCTTTGGTGGGGTAGCGCCTGCAGTGCATGGGCGAGGAGAGCGGCCGCCTCTCCCTGTTTCCATCATCAACACGGCCTTCCATCGCGGGTCCCCGATCTTCCAGACTCTCAATGTGTGGTATCAGGCTTATCACCAGGTCGCCCCTATTGTAGGTGGCGGGTCCCGGTGTGTTTTTGTCTCGTTTTCGGCGAGTTTTCTGTCGAGGTCTGGTAAATATAGTGGGAGCCCAGCTTACATGCAACTTCTTGGCTTTCTGGCTTGGCCCCGCCCCCCATGTCTTGCCTAATTTTATTGGTGAACTGTGCATAGGACTGTTGGGCTTGAGTGAGAGAGGCTTTCAGGAGTTCCATATTTTTTTTTTTTATTTGCCCTACAAAGTCATTAACTCTAGGAAATGGGTGTGACGGTAGTCACCATCACTGGGGATTGAAGACAGACACTATGGGTGGGCTCCCAAATTCTTTTTGTGTTTTGTCACATTGTGCCTATTATTTGTGCAGGGTATGTTGAATGTATTGCTGGTCTGTGCTTTTCACCCTCCCCCCTTTTTCCTATCCTATTGTTTCCCCAGCAGGGTGTTGTCCCAGGGTCACTGCCAGACCAGTTTAATCTAGCTGCTCTGTCCCTCCTCAATCTCCCATCAGCCCTTGCTATTGTCTGACCCCACCCTTCCTTGCACTATAGTAATCTATGTAACCTATTGTATGTAAATGAGGCTGTTGGGGGCTTAAGCTAGGTGTGCTGTTTTCATTAAAGAGTTGCTGTTTAACCTTCACCATCTGGTGTTTGGTCCAGGGTGGAAAAGGCCCTAAGTGATCCCAGGCAAGCCTCGGCCTCTGGGTCTGAAGTGTTTCAGGGTCTTTGATAGCTACAAGGAAGCAGACTTGGTGGAGGTACTCGGTCGGAGTACTGGAGCTCCGTTACAATCGGTATTTGGTGAGATCAAAGAAGAACAGCACAAAGAAAGAGTAGGGCTGCGCCACACATTTTGCAATAAAACACAGAGTAAATAGATATACAAATTGATACAAGACTTATATATAGTCCCAACAAAAAAGTATTGTCTCTATAATCCATATCCTGTATTCGTTTTGGAACTCAAGAGACAACACCCAAGAAAGACTCTTGGGGTAATATGGAAGTAAAGTTTTGTGAACTCTGGAGTAGGGAACCTTGACAGAGCATCTGCCTCGCCATTTTTGGTACCGGATCTGCAAGTGACATGAAGGTTGTATCTTAAAATGGACTAATGGGTCAGATGGTATCTTTAGAAACTTAAAGTTCTTATGATCAGTGTATAGTAAGAATGGCATTTTAATTTGCAACTCAAGGGTATTACCATAGGCACCTAGTTACCGTACCCAGTTATGCAAATACCTTTATGGATTGTTGGGAAAAATCAAGTATTTGCTTGGGGCAGACTGGAGGTGGTACATTGATGATATTTTAATAATTTGGAAAAGCTCTTGTGAAATTTTGAATGATTTTATTAACTACATAAACCATAACCAATTAGCATTATTGCACTATCTTTTATGCCTGGGGGTGCCGTTACATCGTATTTCCCTCTTGTCTCCCTACATAAACGAATATCCCAAGCCACTTGGACGGACCTACCCCTGAGGAAAAGTCTCCATAAGCACTGTAATCCTACCCTGCTGCTCTTGTGAGACTTTATTTTTAACTATTTCTTCTAACTTTATTCAGCGCAGCTTTCTCTGTTTTTTTGTACTCAGTGACAATGCCTGGCCAAAGTTAGCATTCATATTTGTTTTTTGTATTTTTCACAAACAAGCAGCACTTTTTGGTTACAACTACATGTTTGTTCGTCCACCCACTGTAAAGCGCTACAAAATTTGTTGGCGTTATATAAATAATAACATAACAATAAGAATATCATCATTGTGATATGTTTTACTGCTTCGAACATTCATATTTGTGTTCCTGAGTGCAACAGTACCTACCATGTACATGTTTTATGGGGTTTTGTAAAGTTACAGGGTTAAATATAAGACATGCAAATAAAATTCTCTGGACTTTCTTCATGGGTTGTCAGGCAGGTTCCTCAAGTTGTAATTAATAAAATTACTTAATTATGTCAAAATATTACATAAATATTCACGTAGAATTTAAATATGTGTATTTGTGGTCGGAACTTAATGGTGTACGTAACAGTAGAAGGAGTGGTAAGTTAGTAGTGTTGTGCCAATACAATGTACGAGTAGGACTTTATAAAGAGGGCCCACCAAGGAAAAGAGGTGTAATAGTTGAGCTAATTTAAGGGAGCAGTGTGTGGGGGTCACATGAACGGAAAACGGTGCAGGTAAGCAGGGGAAGTTGCTTTTTATAGGATAAACTCCTCCCAGAAATTCAGGCCTTTGGCCTTCTACTTGTAGTCTGAACTTAATGGTATATATAACAGTAGAAGGAGTGGTAAGTTGGTAGTGTTGTGTCGATACCAACATACGAGTAGGCCTGTATAAAGAGGTCCAAAAAGGTATTGGTGAAAAACACACTTTTAGCATGCTTACAAAGTCACAAAGAATGATTACCCGAGCTTTTATTCATGAGGCGGAATCAAAGTATTGTAAACAGGGATTACCGCCTATTCAATTTTATGATGTGGACTGGGATGAGTGGATGCCCGTGAAGTGACGGCAACAGAGTTAGGTGGAAGCTGTTGTGTATGGGTACGCATATATCATGTTAATATTAACATTAACAGGCGTCCAGCTGTTGTCTGTCAAGAATAGTGAGATTGGGGTTGGATGGTTGGTCTAGTTAGTTTGGAAATCTTTTAGGGTGAGAATGTAGTGGTTGATGTGTTTGACAAGGTCAGAGTTGACTTCATCTTGGTGTACCACTGGGAATTCTCTGGCCCTCGAGAAACCATGAAAGGCAATGTAAATTGCTACTTAAATAACTGTGTTAGCTTTACAATCAAATGGTTTGGTATCCCATAAATTGCATAGGCTCCTGAATATATGTTCGGTTATGTGTAGTCTAATGGATGAAGGAGAACAGTCCATTTGTTGATACCTTAGGAGCTTGTTGTAATGGGATATGAGAAAAGAAAATGGGTATGATTGAGAAATGTAGTGAGGTTGTGATGTGGTATTCCTGTAAGATAAGGATTAATGGTGTTATGTGCTATTTTTTTATGTGAATGGTAGAAAGAAACACAAGTCACCATGGTCTCAATGTAGTAATTCCCTGCGGGGGGACTCTAAAACAAACCTAAGAAAATCTGTTAATGCCCTGACGTAAGTTGATTTGATATTCACGGAACGAGTGTGATGGGATAGTGACCATGCGAGTATCATAAATCCATAACCAGCTTCTGGAAATGCTGGAATTTTTTTCAGATGTATGTTGATGGTAGATGTAACTTGAAAATTGCTGAAATTGAGATCGGGATAGTGCATCTGCTGTGATGTTATCCCCCTCCTGGACCAGTGCTGTGACGAGAGCAATCTCGCCACATTGCATTGGAGAAGCCTGGTTGCTCGCCTGTTGCCTTTGGATTATGGCCCCATGTTAAAAGGCTTGATTTTCCCCTGCAAAGACAAGAAAGCCGGGTCATTTGGTGCTCGCCCTGTTTGAGCAGTGATACCCCAGATAGCTATGCCATGGAGCCCATTCGTATAATGAAAGACTATGGGAAAGACTTTGGCTCCATGGCAATTGAACTGTATATGTGTGCTCTGAGCGCCATTCAGTAATAATGTGCGCTCAGACCTAAGCTATCTGGGCATATGTTGTATGTCTGTATTTTATGTCATAAATGTAACCTTGTGTATTTTATTGTATTTTACTGTCTTTTTGCTTCCATGTGTTCAATGGAGTTTTGTCTCTGTCTTTGGAGATAATTGGATTACTTCACAATTATCTCCAGGATAGAAGACTCTGTGGAACTGGTTTTGGGCAGAAAAGCCATGCTTCCTGTGGTCACAAAGGACTACGATCTATCTTTTGAACCACTGGACCAATTTGTATGATTTTGACGTATGTTTGTATTTGGAGTATGCTGATTCTGAAAATGTAATTTTATGTGAATGTGATGCATACTTTTCAAGTTATGAATAATGTGGAAAAATTGTATTTCTCTGCTTGTGCTAAATTACATTACCCATTGTGTAAGGTAATTGAATCACATGCAGAGGGGAGGAATTTGTGTGGGAGTGTCTGAGTGTATTGTATGTGTTTATTGGTTGTGTTCCAAAACCCTGTGGGTGGTACTAATGTGTAAGAATGTGTACATAAGCACAATAAACCCACAGCTCTGTCTGTTCCTGCTTGACCCTCAACACGGAGCCTTGTCTCGTTTTTGGGGGGATTTATTGTATGCTGTTCCAGTTCGACTGCTAGGAGTGTAAACCTATTCGTATGGTTTTTTCCTATTCGGCTGTTTACAGCATTCATATGGTTTCCTGTTCGGCGGATTGGTGTTCTGCAGTAGCTGTGCCTATGTCTCTGGAAGGGGAAGATCCCCTAAACGGCAGTTTAACCCTTTTATGCTGAGGGTGCCGTTACAAGTGCCTTAACCTAATGGCTAGTTCTCTGTCCCCGGACAGGGGCTTGATACATATTATATTTGAACTTAATGGTTAACGTACATATCTTCGTAGGCAAGATAATCTCTAAGAGAGAACCTGGAAAGCATACACCTACAGCAATAGGACAACCAGTTTACCATAAAATGGGAATAGATAATAGGGAAGTGGAAAGATGGATGTATCTCCACTTACCCTTAGTAATAGATAGTGTGCACATTTTGATTGTAATGGAAGAGCCTGAATGTGACCTATGAGTAATATCTTATATGTGTAACTATGTAAAATCTGATGAATAAGGGGTGAATAAGCATGTGGGTTTTTTGGTGTGTACCCAATAGGAGTGATGAGGCTGAGTGATACTTTGATCGATTGAAACTAACCTGTCAAGATAAACGTAGAGGCAATGAAGGACCACTTACCTGTAACATGAATAGTATTGAACGGAGAGACTTGGTGACAGCAAATGATAGGGGTACACTAATGGTCCAATTTGAAATACATTATAAAATGCAGGAGGAATACATTGTACATCTCCCCACCCATAACAGTGTGTTTTATTTCATTTTTTTTTTTCTAACCTCAGACCTTATATTTCAGACTGGGCCCCTTAAAACAGCATTAACACCCAGCACTCCCAAGCAACCAAGTCCTGCTGAATCTTCAGAGCAGAGGTAGCATCTCTGGAAGATTGCCCACCCTCCCCTCCCCACACCATCCCACCCCATGGTCATCAACTTATTTATAGATAGTGCACATCAGCAGATTTCCTTAACACACCAATCACTCCCCTCTTCCATCTCTGACTGGATGTCCTCCCGCTTTCTGAAACTCAATCTCTCAAAAACTGAGCTCCTTGTCTTTCCTCCTCCTAATACCGATCCTCCTCTTTCGCTCTCCCTTCAAGTCTGTGGTACCAACATCAGCCCATCCTTGCAAGCGCGCTGTCTTGGCGTCATACTTGACTCTGGTCTCACCTTTGAGCCTCACATCCAGCATGTTGCCAAATCCTGTAGATTCCCTCTTAAAAACATAGCCCGCATCCGCCCCTTTCTTGCACCAGATACTACCAAGGAGCTTGTCCATGGATTATTGTAACCCTCTCCTGCTTGGTCTTCCCAAAAGCCGTACTGCACCCCTACAGTCTGTAATGAACGCTGCTGCTAGACTGATTTTCCTCTCTAGTCGGTTCTCTCACACCTCACCCCTCTGACAGTCCTTACATTGGCTTCCTGTGTGCTATAGGAGTCAATTCAAGGCACTAACTCACACCTATAAAGCACTGAACAACTCTAGCCCCTCTTATATCTCCTCACAGATCAATAGGTATGTCCCTTCTCGGTCTCTCCGCTCTGCCCGTGACCACCTCCTGTCCGTTGTCCGCACCCGTACGGCCAACTCGCACTTGCAGGACTTCTCGCGGGCGGCTCCCTTCCTATGGAATAGCCTGCCTCCAGCCATCAGACTCTCCCCTAGTCTTGCATCTTTTAAGAAGTGCCTTAAAACCCATCTCTTTAGGAAAGCTTATGGCCTCCAAGACTAACCCCTACCTCACATACCTGTCTCTTGCCCTCTCCTAAAGGGCAGCCCACCTTATTTGATTGCAAATTCCTGTCCTAATGTGTTTTACACCCCACCTCCTATAGAATGTAAGCTCGATTGAGCAGGGTCCTCTTCAACCTATTGTTCCTGTAAGTCTATTTGTAATTGTCTTATTTATAGTTAAATCCCCTCTCATAATATTGTAAAGAGCTACGGAATCTGTTGGCGCTATATAAATGGCAATAATAATAATAATAATAATACATTGAAAAGCTGTAGTCTGCTGAACACGTGAGCAATACGAGGCCTAAGATAAAATTGTTGTAAACATATGATTGAACTACCAACATATGCCTTGCAAACAATTGAAGGTTTAATACAGTAGTCGACTGGGGTAACACTGTGGAAAAAGGAAGATTAGTATAAGCAACTAGAACTAAACCAGGTGTCATGCATATGCTTAACAGCATATAACATGAAATGAAATCATTACAGCATTATGTCCTATATAAAAATTTTAATAATGATGAACCTCTTGAATGTATGTGAATTGTGAACCTGTGACATGACCACACTTGTTGGCAGGCAATTGCCAGATATGTAAACCCATGTTGGCCTGAAAATAAATTTGGGATAGCCCTGAGACAGATTAGTGATGTAAGTAGCAAGTGATGAACATAGAGAGGCAAAGTTGATAACCTACTTATATGGAAAATTAACTGAGAGTAGAATAGTTTGAAAACCAGAAGAGTAGTGATACTGGAGAAAACAGAAATTGTGTAAGTAACTAGAAACAGTATCGACAAGAATATATGATGAAAGTATTTACGTGGAATGTAAAATGTGGACAGATAAGTTCAGCGGTATTGTAATCATGCCAAAAAGTGTATTGGAAGTAAACCAACACCAACAACCCCTAAGTAAATCAACTAAAACCAAAGTAAAAACCTGATTTAGCAGATGAGCCCTATGTGGGGCTTACGTTAAATGTTTACAGTGAATGTTTATACAAGTTAATGTTTATGTTGCTTAAAGGCATGTATAGGCCCAAGTTTGAGCCTGACATAATTGTATACAGTCAGTTGTGACAACTAGCCATGTAGGGGTCTAAATTGAATTGGTTATGATAGAAGTCGATATGGCCTAGAGAGGGCCTAATACCGTAAGTGGAAAGAGGCATTGCTGTGATGCTATGTATGACTAAAATAGGGTGAATCTGTACTAGTAGTGAAATTTTCCCTGAATGAACCAACTTACAGTTTTGCATAACCATCAGCTAAGTAAGCCGCGGTTGGTCGGACACATCAACTTCCATGACGTCCAAGGGAGGAGGCTGTTGATTACTATAGTGAGGTAAAAGGACTACTCAAGGGCATGACCAGCTTGTTTGGGGTATAGGCAGTTTAGTTAATGACCCTTGAACAGGGAGTAGATGTTTTTTTGCTGAACCATGACCTGAAAAAACTTAATGATTGTGCACTTATCAAACTTGCAGAGGTCCACCTTTCCCACTGTGGCCAGGAAGATGGAGCCTCCACGACATAGCTCAACTGCCAGTTTAAGAAAGGTACAAACCTCAGGTCCTTGGAAGTAGCGGGGATAAGGGTTTCTGTGGGGGAACCTGGGTTGACAGGAGTGTAGTTCCTAGTTGGAGTGTCACTTAGAGATAGATCATCACCTGGAACTAATTCTTGCAACATCCTATAAGGAAGTTAATAATGAGTTAACCATGCAAAACGTTTGATGCAAAATGATAATAGACCTTATGTAGAACTGGCTTGCTAACTAGTGGTGTTAGGCAAAAAAATTAACTACCCCATGACATGTGAGGCCTCTACCTATGATTTGGGCCTTGTGGGTTCGTAGCCACAATGCATTGGTTGTGTTGGCCTCTCGGTGATGGTAAAAGAGTCACATACGTGACATGTAAGGCCCTGACTATTACCCTGCAAAAGGGTATGTAAGGCACTAACTCTGAGTTAGGTCATTGGGCAAAACCTTTGTGATGAGATGGCTGGTTGGCCTCGAGGGACAGATATGTTAAGTTTTCTAGACTAGGGACAGCTCCCAACTCTAGACTAAAAGCCAGTTCTCTTTCCCTAGATGGGGCTTGTCTCTTTCGTAAATGAGCATGCACATAAATGTACGTACATAAACAGACTGAATAGAATCAGAGAGGGAAGGACTGGAAAATGTCACCTGATGAAAACCACCAATTGTGATGTGAACTGTGAAATATAGAAGGGAAATACAGTGATCAACAGAAAGAAAAAGATGTGCCCTTTATGAGCAGAATATGAAGAGGAGAGTCTGATTGTGGCCTAAACTTAATGATAATCTGTTTAGGTATAATAAATATAATATTATCATGTACCTGATTCGCATGGGATCGCAACCTGTCTGTATCCTAATTTGCCTATTGATGTAAAACTTCTATACAGAACAACACAGATAGCATGACAGAAAGTCAATATCCCGTTGGTTATCTTGAAACATAAACGAATGTAGTAAAACCTGTTTAATATAGAATTGTGTAACGTATGATCGAATGCGTATGGAAGACCTTGCGAGGGTCGGGTGAAAATACACAAGCCCCTTGTTAATGAAAGGGTTTAGAATTGTATTCGATAGTCGTAAAAAAGGCAGAGTGAGGCCTTGAAATCTGATACGAACGTAAACGAAAAACGTTATGTTGAATACCTAAAAAACTCAAGACTCACAGATTAACACTTGTTTACGGTATCCTTTAGTAGACATGCTAGACCTTTACTTTAATCCAATTTGTAATGATTGACGTAGACATGTTTGATTGGTAGCCAGTTTATCTGAGCGTACCTAATGTTAGTTTAACACCATATGACGTTTGAAATAAAGTATTATGTTAATAGAAGGATGAACAGTACTCCAATCTAGTGTATTGGTACTGAAATTAATTAAAGAATTTACTTGAGCAGATTATACACCTAAATGATTTGATTTTAAGAAAGGGTATTAACCACCGCATTTTATAATTAGAAACTAGGTGCACAGTAGAACCCACAAATGAGTTGCCAAAGTAATGAACAGTAAACCCATTAAGGAAATACCAGCGGGATTTGCAATTTGTAAGTGATCACGTAAAATTATCACCAAGACCTATCAGAAAAGTGTGGATGTTAATGGGTATCTACATGCCAGAAGTGGGCATCATCCCACGTGGATCCAGAATATCCCCTCGGGGCAGTTCACTAGAATCAGACGCAACTGCTCTTTTATGTGTGATTATGAAAAAGAGGCACTAATGCTGTCCCAGCGTTTTGTAGAGAAAGCTTATCCTCTGAGGATTATTCTGGAGGCTTATTTGAAAGGTCTCAGGTTCGGGATGACACCACGGTCAGAGGCCCATAACAAAACTTTACTTACGATGAATTCCTCTTTATCATCTTTATATAGAGGACAAGAACATCACTCTAGTGAACATTTTAAGATCCTTGAACTTTTGGGTGGGTCCTGTGACCAGTCTTTGAAAAAAGCAAAATTTAATATTAGTACCAAAGAGGTTGGCACAGGCAAAACACCCATATTTTCCACTACCTTCAATATAGGTTTTGATAAGATTATAGGAGTTTTTGACAAATATTGGCCAATATTGACCAGTGACCCTTGGTTGTCTTTCTGTATTTCAAAGTTTCCCAGAGTTACTTTTAGAAGGGCCCCTAATTTGAAAAACATCCTAGCTCCTTCGAAACTGCACTGTCAAAATGTAGGACACCAGAGAGTCTGCCAAGAGGTTGCAGCTAATAAGCGTTGTGGTCATGCTAAATGCTTAACTTGTGGATTTATTTGTCATCAACAATCCACGTTTAGTTTGTTTGATAGTACTGAGATCTTTTCTGTGCAGTCATCAATTACTTGTAATACTTCTTTTGTGGTATATCTCCTTATCTGTCCCTGTGGACGGCAATATGTGGGTCAAACTATCAGACCCTTGAAATGTAGATTTCGTGAACATAGGACAGCCATATTACGTAATGATAGTAGATCCCCGGTGGCTCGCCACTTTACTATCTTTCATGATAATAATCCTGTTGGTCTTAAATTAATGGGAATAGTACATATCCCCTTCCATCAGGATGAAGCGAAGAGAAAACGTGAATTAATAAAGGCTGAATCAGTGTGGATCTTTAAGCTGAACTCTATGTCACCTAATGGCTTAAATGAGGAACTAGAATTATTTTGAGATATTACAGTTAATTGCTGTCCCTTTATTTTAAAAAATAATCTTTAATATGTTGCATTTTTGTGTTTTTTGTGTTTTTTTGGGGGGGAGGGAGGGGTGGGGTATATATGTTACACATATTGTGTTTTGTATCTGTTGCCTGACCTGAATATTAGGTTTTATTTTTGAATGCTTTTATATTTATTTCTTTTATATTTAATCTCATCTATACCTTGTTAAGACTTGCTATGTATATGCAAGTGAATCCAATCCTGCTTTATTTGATGGTGGGGTATATATATTGGGTTATTTCACACTGCAGTTCCTGTCTTGAAAAAGTCCCGTGGGAGGGACGAAACGCGTAGACGGGTGTATCGGATGAACTTACACCTGCTGTGATTGAGGAGTGAGAGCAGGAAGCGGTTTTTGTTCTTTGGCGCTTTTTTCCCCATCGGATGAACTTACCTGGCATCGAAGCTATTGAGAGCGGCGGCAGTGAGTGAATTCTGTATATATCGCGGTCTTTTTTGAAGATCCCGACCGCGATATACTTCATAGCATTTTGAGGAATCCTGTGTGCCTTTCGCTGGACTTTAACATCTCTTGAAGCATATCATCACCGCCTCCAGCTCGCACCATCATTTTTTATTTATTTTTTATGTACCTCGGTGGGGGGCCCACACCGAGGAAAGGTATTTTACAGCACATACCTAGTTTTGTATCATTTGTTACAGTTGTTATATTTGTTTCTAAGTCTGGTGGGGATAATACTCCTACACTTTGTTGTTATTTTTTACCTAGTGTCTGAGTTAACCCTTCTGACTCAGCTGTGCATCTTGCAATTCTGTAGATTTATATTTACTCTTTTTAAGGGATACATTGTGTTTTATACTCATCTCAGCAGGTTTAGGTCATCTTTGATCTGTTATTTATATTTGTTATTATTTTTTATTTTTTATATATAATTTTCTTGGAATAAAATACTGTTTTATTGGTTTATTTATATCTTCATAATGTTTCATGAGTAAAGAGCGCTCACGCTTTGTTTAAACCTTTGAGCTTACACTCATTCATAGTCGCTAGTGGATGCGAGTAGCTGCTCTTATTTTTATTATTTCATTATATATATTTGCACCTCTATTGTATATTTTCTAAGTGATCACTTAACCTAACCTAATAATACCTGCAAAATAACTGGCTTGTAAGTATTTCTACGTTTACTTGTATGCATTTCTGATTAACATACAAGCTATTTTTAAAAATTATTTTTAAATAACGCAATAAGGCGGATTTCCAATTTCTAGACACAATGCCAATTTTAAGTATTGCTTTACTTCAGTAATCATGTTTCAAACAGAAAATCCCTGAATGGTAAATCTCATGAAATATATTACAGAGTAAAAGAAAATTGAGGGTTTGTTCATTTAATACAGTTCATGGTTCCAATAGTATGTGCAAATGGTACATGAAATACTAGCATTCGTGAGTTAGCGTAGGTGATTTTGATCAATTCTGTAAAATAACTCTGTAAAATAATATAATGTGAGCAAAATATTACTTTTCTGCAGAGGGATTTAGATAGACTGGGGGACTGGGCACTCAAATGGCAGATGAAATTTAATGTTGAAAAATGCAAAGTTATGCACTTTGGCGTAAAGAATACACAAGCAACACATACCCTTAATGGAAGCGAATTAGAGATATCAACACACAAAAAGGACTTGGGAATTGTTATAGACAACAAACTATGCAACAATGTGCAATGTTAATCAGCAATGGCCAAGGCCAGTAAGGTATTGTCATGCATGAAAAAGGGCATTCATTCTCGGGACGAGAATACCATTTTGCCTATTTATAAATCACTGGTAAGACCACATATTGAATATGCTGTGCAATTTTGGGCACCTGTTCTAAAGAAGGATAGTATGGCATTAGAAAAGTGCAGAGGCTGGCTACAAAATTAATAAAAGGAATGGAGCATATCAGCTATGAAGAAAGGTTAACAAATATAAACCTATTTAGTGTAGAAAAACGTTGCCTGAGAGGGGATATGAGAACATTATACAAATATATTCGTGGCCAATACAAACCATTGTGTGGAAATCTATTCACAAACCGGACTTTAAATAGGACACAAGGTCATGCGTTTAGACTGGAAGAAAGAAGATTTTGTCTAAGGCAAAGGAAAGGTTTTTTTACTGTAAGAACAATCAGAATGGGGAATTCTCTACCTGAAGAAGTGGTCCATACAGATGTTCAAACAGCTACTAGATGCATACTTGCAAAAACAGAATATTCAAGGATATAATCTTTCAATGCAGGGTAAAACTGCTTGATCCACAGATAAAACTGACTGCCATTCTGGGGTCAAGAAGGATTTTTTTTTCCAACTTGTTGCAAAATTGAGCTTCAAATTGGGTTTTTTGCCTTCTTTTGGATCAACAGCAAAAAACAAATGTGAGGAAGGCTAAACTTGATGGATGCAAGTCTCTTTTTAGCTATGTAACTAAGTAACTATGTATGTAATTCGTGAACTTATAGTTTAATGTGGTAAGGGGGGTTCGTGAGTTTAGCATGCGTATGTTTTTTACGGGAGTTTGAATTACATAGTTACATAGCTGAAAAGAGACTTGTGTCCATCAAGTTCAGCTTTCCTCACATATGTTGTTGTTGATCTAAAAGAAGGCAAAACACCTAGTCTGAAGCGCTTCCAATTTTGCCACAAACTAGGAAAAAATTCCTTCTTGACCCCAAAATAGCAGTCATATGTCTCCTCGGATCAAGCAGCTATTACCCCACTAATTAGAAATTATATCCCTGTATGTTATGTTTTTGTAAGTATTTATCCAATTGCAGTTTAAACCTCTGTAGTGACTCTGACAAAACCACCTCTTCAGGCAGAGAATTCCATATCCTTATTGCTCTTACTGTAAAAAAACCCTTTTCTTTGCCTTAAACTAATTCTTCTTTCTTCCAGCCTAAATGTGTGACCTTGTATCCTGTGTATAGCCCTGTTTATGAATAGATTTCCAGATAAAGGTTTGTACTGGCCCTGAATATATTTGTATAACGTTATCATATCCCCTATCAGGCGCCGTTTTTCCAAACTAAACAGATTTAATTTTTTTAACCTTTCTTCATAACTAAAATGCTCCATTCCTGTTATCAATTTTGTAGCTCGTCTCTGGACTTTTTCTAGTGCCATGATATCTTTCTTTAGAACAGGCGCCCAAAATCCACAGCATATTCAAGGTGTGTTCTTACCAGCGATTTATAAAGAGGCAAAATTATATTTTGATCCTGAGAATTTATGCCCCTATTTATACATGACAAAACCTTACTAGCCTTAGCAACTGCAGATTGACATTGCATATTGCTGCCTAATTTGTTATCTATAACAATTCCCAAATCCTTCTCGTGTGTGGTTATCCCTAATTCACTACCATTTAGTGTGTAAGTTGCTTGTGCATTCTCAACCCCGAAGTGCATAACTTTGCATTTCTCTACGTTAAATTTCATCTGCCATTTTAGTGCTCAGTCCCCCAATCTATCCAAATCCCTCTACAGCAAGGCAATATCCTGCTCACATTTTATTACTTTACAAAGTTTTTATTCATCTGCAAACACTGATACATGGCTTTCAATGCCTATTTCAAGATCATTTATAAATATGTTAAATAGAAGTGGTCCCAAAACAGAACCCCAAGGGACACCACTTACCACTTTTGTCCAGCCTGAAAATTTACCATTAATTACAACTTGTTGTACTCTATCCTTAAGCCGATGTTCTACCCAAGAACAAGAATATTCATCTAGACCAATTTCTTTTATTTTGAAGACTAACTTATTGTGAGGAACCGTATCAAATGCCTTGGCAAAATCCAAGTAGATCACATCCACTGCAACACCCTGATCTATACTTTTACTTACGTCTTCGTAGAATGCAATTAGGTAGTTTGACATGACCTATGTTTCATAAAGGCATGCTGATTATTGCTAATAACAAAGTTCTTCCCTATGAATTCCTGAATATTATCCTTTAATAGCCCTTCAAATATTTCCCCAGTTACAGAAGTTAAGCTCACAGGTCTATAATTTCCAGGCAAGGATTTTGAACCCTTTTTAAATATAGGAACAACATCTGCCTTCCTCCAATCCTCCGGTACAACACCTGAAACAAAAGAATCTTGAAAAATTAAATACAGAGGTTCACTTATTTCCCCACTTAGCTCCTTAAGTACTCGTGGGTGAATACTGTCAGGCCCCGGAGCTTTATTTACATTAATTTTCTTTAATAGCTGTAGCACCTTGTCTCGAGTTATCCAATCACAAGTTATTTGCAAGTTTTTTGCAGCAATCATTTGCATATCTCTTGCCATAGGATCCTCATTAATATATACTGAAGAAAAATAGTTATTTAAAAGTTCTGCTTTTTCCTGGTCTTCATTAGCTAATAAACCGAACTCTGTTTCCAGTGTACCTACCCTTTAATTTTTAGTTTTTTTAGAATTGATGTACTTGAAAAAAATTGTTGGGGTTGGTTTTGCAGTCTTTAGCTATCAATGTCTCATTTTCTAGTTTAGCCACTTTAATTGCCTTTTTGCAAGCGTTATTGGTTCAAAAAATGTGGTTTGCCACTTCCGAAATACGGGACTTCGGCAATTCGGCACATCGTTTGGGACTTCCCGAAATTCATGACTTCGTCAATTTGGCACTTTGGCAATTCAGTTCGGTTCAGCACTTCAGCAATTCGGGACTTCGGCAATTTGGGACTTCGGGACTTCGGCACTTCGAGAATTCAAGAATTCGGCAATTCCCTAACACTAACCCTACCCTTAACCCTAACCCTAACCTTACCCCAAAGCTACTCCTAACCCTACGCCTAACTCTACCCCTAACCCTACCCCTCCACTTAACCCTACCCCTAACCCTTACCCTAACTCTAACCCTACCCATAACCCTACCCCTAACCCTAACCGTAAGCCTGCCCCTACCTCTACCACAACCGTACCCCTAACCCTACCTCTAACCCTTACCCTAACCCTACCTCTACCCCTAACCCTACCCCTTACCCTACCTCTACCCGTAGCCCTACCCCTAACCCTACCTCCAACCCTACCTCTACCCCTAACCATAACCCTACCTCTACCCCTAAACCTGTCATCATTCCCTTAATTTTCCCTCCCTCTCCTGTTTTTCCCACTTTTCGGCACTTCTGAAATTCGGCAATTCGGTTTGGTTTGGCACCTTAGAAATTCGGCACTTCGGCAATTCAGTAATTCAGTACTTCTTAAATTCGGCACTTCGGCACTTCAGAAATTCAGCAATTTGGCACTTCAGCGATTCGGAAGCATCCGAATGTCTGAATTGCCGAAATTCTTCCGAATTTAAATTTGGACCAAAACAAATTGCACCTATCTAGTATGCAACCTTTTGAGCACAACAGAAAGTCAATATATTTATTCTGGTTTATTTATTGTGTTTTTTGTCTATTTAATACTGTTTAATAAAATAAAATGAAAAGGAAAACATATAAGTTTTTGTACCATGATGTTACCAGGATGGAGGTTGCTGAGGATTAATTGCTGTTAAATATTTCAGATACGGTAAATAAGTTTAATATTTCAGATAGGTAAGAACAGCTGTACTCCTCTTTGAAGAGGTGATGTCTGGAGTATCTGCAAAGCTAGGCACACTACTTGCCTACTGGGCCAACTTTTCACTATTTTTAATCTCTACATGGAGAATATTTCTCTCTATATGTAAGATGAAGACGGATGGTGATATCGTAACACTGCAATGACCTAATTTTATACCATTAGTCCCATGAGTGGTATCATGTCTAAATTTTATTTCTACATTACCTTCTATACATATATTTTCACATTTGTTTGCAGGTTTCATGTATGATTAATAGAAAATAGAACATATTTATTTCTCAAAACATACATTATATTTCTGGATTAAAATTTTGTTTTTCTACATCAACATTTGACTTATCCACGCCACCCATGGTTGTGGGCTGGGGAGCTCACCATGACTCTCCCTGTTTAATATTTTAATTGCCCCCCACCTGCTGCCCATGGTTGAGGGCTGGGGAGAACATCCAACCCTCTATTATTCAGTGTTATGTCCCCTTCCAATGCCCATGGGCATACTGTGCCAGTCCCCTCCCCTGTACTTCATTAGTTTTTAATTACAGTTATTCACATGGAACACTCTATTGATCTGCTGATGTCAGCTATCTTGTTCACTGACTGCTGTCTTATAACCTGTACTCTACTTTTCTGAATAGCTGGTGGCTTGGGTGACTGCATGAGAGAATAAGCATGTGTGACTGCAATGTGTGATAAGCTAAATGTGGGGGAATTGTCAACTGCTGCAAGCCTTGAAGGAGTCCATCCTTGAAGCCCAGATTAGATAAACAATCTCTTAGAAAAATGCATTATGATCAGGGTAATTATATATCTTTCTGTTGGTCTTTCTGTCATATGCTCAAATTGTTTACTACACATGTCCCCATCCACAGCATGGTGAGTGGGGAAATAATATGTGGAGATTACGTGATCCACATGGGCTATTTTTAATGGGTGTTTACAATCCCAGTTCATCTGAACCATTTTGTGTGACTGCAGTAAATCAACCAATAGGAAACAGTACCTGGAAGAATTCTGACTCTCCAGCGCTATTTTTAATTCTGTTAAAACACCTTTTGCTCCTTTGATTGCTTTGATTTCCTCCCAACATAACTGGAATCCTAGTACTCACAGTTCATTTCACATACAGCACACCTCTTCCCCCAACACAAGATATTGCCCACATTTTCCTCAATACAAAAAAATTTAATAAACCTTTGATGTTAGGAGAATTGACGTAATTTATCTTGATTACAAATATAGTAAATATTGCTCTCTAATTACAAGTGGTAACTTTTCCAGTATACTCTTGACTGGATCATCTCAAGAAAAAGTGATAAATTAGGAACATACCTCAAAGTATTTAGTGAATGCACTATAGTAAAGATCCATCACTTATTTACAGTGGGGTTTGGAAAAAATAGGAGGTTGAAATGAGTAGGTTACCTCTGTTGGTGTACGTCATCTCATATTCATCAAACCCTCTATCCCAGATTACATGGTCATTTGAAGGTGTGAGAAAGGAGAAATTACAACTTCAGGAGATCTAGTGTCAATCAAAGATTGGACTTTTGCATGGAAGGTGCAATATAAGGACTACATTGGCTGTACTTTCAAACCTGTTAAGCCAGTTCTATTTAACAGACTAGATAGCCAGGTTTCGGCAGCATTGGTGAGTTAAGCAACTAATACATTTTTCTTCACTTATTTATTTGTTGTAGTTTTCTTCTTTGGAAACCTCAGAGCTCTCCTTTGTAAAAAAACAAAACAAAAAAACATAATATTTGAAATGTAATGAAACCTTTTTAAGTGAAATTACATTTATGTTGCCTTTTCCTTCTTTGCTGGTTTTTGGAATTTTAATTCATATAATGCATAAATATGCAGTTGCAAGAAAAAGTATGTGAACCCTTTGGAATCATATGGATTTCTGCACAAATTGGTCATAAAATGTGATCTGATCATCATCTAAGTCACAACAACAGACAATCACAGTCTGCTTAAACTAATAACACACAAAGAATGAAATGTTGCCATGTTTTTATTGAACACACTGTGACAGAACCATCTGTCTGTTTATTTCAGGTGTATTCGTCTTTTTCTATCCTGTTCGTGTAAATGGCTGTTTTCTATAGCCCAGCCATAAGAATGACTGTTTTTTCCCGAACAAACCTGCCGAACGGACGGCCACCCAGGAGAGAAGTGTGCTGCTGGTTAACCTATTGATCCCAATTAGAACGTTGTGGTTAACCGCAGACACTTCTTAATTAAACAAATTCAGGGTGGTCGTCGTTCGTATGTCGACCACGAGGCAGCGGCCATTTTAAAACCATGCGAAAGCCCAGCGGTGTTCGGCTCTATTTTCATAGAACTAAAAACGGACACTTTTTCTGCCGAACACCGCTGAAACAACGGAACGCCTGGCTGCCTCCACAAAAACATACGAATACCGGCCGTTCGGGAGTTTTGGAAGCATACGAAAGGACTTAACCCAGATAGCCTTCCCATGGAGTCATTCGTATACCGAAAGACTGTAAGAACTTTGACTGCATGGTGATTGAACTATGTGTGTGTACTCTGAGCGCTATTCGCTAATAATATGCACTCAGATCCAGGCTATCTGGGGATATGTGATGCGAATGGGCACTCAGATCTAGGCTATCTGGGGATATGTGATGCGAATGGGAAATGTTCAGTTTTTGTAAAGTTATGTATTTTTATGTCTTTATTGATTTTATATTTAAAATGGCGACTGGCTTTGTCCTGGAGATAATTGAGTTACTTGGTAATTATCTCCAGGGCAGAGGGGAGGGAATCATGCTTTGTGAGTAAAAACTGTGACTGTGTGTCTGGAATGTCCCCATATCTGTCTGTCATTTAAGTCTCCCATTTGGTGCCCTAGGGGAGTGTCAACCAAGTGGGAGACCTGCATAAATACGGGCAGGTAGCCCACAGTAAAGCCAGATCCTGTTTGACCCTCAATGCGGAGCTTCTGTCTCGTTATTGGGGGGATTTCTTCTTCATGTTTAGAGACTGCTGGATGGAAACGAAAGACGCTTGGTGGATGTTATTGTTCGGCGGCTAGCAGCAGTTCGTGGATTGCCGTTCGGGAGTTTGGAGCCGTTCACGAATCCTGGTCGGGAGATTGCCGCTTCCCCTGCATTTGGTTCGTGCACTACAGGTTATGCGAACGGAGATTATTGGTATTACAGACGGGGAAGGTCGACTAAACGGCGGTTTTGCTTAAAGACACTGGGGGTGTCTTAACACACACCATGTAAACATTCACAGTGCAAGTGGAAAAAGTATGTGAACCCCATAGACTAATGACATCTCCAAGAGCTAATTGGAGTGAGATGTCAGCCAACTAGAGTCCAATAAATGAGATGTGATTGGAGGTGTTGGTTACAGCTGTCCTGCCCTATAAAAAAACATACACCAGTTCTGGGTTTGGTTTTCACAAGAAGCATTGCCTGATGTGAATGATGCCTCGCACATAAGAGCTCTCAGAAGACCTACGATTAAGAATTGTTGACTTGCATAAAGCTGGAAAGGGTTATAAAAGTATCTCCAAAAGCATTGCTGTTCATCAGTCCACGGTAAGACAAATTGTCTATAAATGGAGAAAGTTCAGCACTGCTGCTACTCTACCTAGGAGTGGCCATACTGTAAAGATGACTGCAAGAGCACAGCGCAGACTGCTCAATGAGGTGAAGAAGAATCCAAGAGTGTCAGCTAAAGACTTACAAAAGTCACTGGCAAATGCTAACATCCCTGTTAGAGAATCTACAAATACGTAAAACACTAAACAAGAATGGATTTCATGGGTGGATACCGCAGAGGAAGCCACTGCTGTCCAAACAAAACATTGCTGCATGTTTACAGTTTGCACAAGAGCACCTGGATGTTCCACAGCAGTACTGGCAAAATATTCTGTGGACAGATGAAACCAAAGTTGAGTTGTTTGCAAGAAACACACAACACTATGTGTGGCGAAAAAAAGGCACAGCACACCAACATCAAAACCTCATCCCAACTGTGAAGTATGGTGGTGGGGGCATCATGGTTTGGGGCTGCTTTGCTGCATCAGGGCCTGGACGGATTGCTATCATCGAAGGAAAAATGAATTCCCAAGTTTATCAAGACATTTTGCAGGAGAACTTAAGGCCATCTGTCTACCAGCTGAAGATCATCAGAAGATGGGTGTTGCAACAGGACAATGACCCAAAGCATAGAAGTAAATCAACAACAGAATGGCTTAAACAGAAGAAAATACGCCTTCAGAGTCCTGACCTCAACCTGATTGAGATGCTGTGGCATGATCTCAAGAAAGCGATTCACACCCGACATCCCAAGAATATTGCTGAACTGAAACAGTTCTGTAAAGAGGAATGGTCAAGAATTACTCCTGACCGTTGTGCACGTCTGATCTGCAACTACAGGAAATGTTTGGTTGAAGTAATGGCTGCCAAAGGAGGTTCAACCAGTTATTAAATCCAAGGGTTCACATACTTTTTCCACCTGCACTGTGAATGTTTACATGGTGTGTTCAATAAAAACATGGCAACATTTCATTCTTTGTGTGTTTTTAGTTTAAGCAGACTGTGATTGTATATTGTTGTGACTTAGATGATGATCAGATCACATTTTATGACCAAATGGTTCACATACTTTTTCTTGCAACTGTATATACTGGTATACTTACCCCATGCAGCCTTTCAATGCTGTTTGACAGTCTTGTGTATGGCAAAAAGAGTTTGATCTGTCTGAATTACTTTATCCCCAAAAACCTTTTACTTATGCCCTGTTGGCTTTTGGTAATGCAATGTTTCAGTTTGGAGGAATTTAATTCATTCAGAGAAAAAACTAATTGGACGAATCAAATTAACGAGGTATTTCCTTCACAGATCATGTGACAAGATCATGTGACAAGATGTAACCAACAGAATAAAAAAAGAAGGAGAAGTGAAAATATTGTAAATGAAAAAGATTTGGAGAAACATTCAGAGAAGGCAAAAAAGCAGGTAAAATTTATTTATTAATTAGTCTGCTGTAGTGCAAACATGTCTAGAATATTAAAGGGACACTATAGTCACCTGAATTACTTTAGCCTAATGAAGCAGTTTTGGTGTATAGAACATGCCCCTGCAGCCTCACTGCTCAATCCTCTGCCATTTAGGAGTTACATCCCTTTGTTTATGAGCCCTAGTCACACCTCCCTGCATGTGACTTGCACAGTCTTCCATAAACACTTCCTGTAAAGAGAGCCCTATTTAGGCTTTCTTTATTGCACATTCTGTTTAATTAAGATTTTCTTATCCACTGCTATGTTAATAGCTTGCTAGACCCTGAAAGAGCCTCCTGTATTTGATTAAAGTTCAATTTAGAGATTGAGATACAATTATTTAAGGTAAATTACATCTGTTTGAAAGTGAAACCAGTTTTTTTTTCATGCAGGCTCTGTCAATCATAGCCAGGGGAGGTGTGGCTAGGGCTGCATAAACAGAAACAACGTGATTTAACTCCTAAATGACAGTGAATTGAGCAGTGAAATTGCAGGGGAATGATCTATACACTAACACTGCTTTATCTAGCTAAAGTAATTTAGGTGACTATAGTGTTCCTTTAACTATCCTAATGGTTGCACAATATCAACCATTTTGCTTTGCCAGTTCTGATCTTGTCATAATTATATTATTATATCTCTGTGAAAAAATAATAAGTGAGCAACCTTAGTTTTATAATGATGATTGATTTTATCTTCAATCTTTTATTCTGCAAAATTTTCCACAATCTATAATGTGAGTGAGAAAACTAAAAACAGTATCCTAGTGGCAGCTGGAGTCATTTATTTGAAAACATGTGTTTTTTCTCCTTTCATTTGTTACAAAAATCCTCTGTTTTAAAATTAAATTACTTCTGCTGCTCGCCTTTTTTTAAATCCCCTTTTCATTGTAGTGGGTCCGCCCCTGCCTTATTGGAGTTTGCGGTGAGGCTATGCCTGCTGGCTCCTTAGATGAAGTTGGGAAAGTTGATTATAGGGCACTGTTTTTGTCCACACTGGAGGACAATAATTGAAGTTACAGATTGAATATGTGGGAAAGCTTTGTTCTTCTTAGAGTGAAAGAGGGGACTTGCTCATCAATTGCCCATGTCCACTTGCTTTTTTCTGAAAAAAATAAGTGAAAATTCACAGCTCAGTCATGCATTCACAGAATCTACTGTTGGAAACACTAAGGAATGTTCTCTGGCCTCTGCTCCTTTCCCACAACTCATGCCCTAAAGGTAGGACTCAGCAGACATATTTGGTTACTGTGTGAGTTACTGCAACTGTGTGTGTCTATAACTCTGTGTGTGACGGTAGCTATGTGTGTCACTGTAATTGTGTGTGTGTGTGACTGTAACTGTGTGTGTGTCTGTAACTGTGTGTGTGTCTGTAACTATATGTGTGTGACTGTAACTGTATAGGTGGTTGTAACTATGTTTGTGTGACTGTAACTGTATACATGACTGTACACTATATCAGTACTTTTTGTTTGTTTTTTTTCTTTTATGTTCTCTTCTCCTGTATATTTCATGGAATAACCAATTTTGGAGCAAGAAATGCAGCTAGAGCCACCAGTGGGTATTATACTGCTCAAACGCATTAGAATGATCTACATTACAGCTGCACTAAGTGCGAGTACACCTCTTTCCAGAGATCATTACATACTACACTATCAGATTTTGCTCACTATCATTATTATTATTTCATATACCACAACTTTGGACATTTAAGGGGCTACACCCACCTCACCGTCAACTATATCTCTATGAACCGGAGAAGGGAGATCCTGGATTGGTTTGCTGTGCTTTGTATTATAAGCCTTGCACTTAGCCTTGCACTTGTAATATATATTGTTATTTATGATTATTTTGGTGAAGGGACATAAGGTACCTTTAAAAAAAATTTTTTTTTTGAGCTGCTTGTTTTACAATGTTTTGCACACACTTAATATTTTCTTGTTGCTGGTGTGCTGTGCTGCCTATTGGAAACACAACAGTATACTTTGAGCACTGCTACTCTGCCTAATGGGTAATCTGACCCTGGTTACAGGCATAGTCACATCGCAAGACACAGCCAGGTAGGGTGAAACCAATCACCTAAAATGAAATGTGTTTGAACACATTACAACCAACACCACGGACACCTCTTTTAGAATGATTTATTTTTATAAAGATTTAAAAAAAAGATCTGTCACACTCTGTGCAGACAGGGTTTGCTTGTGGAGTAAATTGACATACACTGCACTGAAAGAAGAACCTTGCAATTTTCAAAGCAGAAGCAGTGGCACAGAGGCACCCAGCAAATCGAATAATCCACCTCTTACTAGGAATTAAAAACAATTGCAAATCAGTAAAATGATTCTAAACCAGTGAATCAAAGCTTGTAAGAGGCACTGGCAGTAGCAGTTAGGAAAGATGAACTTTATAAAACCTTTTTTTCTTAACTTTGTTTATGATGATTGCTCCATCTGTTCCTGTCCAATCTGTCTCTGTCAAATAATGGTAATATCCTCACCATCTCACCTACTCTGGCTAACTGTAGTCGTATATTAGGGGCTAGGCGGGGTGAAGTACAATGTCTGTGTGTGAAGCTTATAGATATGTGTAGTTGATGCCTCTATCGCTGGGGGCTTCCCTTTTTTTGTACAACATTGACGGGCTCGTAAGAACAAACATACCCTAAAGCAACATTTTATAATGTTACACTATACACCCCTGATGCAAAACATCTGTTAACTTTGCGCATATAAGGATCACTTGATGCAATACCAGGGCCCATTGCTTACTTTTCCCAATATCTGAATATACGCTCTTTACTGAATTCTCACACTTATCTCAATGTAATCAACCCCAACAGTTCGGACAACCAAACAACATCTCATTGGGGTGCGCAGAGGGTGAACTCCCAACTACCTGTATTCCTCTACTGGTGTGGACTGCTCTGCATATACCTCCGTTTTTAATGAGATGTCTGGCAGGCACACTCTTGGAATTCTCAGAAGTCTGACTCACTTGAGGTGCCTCTCTCCGATTTCATGACATTGCTATTGATTACACATCTATTTCAATTACCTGACAATTACTGACAGCCATTGCGACATAATGTGCACCTTCCCTCTTTTAGAGAAAAAACAGAGAGAATCTGATGAGATCATACAACTTGTTAATGACATGCCTCGGTGAACAGTGGATCAAAGCCCTGTAGCACTTTCCTGGGTATTAGTGTAGGTTTTGATTACTGATGTGTAGCAAACCCAGATCAAATGGAACTGTTGTGAGACCCCCAATCTAATATTGTTACTCAAGACATGTTTACTGCAAATTTAACCTGATATTGTCTTCCAGTTAAATCTGTTCTACCCACTATACTTTTAATTACCTATATATGCGTGTTCTATGAAATGATATCAGATAACTCAGATGTATTCTCAGCCTCACTAGACTGAGGTATAATTCACAAGGCATTTGAAATTGCTGGATAACTAGTGCACCCTCCAGACTGAGACTATGTGCATTAGAGGACTCTTAACATCTTGTTCAATTCCTTTTCTTTAAAGGATCACTATAGTGTCAGGAAAATAAACTAATTTTCCTGACACTATAGCATCCTTAGGACCCCCCCTTCCACCCTCAGGGTCCCCCTACCTTGGCGCTGAAGGGGTTAAAACCAGTTATCTATATTAAAGGTCAGTTACCAGAGCTCTGACCATTTTTCTAGTTTACCTAAAAAATTGACCATTTGACTTATCCCTCCTGGAACAACAACCCTTTTGCAAATTTTTGTATCATCATCATCAAAAAGATATACCTTACTATCAAGATCTTCTGAAATATAACTAATAAAAATATTGAAGAGAAAATGTCCAAGTACAGATCCCTGAGGTATCCCACTGTTAACAAGACCTTGCTTCAACAATATTGGAATCCAAACTCATAGATCGCAGGTTACTGATGAGCCTTCCACAGTGAGGGGAAAAAGTATTTGATCCCCTGCTGATTTTGAACATTTGCCCACTGACAAATAAATGATCTGTCTATAATTTTAATGGTGTAAAAAAAGTTATAAACTGATTTGCATGTTAATGAGTGAAATGGGTATTTGATCCGCTATCAATCAGCAAGATTTCTGGCTCCCGGGTGTCTTTTATACAGATAATGATTAAAGGGAGTGCTCCTAATCTCAGCTCGTTATCTGTATAAAAGACACCTGTCCACAGAAGCAATCAATCAATTAATCAAATTCCAAACTCTCCAATATGGCCAAATGTCAAGTAAGTGGAATGTAATAAGGAAAATGTTGAGGCTTTATGGGTAAATATCTGCTTGGGACAAAATAAGGGAAATCAATTATTGGTAGGGATATGTTATAAAACACCTTAATAATGATGAGGAAGAACAGCTGCATTGGGAAAGCTCAAAATCTGGGTAACACACAAATTATTGGAGATTTTAATTATCCCAAATAAAACTGGATAGAGGGACTAGTAGTTCAGCAAATGTAATTTTAACTTGTTTAATGACACCTTAATGTCACAACTTGTACAAGCACCAACTAGGAAGAATGCTTGTTTGGATTTGGTAATAAACAATGTTGATCTTTTGACCAGCATTCATGTATGGGAACACATGGGAAACAGTGATCACAATATAGCATCTTTTGAAATAAACTAAAAACAAAAACAAATGCACATGGGTATACTAAAACATATACTTTTAAAATAGTAAATTTCCATAAGCTTTCACCAGCTTTACAGTGTATTGACTGGTATAAACTCTTTAGTAAAAAAGAATAAAACTGTGGATTTGTTTGAATTTGTTTGAGTACATTTCTCAGTATGTGGAATTGGGTAATAAATATAAAAGAAACAAATTAAAACCAATGTGGCTTAGTGGGAAAGTAAATCAATAAATTGGACATTTAAAGCATTCAAATCGGACAAATCAGAGGCATCATATAAAAGATATAAGGAAGCCTATAATGCACGTTGTTTGGCATTAGATTTGCTAAACTACAAAATGAGGAAGAGATAGCCAAATGGAGAAAAAACAACTCAAAAATATTTTTTAAGTACATAATTAAAGATTTTTAAAATAAAATGAAAGTGTAGTTACACTGAAAACCATGATGGGGAAAACCATATTGGGGGTGATAGTTAATAAAGACAAGGGAAAGGTAGAAGTTTTAAATAACTATTTCTCCTCAATATATATTAAGGAAGAAACTATGGCTATTGATATGCAAATAATTGCTGGAAGAAACTTGCAGAAAAAGTGTGATTGGATGACTCAAGATAATGTGCTGCAGCAACTAAAGAAAGTTAATATAAACAAAGTTCCAGGGCCTGATGGTATTCACCCACAAGTACTTAAGGAATTAAGTGTGGAAATAAAAGAACCTCTGTTTTTAATCTTTCAAGATGTTTTTCTTTCAAGAATTGTACTGGAGGATTGGAGGATGGGAGATGTGGTTCCTATTTTCAAAAATGGTTCAAAATCATTTCCAGGAAATTATAGACATGTGAGCTTAACGTATGTGGTTGGGGAAGTATCTGAAGGGTTATTAAGGGATAAAATTCATGAATTAATGTGAAGAACATGGTTATCAGCAAAAATTAGTATGGTTGCAAAAAAACATTGGTAATGTAAAAGTAACTTAATTGCATTCTATGAAGAAGTAATTAGAAGTATAGATCAGGGTGCTGCAGTGGATGTGATCTACTTGAATTTTGCCAAGACATTTGATATGTGTTCCACTCAATAGGTTAGAGTTCTAACTAGAGTACGAGGATTTGTCATTAATGGTAAATTTTCAAACTGGACAAAAGTGACAGGTGTTGTCCTCAATGTTCTGTTCAGGGTCCACTTATATTTAACATATTTATAAATGATCTTGAAATAAGCATTGAAAGTCGTGTTTCAGTGTTTGCAGATGACAAAAAACTCTGTAAAGTAATACAATGTGAGCAGGGTATTACTTTGCTGCCAAAGGATTTTGATGAACTGGGGTACTGGGCACTCAAATGACATTTTAAATATAATGTAAAAAAAAATGCAAAGCAATGCACTTCGTTGTTATGAATGCACAAGCAACTTATACCTTAATAGAAACATATTAGGGATAACAATACACGAGAAGGACTTGGGAATTGTTGTAGACAACAAACTATACAACAATGTGTAATGTCAATCATCAGTGGCTAAGGCCAGTAGAGTATTGGCATGTATAAAAAGGGGCATTAATTCTCTGGATGAGAATGTAATTTTGCCTCTTTATAAATCACTGGTAAGACAGCATCTTGAATATGCTGTGCACTTTTGGGTACCTGTTCTAAAGGAGGATAATATGGCACTAGAAAAAGTGCAGAGGTGAACTACAAAATTAGTAATAGGAATGGAACATTTTAGCTATGAAGAAAGGTTAACACATTTAAACATCTTTAGTTCAGTGAAACAGCCCCTCAGAGGGGATATAATAAGATTATACCAATATATCCAGGGCCAATACAAACCATTGTTTGGAAATGTATTATCTGAAAAAAATCTATTCACAAACAGGTCTACACAATGGACACAAGGTCATGATTTTAGACTGGAAGAAAGAAGATTTAGTCCAAAGCAAAGGAAATGTTTTTTTTTATGTTTAAACAGCAACTAGATGCATACATGCAAAAACATAATATTCATGGATATCATTTTTTATTTGTATAGTAAGAGCTTCTTGATCCAGGGATTAATCGGACTGACCTTATTGGAGCAAGAAGGTTTTTTTCCTACTTTAGTGCAAAATTGGTAGTACTTCAAACTGTTTTTTTTTTTTTTGCTTTCTTTTGGATTAACAGCAAAAACAGATGTGAGAAAGACCGAACTTGATGGACACAGGTCTCTTTACAGCCTATGCAACTATGTAACTTTCATTTATAAAGAGGCAATCTTTTATTTTTATCCAGAGAATACATTCACACATTTTTATGACGATATATTCTAACTAACTCAGTACTTTTTTGAATATATAAATGATGATGACAAGACGGTTTTAGAAAGTTCACACATTTATTAAAATTTTGAACAAAACATTTAGTAAACAGTTTTAGTTGGAAGCAAAGGTGCTCTGGATCCAGGAGTTGTAGTTGCAGACCCTGGCGTAGACTCCGGGGTAGTTCCTCAAAGCACAGCCATATCCCCAGGACACAACACCTTGGAGCTGACCATTACAGACCACGGGGCCACCAGAGTCACCCTGAGGGAAGGAGAGAGAATGTAAAATATTAAAAATGTTAAAGATATAGCCATGGATTTTGAGATATATTTCACTTCCCCACTGGAAATATTAAATCAAACATCAATTTTCAGATACATTACCTGGCAGGAATCCTTGCCTCCTTCAACGTAGCCAACACAGATCATGTTAGTGGTGATCTGTCCTGGGTAGGCACTGCTACACTGAGAACTTGTCAGGATGGGTGCATTCAAACACTGCAGGAGACTTGGATAGTTGGCTGAAATAAAATAAAATGAAATAAAATCATAATCTTGTTACATGTACACATTCTTTATGAGTTCATTGCAGTATGTTATCTCTATTAGGTACTGGACAAAAATGTTTTGTTAATAAATACTATATGCGATTATTCCTTACCCAGAATCTCCATCAACTTATTAATTTACTCTTTGCCTGTCACATTATATCAACTTTTGCTGAAGACAACAAAATGAAAAGACCATTAACTCCTTCCAGAATGTGGAATATTAACTAGTTATATTGTGTAATTAAAGAAAATGTTTAATAATGTGTGCATTTAACAATATTAAATTGCTCTTGTAACAAACAATGTTTTTGCAATGTAAATGTAAAATAAGAGATGTTTAGTTATAAGCCCTTCATTTACTCTAAACTAGAGTTTGTCTCTGTGTGCTATGTTTTCGAAACTTACTTCCACTGCTGAGTGTGTTTCCCCAGCCAGAAATTAGACAGCTGGTTCCGGCAGCAGCACAGCCAGAGGGCAGAGACACAGTCTTCACATAGCTGTTGAGGGTGGCGGCACTAGCTAGTTTGATCAACATGATGTCATTGTCGGTGGTCCTGGAGTTGTAGCTGGGGTGTCTGATGACCTTGGCAGAGTTAATGAACTGCTCAGTGCCCTCACTTACATCAATGTTGTGCTCTCCCAGTCTGACCTGAACACTCCTGCATGAGGGAAACATAGGACATTTTTAAGAGAAAGTTAACACATTGGTTGAATTTCATTCATTCTAAATATGAACTTGTGATGCATTTCTACAAAAATGTTCAATCATTTTTTTCTGTAATTTCATTCATCTATGTCAACGTTAAGTGAAACTTACGCCTTGTAGCAATGGGCAGCAGACACCACCCACAGGCTAGTAACCAGGGTACCTCCGCAGAAATGGTAGCCAGAGTTGAGGGATACGATGTATGGGACGGAGTTCTTGGTGCAGGTGTAACCTCCTACAATCTTATCATCATCATCCTCAAATGCAACTGTGGGGATTGGAGAAAAATATTTTTGCCGCTATGCTCATGATTTGCTTGCTGTTACATTTTAGTCATTGGAAGATAGGAAACATTAGACTTAATTTAAATATAATAATCATAGTATAATTAATATTATTCAAAGGGATCCTTAATATTACATTTTAAATATAACTGTGTTCATGGCCATAGTGGAGATTTTTTCAATTTGTTTCCTTTGATTTTTTTTTTATTTTTTTTTAATAGTACATTAAGTGTATTTTTAAATGCTACAAATAAGTTATGATGTCATGGGTAGCTAAAAAACAAATGTATTGTAAAGTTGAAAAAACAAATACTAAAAACTATTTCACCATGTGTGTGTTTTTAATTTTATAAGTCTAAAATATTATGGTGGATAAAAAATATGTAATACTAACATGAAATTAAATATATATTTTTAAATGAGACAGAAAGTACTTCTGCTAATAATAATATTTCTTACCAGCAGCTCCAAGGAGCACGCAGATCAGAAGAAGTTTCATCCTGGTGGTATGTCTGTGGGATGTTTTGGGTGAAATTAAGTCAGTATTTATATATTTTTACCCAGAGTTACTCCTGCCCCCATAGAATGTTATCATATTATGTAAATACTGCACAATCTGGTTAATGTGTACTTTTTATATGATCAATCGCCTTGAATTTAGTTTTTTCCAAGAATGTAAAACATATATGTAAAAATGTTAACCTCTTTACTACCACGGACAAACACACACACACACACAACCCTCACCCTCTCCCCTCTCCCCCACCACCCACATACAAACAGACACACTCTCAGTATTTTGGGTGCTCTGGAAAGCAATGTTTAAAGGTTTGGTTTTTTTTCATTTCAGTATGCATAGGTTATAGATTATTTAATGGAGATAAAAAAAATAATAATTTTGGTTAGACAGAAATTTTTTAAAATCCATTGTACCCCATAATGAAGTTACAATGAAGAAAGCATTGATGTAAATAAAAAGAAAATTGTATCCCACATATTCTAAAATCCTTTCACATACTTTATCCCGTATGCACTCATTTCTCAGTTGCCATGTTGCCAATCCATACCATATTGCCTTACAAAGTTTTGTTTTTCTCGAGTTATAACGATAGAGAGTACCTTTTTATTTTCTTCTACTATCCTACTCTTTCTTTAATTCAATATGTCCACAGTATTTTTCCAATGATGTACACGACAGTAGAGTTGATAAAAAATTGATGCTGAGGTATCCATTTTGTTCTTCAACATGGTGGATCTTTTCGATTCCTAATTTATGTGTTACTATACCTAGCTAAGTCTCTCCATACACAATATAGACCTAAAAAGATTAAGCTGTGCTGTTGGCTTATAACCTTCGATACAAATTTGATTGATCTCCCAAATGGCAGACTCCTTGTTAAAAATCATTTCTCTAAATGTAAAAGGCATCAACAGCCCACATAAATGGTGCCTCAGGAAATGCATAAATCCAAAGCAGTAATTATCTGCTTTAAAGAGTCCAATTTTTGTGCCCACAAACAATGTCATTTCCAATCTAAAAAGTACCCACAAGCTTTTCACACAAGTCAAAAATAGTCTCTATATTCTTCCACGCTGTTTGGGTCTTCCAATTACACAAACAATATAAAGATGAATTGGGCAGGGTACTGATTCTGGCAGTTACACTGAATAGTTAAAAAGTCACAAGTTCCTCTCTGTATGCACTTGATCACTCCTAAGAAAGGCACTGAAAAATATCACTTCAATAAAGTTGAGGCCACACTACAATATCTGGGGCCTTTATTGTACCCAATATTAGACATTAAGTGGGAAAACAATAAACACACCACCCCTGCATCATTGGCATATAGCCAAGCACTAACCAACTTATTCCATGTCCATGATCTCTCTTGGCGCAGTCTTTACCCAGCTGACAATGATTATACCTATTACTCCCCAGTACACCTGACATACTCACATATAGACTTGTGTGTAGTACACAAGGCATCTCTATCTAATATAGCAGATGTCTCAATAAAAAAAATAAACATAAAACAATCCAGCTCACTACCATAGGACATTTTGGAAGCCCATGTGCTAACATTAATCTAAACTAGGTAAACAACCCACTGATTGTGCCAGTCTGAGTTCTATCTCACTTTTAAATGCAGATATCAAATTATATGTCAGACCTTTGGCAAGAAGATTAAAAGTACTGCCACAACTGATATCTGCAGAGCAGGTAAGATTTGCCCTAGGTAGACAGGCAGGTGATAACACTAGATATTTCATAAATGTATTTAATTGGGCAAACTCTAGCAAACAACATGAAGTGATTTTGACGTTAGACACCAAAAAAGCTTTTGAGCGACTAAACTGGAATTACATGCAAACCATCATGCTCAAAATGGGGTTATCAGATATCTATTTAAGAATCATTTCAGTGCACTACTAAGGTCTATAGTTCAGAATTTTATCGAAAACATTTGCAATAACCAATAGCATACGTCAGGGTTGTCCTTTATCCTCACTGTTCTTCATACTGTGTCTAGAGCCCCAGATTGATAAATGTCAGGCACCAGATCAGTGATGTAATACAAAATATAGCAAAAGTTTGGGTCTCCTTTAGACCGGAATGCTTCCTGTTACACATAGCAACAGAAATCTTAACAACTCCTAATAAAATTGGAATCATTCATCTGCTTCTAGCAGCAAAAATCTGTATTTCAAGAGAGTGGAGAGGAGAATGTCCCACTTTTTTACAGGAGGTCTGGATCAGGGATGACTCAGTCTACCAATATGAGAAAAAGTCCTACATACTAATAGGCAGAGAGGAAGACCACGCTAAACTATGGAAATGTTGGCAAGGGTGTACTAACCTCTAATCACACACTGACCACAAGCTCTTACCTCCTAAATCTTTACAAAGAGGTCACAAAATGGCCACTTTTAGTTCACTACAGTGTTAAACTGCAAAGTAGTATACTCCTGATTGTTACCAAAGGTGTTGAGTTAAGGGCATCACAGGACAACTTGAAACTGTCTGCCACACTGGAACTCTTAAATGGGACTCAACTCTCTCTCTCCTTCTTTCTTCTTTTCTGTGCCTACTGATAACCTTCTCCTCACATAATCCCAGTTATATATGCATTTACCATTGGTTTTTCTTCGGGCAAGACATCTTGGATTTGATGTTAGCAATCACAAGGTGCAGGATTTGTAACGATTCATACATAACTATTGTATTTTGTGCTTAAACTACCCATCATGATTTAATGTACTGATCACTGTTTTTACTGTAAGTGTATAAGATATAATGAACATTGTACTCCAATACCAACATTTCTATTATGTATACTAATGATGCTATATTTAAAGATGTTCAGTTTACTGTCTGAATTTTTTTAATAAAAAGAGACATGTGAAAAAAAAATAAACAAGTAGTATATATCTATATCCAACTTACAGTTTATGTAAGTGGCACTGTGCAACTGGTAGAGACTAGCCACAGCAATAACCTAATCAGTCTTACATTAGGTTCAATGACAAAGGTTCTTTCTCAATCAAAGTCATCTTAAATAATTACCCCTAAATCCTTTATCTCAGATGTTGAGGTTAGGACTATATCAAATATTCTATACTTACACTCAAGATGCATTGTCTTGCAGTTATCCATATTAAATGTCAGTTTCCAGAGCTCTGACCATTTTTCAAGTTTACCTAATAAAAATGACCATTTGACTTATCCCTCCTGGAACAACAACCCTGTTGCAAATCTGTGTATCATCATCAAAAAGTTATACCTTACTATCAAGATCTTCTGAAATATCACTAATAAAAATATTGAAGAGAAAATGTCAAAGTACAGATCCCTGAGGTATCCCACTGTTAACAAGACCTTGCTTCAAATATGCCCCATTGACTACAACCCTATGTTGCCTGCCATTAGCTACTGCCTAACCTATTCAACAATATAGGAATCCAAACTCAAAGATCGCAGGTTATTGATGAGCCTTCTACAGTGAGGGAAAAAGTATTTGATTCCCTGCTGATTTTGAACATTTGCCCACTGACAAATAAATGATCTGTATGTAATTTTAATGGTGTCAAAAAAGTTATAAATTGATTTGCATGTCAATGAGTGAAATGTGTATTTGATCCGCTATCAATCAGCAAGATTTCTGGCTCCCGAGTGTCTTTTATACAGGTAATGATTAAAGGGAGTGGTCCAATTCTCAGCTCATTACCTGTATAAAAGACACCTGTCCACAGAAGTAATCAATCAATCAATCAATCAAACAATCAATCAGATTTCAAACTCTCCAATATGGCCAAATGTCAAGTAAGTGGAATGTGATAAGGAAAATGTTGAAGCTTTATGGGTAAATATCTGCTTGGGACAAAATAAGGGAAATCAATTATTGGTAGGGATATGTTATAAAACACCTTAATAATGATGAGGAAGAACAGCTGCATTGGGAAAGCTTAAAATCTGGGTAACACACTAATTATTGGAGATTTTAATTACCCCAAATAAAATTGGATAGAGGGACTAGTAGTTCAGCAAAGGTAATTTGGTTTTTGAACTTGTTTAATGACACCTTAATGTCACAACTTGTACAAGCACCAACTAGGAATGCTTGTCTGGATTTGGTAATAACAAACAATGTTGATCTTTTGACCAGCATTCATGTATGGGAGCACTTGGGAAACAGTGATCACAATATAGTATCTTTTGAAATAAACTAAAAACAAAAACAAATGCACATGGGTATACTAAAACATATACTTTTAAAAAAGTAAATTTCAATAAGATAAGGGCAGCTTTACAGTGTATTGACTGGTATAAACTCTAGTAAAAAATAAAAAAAAACTGAGGATTTGTTTGCATATCTTCAAACAAATGTTAGAAAGGTACATTTCTCAGTATGTGCAATTGGGTAATAAACATAAAAGAAACAAATTAAAACCAATGTGGCTTAGTGGGAAAGTAAATTAAGAAATTGGACATTTAAAGCATTCAAATCGGACAAATCAGAGGCATCGTATAAAAGCTATAAGGAAGCCTATAATGCATGTAGTTTTGCTTTAGATTTGCTAAACTACAAAATGAGGAAGAGATAGCCAAACAAAGCAAAACCAACTCCAAAATATTTTATAAGTACATAAATAAAAAATTTAAAAATAAAATGAAAGTGTAGTTACACAGAAAACTGTGATGGGGAAAACCATAATGGGGGTGATAGTTAATAAAGATGAGGAAAAGTCAGAGGTTTTAAATAACTATTTCTCCTCAATATATATTAAGGAAGAAACTATGGCTATTGATATGCAAATACTTGCTGGAAGAAACGTGCAGAAAAAGTGTGATTGGATGACTCAAGATAATGTACTGCAGGAACTAAAGAAAGTTAATATAAACAAAGCTCCAGGGCCTGATGGTATTCACCCACAAGTACTTAAGGAATTAAGTGTGGAAATAAAAGAACCTCTGTTTTTAATCTTTCAAGATGTTTTTCTTTCAAGAATTGTACTGGAGGATTGAAGGAAGGGAGATGTGGTTCCTTTTTTCAAAAATGGTTAAAAATTATTGCCAGGAAATTATAGACCTGTGAGATTAATTTATGTGGTTGGGGAAGTATCTGAAAGGTTATTAAGGGATAAAATTCATGAATTCATGTGAAGAACATGGTTATCAGCAAAAATTAGTATGGTTGTAAAAAAACATTGGTCATGTAAAAGCAACTCAATGGCATTCTATGAAGAAGTAATTAGAAGTATAGATCAGGGTGCTGCAGTGGATGTGATGTACTTGGATTTTGTCAAGACGTTTGATATGTGTTCCACTCAATAGGTTAGAGTTCTAACTAGAGTAGAAGGAGTTGTCATTAATGGTAAATTTTCAAACTGGACAAAAGTGGCAGGTGTTGTCCTCAATGTTCTGTTCAGGGTCCACTTATATTTAACATATTTATAAATGATCTTGAAATAAGCATTGAAAGTCATGTTTCAGTGTTTGCAGATGACAAAAAACTCTGTAAAGTAATACAATGTGAGCAGGGTATTACTTTGCTGCCAAAGGATTTTGATGAACTGGGGGACTGGGTACTCAAATGACATTTGAAATATAATGTAGAAAAAATGCAAAGTTATTCACTTCGGTGTTATGAATGCACAATTAATTTATACCTTTAAAAGAAACGAATTAGGGATAACAATACATGAGAAGGACTTGGGAATTGTTGTAGAAAACAAACTATGCAACAATGTGTAATGTCAATCAGCAGTAGCTAAGGCCAGTAGGGTATTGGCATGTATAAAAAGTGGCATTAATTCTCTGGATGAGAATATAATTTTGCCTCTTTATAAATCACTGGTAAGACCACATCTTGAATATGCTGTGCACTTTTGGGCACCTGTTCTAAAGGAGGATAATATGGCACTAGAAAAACTGCAGAGGTGAACTACAAAATTAGTAATAGGAATGGAACATTTTAGCTATAAAGAAAGGTTAACACATTTAAACATCTTTAGTTCAGTAAAACAGCCCCTCAAAGGGGATATAGTAAGATTATACCAATATATCCAGGGCCAATACAAACCATTGTCTGGAAATGTATTATCTAAAAAAAAATCTATTCACAAACAGGTCTACACAGTGGACACAAGGTCATGATTTTAGACTGGAAGAAAGGAGATTTAGTCCAAAGCAAAGGAAAGTTTTTTGTTTTTTTATGTTTAAACAGCAACTAGATACATACATGCAAAAACATAATATTCATGGATATCATTTTTTAATTGTATGGTAAGAGCTTTTTGATCCAGGGATTAATCTGACTGACCTTCTTGGATCAAGAAGGATTTTCTTCTTTGTTGCAAGTTTGGAAGTACTTCAAACTGTTTTTTTTTTTTTTGCTTTCTTTTTGGATTAACAGCAAAAACAGATATGAGAAAGACTGAACTTGATGGACACATGTCTCTTTACAGCCTATGCAACTATGTAACTTTGATTTATAAAGAGGCAATCTTTTATTTTTATCCAGAGAATACATTCACACATTTTTATGACGATATATTCTAACTAACTCAGTACTTTTTTGAATATATAAATGATGATAACATGAAGTAGTTAGAAAGTTCACACATTTATTAAAATCTTGCACAAAACATTTAATAAACAGTTTTAGTTGGAAGCAAAGGTGCTCTGGATCCAGGAGTTGTAGTTGCAGACCCTGGCGTAGACTCCGGGGTAGTTCCTCAAAGCACAGCCATATCCCCAGGACACAACACCTTGGAGCTGACCATTACAGACCACGGGGCCACCAGAGTCACCCTGAGGGAAAGAGAGAGAATGTAAAATTTTAAAAACGTTAAAGATATAGCCATGGATTTTGAGATATATCTCACTTCCCCACTGGAAATATTAAATCAAACAGCAATTTTCAGATACATTACCTGGCAGGAATCCTTGCCTCCTTCAACGTAGCCAACACAGATCATGTTAGTGGTGATCTGTCCTGGGTAGGCACTGCTACACTGAGCACTTGTCAGGATGGGTGCGTTCAAACACTGCAGGAGACTTGGATAGTTGGCTGAAATAAACAAAAATGAAATAAAATCATAATCTTGTTACATGTACACACTCTGTATGAGTTCATTGCAGTATATTATCTCTATTAGGTACTGGACTAAAATGTTTTGTTAATAAATACTGTTTATATGATCCTTCCTTACTCAGAATCTCCATCAATTTATTAATTCACTCTTTGACTTTCACCTTATATCAACCTTTGCTGAAGGTAACAAAATGGAAAGACCATTAACTCCTTCCAGCATGTGGAATATTAACTAATTATATTGTGTAATTAAAGAAAATGTTTAATAATGTGTGCCTTTAACAAATAATGTTTTTGCAATGTAAATGTAAAATAAGAGATGTTTAGTTATAAGCCCTTCATTTACTCTAAACTAGAGTTTGTCTCTGTGTTCTATTTTTTTTTTTAAACTTACTTCCACTGCTGAGTGTGTTTCCCCAGCCAGAAATCAGACAGCTGGTTCCGGCAGCAGCACAGCCAGAGGGCAGAGACACAGTCTTTACATAGCTGTTGAGGGTGGCGGCACTAGCTAGTTTGATCAACATGATGTCATTGTCAGTGGTCCTGGAGTTGTAGCTGGGATGTCTGATGACCTTGGCAGAGTTAATGAACTGCTCTGTGCCCTCACTTACATCGATGTTGTGCTCTCCCAGTCTGACCTGAACACTCCTGCATGAGGGAAACATAGGACATTTTTAAGAGAAAGTCAACACATTGGTCGAATATCATTCATTCTAAATATGAACTTGTTATGCATTTCTAAAAAAATGTTCAGTCATTTTTGTCTGAAATTTAATTTATCTATGTCAACGGTAAGTGAAACTTACGCCTTGTAGCAATGGGCAGCAGACACCACCCACAGGCTGGTAACCAGGGTACCTCCGCAGAAGTGGTAGCCAGAGTTGAGGGATACGATGTATGGGACGGAGTTCTTGGTGCAGGTGTAGCCTCCTACAATCTTATCATCATCATCCTCAAATGCAACTGTGGGGATTGGAGAAAAATATTTTGCTCATGATTTGCTTGCTTTTACATTTTAGTCATCTACCATTATTGCACGTCTTGTTGTAAATTATATCTTTTATTATGAAATTCATATGGCTCAATGAAAAATATTTATATGGTTAAATTGAAGGTGTAAACTACATATGCAATCAAAATATATTTTTCAAAAATGTATTTATTTTACATAAATTGCAATATTGGAAGATTGGAAACATTAGACTTAATTTAAATAAAATAATCGTAGTATAATTAATATTATTTATAGGGATTCTTAATATTACATTTTAAATATAACTGTGCTCATGGCCATAGTGGAGATGTTATCTATGTATTTCCTTAGAAATAAGTATATTTTTAAATTCTACAAATAAGTTATGATGTCATAGGTAGCTCAAAAACAAATGCATTGTAAAGTTGAAAAAAAATACTAAAAGCAATTTCACCATATGTGTGTTTTTAATTTTATAAGTCTAAAATATTATGGTGGTGAAATTGATGAAAAATATGTAACAATACCATGAAATTAAATATATATTTTTAATTGAGACAGAAACTACTACTACTAATAATAATATTTCTTACCAGCAGCTCCAAGGAGCACGCAGATCAGAAGAAGTTTCATCCTGGAGGTATGCCTGTGGGATGTTTTGGGTGAAATTAAGTGAGTATTTATATATTTTTACCCAGAGTTACACCTGCCCCCATAGAATGTTATCATATTATGTAAATACTGCACAATCTGGTTAAGGTGTACACTTTATATGATCAATTACCTTGAATTTTTTTTTTCCAAGAATGTAAAACATATATGTGCCAATGTTAACCTCTTTACTACCACGGACAAACACACACACACACACACACACATACACTGAGTAATTTGAGAGCTCTGGAAGGTAATGTTTAAATGTGTTTTCATTTCAGTATGCATAGATTAAAGATTATTTAATGGAGATAAAAAAAATTTTTGGGTTAGACAGAAATTTTTTAAAAACCATTGTACCACATAATGAAGTTACAAAAAAATTGTATTCCACATATTCTATAATCTTTTCACATACTTTATCCCATATGCACTAATTTCTCAGTTACCATGTTGCCCACCCATACCATATTGCCTTACAAAGTTTTGTTTTTCTCGAGTTATACCGATACACAGTACTGTTCTTCATACTATGTCTAGAGCCCCAGACTGATAAACTTCTGGCACCAGATCAATGAAGTAATACATAAGATAGCAAAATTTTGGGTCCCCTTTAGACCGGAATGCTTCCTGTCACACATAACATAGCAATAGAGACCTTAACCAGCAAAAATCAGTATTGCAAGACAGTGGAGAGGAGAATGCCCCACTTTTTTTTACAGGAGGTCTGGATCAGGGTTAACTCAGTCTACAAATATGAAAAAAATGTCCTACATACTAAGAGGCAGATAGGAAGTCCATACTAAAATATGGAAATGTTGGCAAGGGTGTACTAACCTCTAATCACACAATGACCACAAGCTCTTACCTCCTAAATCTTTACAAAAAGGTCACGAAATGACCACTTTTAGTTCACTTTTAGTCTTAAATTGCAAAGTAGTATACTCTGGATTGTTACCAAAGGTACTGGGATAAGGGCATTGCAGAACGCTAGACAACTTGACACTGTCTGCCACACTGTGACTCTTAAATGGGACACAACTCTCTCTCCCTTCTTTATTATTTTCTGTAAAATACAAAATACAAATATACACAGCAAGAATAATCAAATAAAGTGTGGTAGCTGCGCTACAAACCTCCAGGACGCCCGATTATTTCGGGCATCGATTCTATACAACCCTCCAGGACGCCCGATTATTTCGGGCATCGATTCTATATCCTCGAGAATTTCTGAGTATATAGATATACTGTTACAACCGATAGTTTGCAAAACAAGAGCACATCTTAAAGATACAATTCATATTCTGCAAGTTTTAGATTCGATGCAATGGAAGGAAAGCTACCACTTAGTAACAAGTGATGTTACATCCCTTTATACCATTATTCCACATGACATGGGGATAAAGGCAGTGGAATATTTCCTCATGAAAGCTAATTTTAAAACAGAACAAATCAATTTCATTTTAGAGGGAATCCAACTTATTCTGCATAATAATTATTTCTGGCACCACGATTCCTTTTATCTACAAATCAGAGGTACAGCAATGGGCACCAAATTTGCACCCAGCTACGCAAATTTGTTTATGGCGTATTGGGAGGAACACTTCATCTTTTCCTCACATCCTTGGGTGTCGAATTTGGTGTCCTACTGACGATATATCGATGACATTTTTTTAATCTGGGAGGGGTCCATAGACCTATTGGAAAATGTTAAATTTTTTTTGAATGAGAATGATTGGGGAATCATTTTGACAACTGTGCAAAGCCCCACAGATATTCAATTTTTAGATTTGTCAATTTTTATACGGAATGGACAAATTTTAACAAAGAACTATTTTAAGGAAGTGGACGCAAACGGGTATATCGAGAAATCAAGTTGCCATCACAAACCGTGGCTGAAGAATGCGCCAAAAGGACAATTCCTAAGAATCAGGCGCAACTGTACAAATGATGATGACTACAGAATACAGGCAGGAAAAATAAAAAAACAGTTTGAAGAGAAAGGATATGAGGAAAAAGAATTAGAGAAAGTTATGGAGGAGGTAAAACAAATTCCAAGAACAGAATTATTAATGTATAAACCAAAAACTGATCAACAAAAATACTCAAAAACAATTCCCTTCGTATGCAATTTTAATGGTAACCATAAAAAAATTAATAAAGTTATAAAGAAATACTGGCATATTTTACAAGAAGACACGGTTTTAAAAGGCATTTTACCAAATCAACCCCATATAATATATAGAGGAGCAGCTAATCTTAAAAGAACTTTAGTACAAAGTAGTGAAGGACCTAAATCTAATGTCCATTTTTTAAATCAAAATAAAGGTTTTTATGGGTGTGGGACCTGTTTAGCCTGTAGAACCACTAAAAGTAAAAAAAGATGCATAACCAACATTAATGAATATACGAATAAAGATTTTACTATTAGGGACCAATTGACGTGTTTTTCGAAAGGAGTAATTTACATGTTAAAATGCCCCTGTGATTTACTTTACATAGGAAGAACTATAAGATGTGTACATGTGAGAATTTCAGAACACATACGCAATATTAAGAAAGGACTAGAGACACATAGTGTATCCAACCATTTTAAAACTCATCATAATCAGGATCCTGAAAGTCTTTTTTTCTGTCCTTTAAAACTGGTAAAAAAAGACTGGAGGGGAGGTGATTTTAATAAAAAAATCGGAATAGAAGAAATGAGATTTATATATAATTTCAATACCCTTATACCACATGGGTTAAACGCAGACTTTGAGATGTGTCACTTCTTTTAAAGATCGCTAATATAGAATATCTTCCTTTTTTTAGGGCAACAGCATAGTTTTTAGTTTTTCATTTATTTCTAATTTGAAGATCACATAGAGATTTTCTGCTGCACAACATAAGTTTGGAGAACTGTCACTTTGAACGTCAGTACGGTGATTTTAAAAATTGACAAGATGGAAATCAAAATTGGATATATATTAAAAAGGAAAAAAAAAAAAAAAAGTTTTTCAGTTTAAAGATCTCTCAATATAGAAGGGTAAGACCATTTAAACACCAATTGAAAAATGAATTATTTCTAAATTACAGAAATCACCACCTCACGTGAGAGCATGAATATCACAGCATGGTCATTAGTGTTGCATGTTATTAACATAGAATTACATTAACTAGATACTATATTTTCTTTATTTATACTATCTTCTATGGAATATTACATTTAAGATTAGTATCCAATATTTCTCAAGAATGTATATAGTAAGATGATTCACTGTTTAAATATTGCATTTTGGAATTCACAGTGAATACACTGCGAATTCCACTAATACGAGTTTAGGTTCAGAGATACAGAACAGAATGAAGAAGAGGTCTGGAACACATGATGCGTTCCAGATGCATCGCCGCCGGAACCCGGAAGTAGAACGGCGCACCCGGAAATGGAAAAACGGCCACATTTGGAACGCAAGATGCGTTCCAAATAGACATCGGCCGGAACCCGGAAGTCATACACGGACTGGGGGATAAAAGCACGCCAAACTGGAAGAAATTATACCGATTGAGAAAGCCCCCGGAGGGGCGAAACGCGTTTCGGTCATTTTTTGGACTATTACAGCCAATTGGCAGGACTTATTTACTCAGCAATATAGCTATTTATTTTATTATTTCTTTTCCTTTTAATGAAGTTTTATTACTGTTTTTATATAATAAATAGTATTTTTCAAGATACACATTGGACCCTGGATCTCATTTTAATTGGATCAGCTAACAGCCTATGTGGAAGAAGGAAGGGGACATCCTCTTAAATAGTCCCAAGGCGATATCCATGGGAGCCATATGAGATTTGGCTCCAGGCTTGTGAGTACCAGAACTCATTTTCTTCATATTCCATTATCCAGAATTTACTACACTATTACGTGTTTTATTTATATCTCTTACAGACATTATTCAAGTGTGATCCACCCTCTATATTGTATGTATTTGCCTTTTATTATTTTCTGTGCCTACTGATATCCTTCTCTTCACATAATCTCAGTTATATATGCATTTACCATTGTTTTTCTTCAGGCAAGACATCTTGGAATTGATTTTAGCAATCATAAGTGTAGGATTTGCACCAATTCGTAAATGACTCTATTGTATTTTGTGATAAAACTACCCAAGTCATGACTTAATGTACTGATCACTATGTTTTTACTGTCAATGTATAAGATATAATGAACATTGTACTCCAATACCTACATTTATCTTATATATACAAATGATGCTATATTCAATGATGTTCTGTTAGGTGCCTGACATTTTTTAATAAAAAGAGACATGTGAAAAACAATAAACAAGTAGTATATATCTATATCCAACTCACAGTTTATGTAAGTGGCACTGTGCAACTGGCAGAGGCGACCCACAGCAATAACCTAATCAGTCTCACACTAGGTTCAATGACAAAGGCTCTTTCTCAATCACAGTTGTTGTAAGCAGTACAATCAGTTACTTAGAAACATAGAAACAAAGAATGTGATGGCAGATAAGAACTGTTCGGCCCATCTAGACTGCTCCATTTTCTAAATAGTTTTCTTAGTCCCTGGCTGTTTCTTATATCTAGCATAGCCATATGCCTTAAACTCCCTTACTGTGTTAACCTCTACCACTTCAGCCTTGAGGCTATTCCATGCATTCACTACCATTTCAGTTAAGTAATACTTCCTGATATAATTTTTAAATCTATGCCCCTCTAATGTAAGACTATGTCCTCTAGTTTTCTCCTTTTATATATATTCTCTTCCTTTACTGTGTTGATCTCTTGTATGTATTTAAATATTTCTATCATATCCCTCCTGTCTCATCTTTCCTCGAAACTATACATGTTAAGATCCTTTAATCTATTCTGGTGAGTTTTACCATGCAATCCATGAACCAGCTTAGTAGCCCTTCTCTGAACTCTCTCCAAAGTATCAATCTCCTTCTGGAGATATGGTCTCCAATATTGCATGAACACTTCCCTCTTTCTACTGCTAATATATATCTCCCTATATAACCAAGCATTTAGCTAGTATTTCCTGCTACTCTATTACATTGTTTGTCTATCTTTAAGCTATTTTGAATAATTACCCCTAAATCCTTTATCTCAGATGTTGAGGTTAGGACCATATCAAATATTCTATACTTACACCCAAGATGCATTGTCTTCCACTTTTCCATATTAAATGTCAGTTACCAGAGCTCTAACCATTTTTCTAGTTTACCTAAAAAATTTACCATATGGCTTATCCCTACTGGAACAACAACCCTGTTGCAAATCTTTGTATCATCATCAAAAAGATATACCTTACTATCAAGATCTTCTGAAATATCACTAATAAAAATATTGAAGAGAAAAGGTCCAAGTACAGATGCCTGAGGCATCCCACTGTTAACAAGACCTTGCTTCAAATATGCTCCATTGACTATAACCCTATGTTGCTTGTCATTAGCTACTGCCTAACCTATTCAACAATATTGGAATCCAAACTCAAAGATCGCAGGTTGTTGATAAGCCTTCTACAGTAAGCTGATTTTGAACATTTGCCCACTGACAAATAAATGATCTGTCTATAATTTTAATGGTGGGTGTGTCAAAAAAGTTATAAATTGATTTGTATGTCAATGAGTGAAATGGGTATTTGATCCGCTATTAATCACCAAGATTTCTAGCTACCGGGTGTCTTTTATACAGGTAATGATTAAAGGGAGTGCTCCTAATCTCAGCTCGTTACCTGTATACAAGACACCTGTCCACAGAAGCAATCAATCAATCAGATTCCAAACTTTACAATATGGCCAAATGTCAAGTAAGTGGAATGTGATAAGGAAAATGTTGAAGCTTTATGGGTAAATATCTGCTTGGGACAAAATAAGGAAAATCAATTATTGGTAGGGATATGTTAGAAACCACCTTAATAATGATGAGGAAGAACAGCTGCATTGGGAAAGCTCAAAATCTGGGTAACACACAAATTATTGGAGATTTTAATTATCCCAAATAAAACTGGATAGAGGGACTAGTAGTTCAGCAAAGGTAATTCAGTTTTTTAACTTGTTTAATGACACCTTAATGTCACAACTTGTACAAGCACTAATGAGGAAGAATGCTTGTCTGGATTTGGTAATAACAAACAATGTTGATCTTTTGACCAGCATTCAAGTATGGGAAACAGTGATCACAATATAGTATCTTTTGAAATAAACTAAAAACAAAAACAAATGCACATGGGTATACTAAAACATATACTTTAAAAAAAGTAAATTTCAATAAGATAAGGGCAGCTTTACAGTGTATTGACTGGTATAAACTCTAGTAAAAAATAAAAAAAACTGAGGATTTGTTTGAATATCTTCAAACAAATGTTAGAAAGGTACATTTCTCAGTATGTGCAATTGGGTAATAAACATAAAAGAAACACATTAAAACCAATGAAGCTTAGACAGAAAGTAAATCAAGAAATTGGACATTTAAAGCATTCAAATCGGACAAATCAGAGGCATCGTATAAAAGCTATAAGGAAGCCTATAATGCACAAAGTTTTGCATTAGATTTGCTAAACTACAAAATGAGGAAGAGATAGCCAAACGGAGCAAAACCAGCTCCAAAATATTTTTTAAGTACATAAATATCAAATGTAAAAATAAAATGAAAGTGTAGGTACACTGAAAACCGTGATGGGGAAACCGTAATGGGGTGATAGTTAATAAAAACAAGGAAAAGGCAGAAGTTTTAAATAACTATTTCTCCTCAGTATATATTAAGGAAGAAACTATGGCTATATACATGCAAATAATTGCTGGAAGAAACTTGCAGAAAAAGTGTGATTGGATGACTTAAGACAATGTGCTGCAGGAACTAAAGAAAGTTTATATAGACAAAGCTCCAGGGCCTGATGGTATTCACCCACAAGTACTTAAGGAATTAAGTGTGGAAATAAAAGAACCTCTGTTTTTAATCTTTCAAGATGTTTTTCTTTCAAGAATTGTACTGGAGGGTTGAAGGAAGGGAGATGTGGTTCCTATTTTCAAAAATGGTTCAAAATCATTGCCAGGAAATTATAGCCCTGTGAGCTTAACTTATGTGGCTGGGAAAGTATCTGAAAGGTTATTAAGAGATAAAATTCATGAAGTCATGTGAAGAACATGGTTATCAGCAAAAATTAGTATGGTTGTAAAAAAACATTGGTCATGTAAAAGTTACTTAATTGCATTCTATGTAGAAGTAATTAGAAGTATAGATCAGGGTACTGCAGTGGATGTGATGTACTTGGATTTTGCCAAGACGTTTGATACAGTTCCACTCAATAGGTTAGAGTTCTAACTAGAGTACAAGGAGTTGTCATTAATAGAGTTGAGAGAATCCGGACTGTAAAGTTCGGGTTCGTACCGAACATTACGTTTTTTGGACCCCAGACCTGAACACAGACACATCACTGTATGTTCGGGTTGGAGTTTGGTGTTCGGCGATTTAATGACGCGTTTTGAAAGGCTGCAGGTCAGCCAATCAACAAGCGTTTGACTCGTTTACTGTTAGAAGCCATCACAGCCATGTGATGGCATGGCTGTGATTGGCCAGTGCAGCATGTGACATATCCTCTATATAAGTTGGTTACTTAGTATTATTAGAAATAAAGAAGAAATGAGGAAATGAGGGAAAAATACTCCTCTACCAAGAGAGGAGGCTAGTTCCATCAAAACCAGTAATCCTTTACGAGCAGTACAAATGTAAAACTGCAGAAAAACTATATCACAGAAAAATAATAAAGTTTTATTAAAGATTATAAACGTGAAAAAACTCATCAAAACCTATCTATATACATACACTAAACTGCTTAGCTTTAAACTGTATAGATCTAATTGTAGAAAAAATGGAGCTAATGTGCTCATACAGGGTGCAACAAAGTTACAATAAATGTAATACAATCTTATTGGTGGATTAAGAAACCAATCAGAGTGTTATGAGTCAAATTACACAGCATGGGAAAATTCCAAAGAACTTTCCCACGCTGTGTAAAATGACACAAAGTACTCTGGTTAGCTTGAAATCCATCCAATTAGTGTGCTCTCTGTCATTTTACACAGTGTGGAAAAGTTATTTGGATTTTTCCCACGCTGTGTAAAATGACACAGAGCACTCTGATTGGTTAGCTTGAAATCCGAGATAGGATTTCAAGCTAACCAATCAAAGTGCTCTGTGTCATTTTACACAGCGAGGGAAAGTTCTTTGGAATTTTCCCAAGCTGTGTAAAATGACACAGAGCACTCTGATTGGTGGATTAAGTAACCAATCAGAGTGTTATGAGTCAAATTACACAGTGTGGGAAAATTCCAAAGAATTGGTGGATTTCAAGCCAACCAGAGTGCTGTGACAGGTAAATGTAGAGACTTACTTGTCAGTCTCCTCATTTACCTGTCAGAGCACTCTGATTGGATGGCTTAAACCCACCAATCAGAGTGCTCTGAGCCTAATGGCAGGGCGGGGGAAGGCTTTATAAGCCTTCCCTCGCCCGGCAGAACTCAGTCTGCGCAAAGCCCTCTGTGGGTGAAAATTGATTATTTTTTTTGCGCTTGTTTTTTTTTAGTGTGTTGGTTATTATGGATTTTGATTTGGCCTTTTTTGGGGCTGAAAGAGTTTAGAAGAAAGAAGACATCAAATGGTAAGTCTATTTTTTTTTTTACAGGTATTTAGATCAGGGTTGCCCCTCATTATTTTTAGGATGAGGGGAGTGACTAGGGGTTTGGGGACCCCTAGTCACCTGGGGGGTTACATTTTTATTTAGGGCCCACACCTGCACAGGGGTGGGGGCCGGGGGAGAGGACATAAGGTCCCCCCCAGTTTTTATTTTTGGCCCCCACCCACCGCTCAAGGGTGGGGGCCGGGGGAGGACATTAGGTCCTCCCTCAAATTTGATTTATGGCCCCCACCCACTACTCAGGGGTGGGAGCCAGGGGGAGGACAGTATTGTTATTTAGGGCCCCCACCCACCGCGCAGGGGTGGGGGCTGGGAGGAGGATAGAAGGTCCCCCCTATTGTTATTTGGGGGCCCCCACCTACCGCACAGGGGTGGGGGCTGAGGGGAGGACTGTATGTGCCCCCCACATTCTTATTTATGTCCCCCACCTACCGCTCAGGGGTGGGGGCCGGGTGGAGGACAGTAGTTCCCCCTTATTGTAATTTAGGGCCCCCACCCACCGCTCAGAGGAGGGGGCCTGGGAAAGGACAGTAGGTCCTCCCCCTTATTGTTAGTTAGGGCCCCACACAGGGGTGGGGGCTGGGGAGAGGACTTTAGGTCCCCCCCACAATTTTTATTTATGGCCCCCACCCACCGCTCAGGGGTGGGGGCCGAGAGGAGGACATTAGGTCCCCCCCACATTCTTATTTATGGCCCCCACCCACCGCTCAGGGGTGGGGGCCGGGGGAAGGACAGTAGGTCCCCCCTACTGTTATTTAGGGCCCCAACCCATTGCGCAGGGGTGGGGGCCGGGTGGGGAGGACAGTAGGTCCCCCCCACATTCTTATTTATGGCCCCCACCCACCGCTCAGGGTTGGGGGATGGGGGGAGGACAGTAGGACCCCCTATTGTTATTTAGGGCCCCCATCTGCCGGGCAGGGGTGGGGGCCAAGGGGGAGGACTGTATGTGCCCTCCGACATTCTTATTTATGGCCCCCACCTATCGCTCATGGAATTAGGGAGTTATCTACTAAGCGGCTGCTTATTTTATGTATTTTATGTTTGTTTGCAGGGCACTTGTCCTACTATTACATTCATTTTACTTCTTTTTGCAGCCCTCTAGCCCTTTCCAAGACTTTTCTATAGTCATTTTTGTGCCCAAAAGTTCGGGTTCTCATTGACTTCAATGGGGTTCGGGGTCAAGCTCGAGCCTGAACCCGGACTTTTTTTCAAAGTTTGGCAGAACCTGCCGGACCCGAACATCCAGGTGTCCGCTCAACTCTAGTCATTAATGGTACATTTTTGAACCGGACAAAAGTGGCAGGTGTTGTCCTCAATGTTCTGTTCATGGTCCACTTATATTTAACAGATTTATAAATGATCTTGAAATAAGCATTGAAAGTCATGTTACAGTGTTTGCAGTTGACAAAAAACTCTGTAAAGTAATACAATGTGAGCAAAGTATTACTTTGCTGCAGAGGGATTTTGATAGACTGGGGGACTGGGCACTCAAATGATATATGAAATATAATGTAGAAAAAAGCAAAGTTATGCCCTTCGGTGTTATGAATGCACAAGCAACTTATACTTTTAATAGAAACGAATTAGGGATAACAACACATGAGAAAGACTTGGGAATTGTTGAAGAAAAAACAAACTATGCAACAATGTGCAATGTCAATCAGCAGTGGCTAAGGCCAGTAGGGTATTGGCATGTATAAAAAGGGGCATTAATTCTCTGGATGAGAATATAATTGTGCCTCTTCATAAATCACTGGTAAGACCACATCTTGAATATGCTGTGCACTTTTGGGCACCTTTTCTAAAGGAGGATAATATGGCACTAGAAAAAGTGCAGAGGTGAACTACAAAATTAGTAAAAGGAATTGAACATTTTAGCAATGAAGAAAGGTTAACACATTGAAACCTCTTTAGTTCAGTAAAACAGCTCCTCAGAGGGGATATAATAAGTACCAATATATTCAGGGCCAATACAATCAATTGTCTGGAAATCTATTATCTAAAAAAAAATCTATTCACAAACAGGTCTACACAGTGGACACAAGGTCTTGATTTTAGACTGGAAGAATGGAGATTTAGTGCAAAGCAAAGGAAAAGTTTTTTTTTTTATGTTTAAACAGCAACTAGATGCACACATGCAAAATATAATATTCATGGGTATAATTTTTTAATTGTATGGTAAGAGCTTCTTGATCCAGGGATAAATCTGACTGACCTTCTAGGGGCAAGAAATAATTTTTTCGTAGTTTTTGGAAAATTGGAAGTACTTCAAACTGTTTTTTTTTTTTTTGCTTTCCTTTGGATTAACAGCAAAAACAGATGTGAGCAAGACTGAACTTGATGGACATATGTCTCTTTACAGCCTATGCAACTATGTAACTTTGATTTATAAAGGGGCAATCTTTTATTTTTATCCAGAGAATACATTCACACATTTTTATGACAATATATTCTAACTAACTCAGTACTTTTTTGAATATATAAATGATGATGACAAGACGGTTTTAGAAAGTTCACACATTTATTAAAATTTTGAACAAAACATTTAGTAAACAGTTTTAGTTGGAAGCAAAGGTGCTCTGGATCCAGGAGTTGTAGTTGCAGACCCTGGCGTAGACTCCGGGGTAGTTCCTCAAAGCACAGCCATATCCCCAGGACACAACACCTTGGAGCTGACCATTACAGACCACGGGGCCACCAGAGTCACCCTGAGGGAAGGAGAGAGAATGTAAAATATTAAAAATGTTAAAGATATAGCCATGGATTTTGAGATATATTTCACTTCCCCACTGGAAATATTAAATCAAACATCAATTTTCAGATACATTACCTGGCAGGAATCCTTGCCTCCTTCAACGTAGCCAACACAGATCATGTTAGTGGTGATCTGTCCTGGGTAGGCACTGCTACACTGAGAACTTGTCAGGATGGGTGCATTCAAACACTGCAGGAGACTTGGATAGTTGGCTGAAATAAAATAAAATGAAATAAAATCATAATCTTGTTACATGTACACATTCTTTACGAGTTCATTGCAGTATGTTATCTCTATTAGGTACTGGACAAAAATGTTTTGTTAATAAATACTATATGCGATTATTCCTTACCCAGAATCTCCATCAACTTATTAATTTACTCTTTGCCTGTCACATTATATCAACTTTTGCTGAAGACAACAAAATGAAAAGACCATTAACTCCTTCCAGAATGTGGAATATTAACTAGTTATATTGTGTAATTAAAGAAAATGTTTAATAATGTGTGCATTTAACAATATTAAATTGCTCTTGTAACAAACAATGTTTTTGCAATGTAAATGTAAAATATGAGATGTTTAGTTATAAGCCCTTCATTTACTCTAAACTAGAGTTTGTCTCTGTGTGCTATGTTTTCGAAACTTACTTCCACTGCTGAGTGTGTTTCCCCAGCCTGAAATCAGACAGCTGGTTCCGGCAGCAGCACAGCCAGAGGGCAGAGACACAGTCTTCACATAGCTGTTGAGGGTGGCGGCACTAGCAAGTTTGATCAACATGATGTCATTGTCGGTGGTCCTGGAGTTGTAGCTGGGGTGTCTGATGACCTTGGCAGAGTTAATGAACTGCTCAGTGCCCTCACTTACATCGATGTTGTGCTCTCCCAGTCTGACCTGAACACTCCTGCATGAGGGAAACATAGGACATTTTTAAGAGAAAGTTAACACATTGGTCGAATTTCATTCATTCTAAATATGAACTTGTGATGCATTTCTACAAAAATGTTCAATCATTTTTTTCTGTAATTTCATTCATCTATGTCAACGTTAAGTGAAACTTACGCCTTGTAGCAATGTGCGGCAGACACCACCCACAGGCTAGTAACCAGGGTACCTCCGCAGAAGTGATAGCCAGAGTTGAGGGATACGATGTATGGGACGGAGTTCTTGGTGCAGGTGTAACCTCCTACGATCTTATCATCATCATCCTCAAATGCAACTGTGGGCAGAAGAGAAAAATATTTTTGCCGCTGTGCTCATGATTTGCTTACTGTTACATTTTATTCATCTACCATTATTGCATGTCTTGTTGTAAATTATATTTTTTATCTTGAAATTTATATGGCTCAATGAAAAACATTGATATGGTTTAATTGATGGTGTAAACTACATATGCAATCAAAATCTATTTTTCAAAAATGTATTAATTTTACATAAATTGCAATATTGGAAGATAAGAAACATTAGACTTAATTTAAATAAAATAATCGTAGTATAATTAATATTATTCAAAGGGATCCTTAATATTGCATTTCAAATATAACTGTGTTCATGGCCATAGTGGAGATTTTTTCTATGTGTTTCCTTAGATTTTTCTTTCTTTTTTTTAATTGTATTTTAAGTGTATTTTTAAATGCTATAAAAAAGTTGTGATGTCATAGGTAACTCAAAAACAAATGTATGGTAAAGTTGAAAAAAATACTAAAAACTATTTCACTGTATGTGTGTTTTAATTTCATAAGTCTAAAATATTATGGTGGAGTAATTGATAAAAATATATAACAATAACATGAAATTAAATATATATTTTTAAATGAGACAGAAAGTACTACTACTAAAAGTTATATTTCTTACCAGCAGCTCCAAAGAGCACGCAGATCAGAAGAAGTTTCATCCTGGAGGTATGCCTGTGGTATGTTTTGGGTAAAATTAAGTGAGTATTTATATATTTTTACCCAAAGTTACTCCTGCCCCCATAGAACGTTATCATATTATGTAAATACTGCACAGTCTGGTTAATGTGTACTTTTTATATGATCAATTACCTTGAATTTATTTTTTTCCAAGAATGTAAAACATGTATACCAATGTTAACCTCTTCACTACCATGTAGTTTGCGCGCACACATGCACTCTCTCTCTCTCTGAGTATTTTGGGTGCTCTGGAAAGTAATGTTTTAATATGTTTTCATTTCAGTATGCATAGATGATAGATTATTTGATGGAGATAGAAAAAAATTAATTTTGATTAGACAGAAATTTTTTTTAAACAATTGTACTACATAATGAAGTTACAATGAAGAATGCATAGATGTAAATAAAAAAAATTAAAAAAAATTGTATCTCGCATATTCTATAATCCTTTCACATACTTTATCCCACATGCACTAATTTCTCAGTTGTCCATTCCACGTTTCCCACCCATACCATATTGCCTTACATTGTAAACATGTTACCTCTTTGGACACACACTTACACACAAATACACTGTTACGACACTCACCGCCAGGTAGATGAAGCCGCCGTTTAGTGAATAATCCCCCTCTCCAGAAATGCAGTTTATATTCAGCCGACCGCCAAACTCCCGAACGAAGTTCACGAACACGGCAACTCCCGATCAGCAAAACAGTCGAACGCCTTCCACAGCTAAAAATAATGAAAGCGCTGTCCCAGTAATAATTCCCCCACAAACAAGACCAAGCTCAGTCTTGAGGGTCAAATAAGGTTCTGTTTAATGGGGGCTACCTGCCCGGTATTTATGCAGGTCTCCACAAGGTGGACACTCCCCGAGGGGACCTTGTGGAAGACTGTAAAACATATTGGACAGTAGCCAATCGCAGTGGCTTCAATATAAGCCCTTCCCTTCTTACCCATAAAGGTCCCTTCTTCTCTACCCCAGAGATAATTAGAAAGAAACCTAATTATCTCCCAGGATAGAGACAATCGCCATTTTAAAATACAGTAAGAAAAATACATTTAAATATATAACTGAAGAAATACCGAATGAATATAGTTTGTGTAACGTATCCCCAGACAGCCTGGATCTGAGTGCATATTTCTACCGAATAGCGCTCAGATCCGATGTATCTAGTCGAATCGCCATGAAGTCAAAGTCTTTCACCAGTCCTTCGGTATACGAATGACTCCATGGGACGGCTATCTGGGTAAAGGTCCATACAAATGTATAAAAACTCCCGAACAACCGGCGTTCGTGCGCCTCGCCGAAATAGAAGGTGGGCAGCAGCTTCCAGTGGTGTTCGGTAGATTAAAGTGTCCGTTTTCAGTTCCATAGGATTTGTACCGAACACCGCTACGCTTCCTCGTGTCCCAAAATGGCCGCTGCCTCATGGTCGACATGCGAACGACGACCACCCGTACGAATGGAATGGAGAGGTGTCTGCGGTTAACCACAACGTTCTAATTGGGGCCAAGAGGTTAACCAGCAGCACACTCCTCTCCTGGGTGGTCGTTCGTTCGGTAGTTTCAATCGGTATTTTGTAATCACACGAACAGGGGCATACGAACAGGAAATTCAGCGAAACAAAGGGAAACAGATGAACCAGCAATACAGAGGAATCTGTCACATACACACACACACGCACACACATAAATAAACAGAAGATGTGCCTTAGAGTGAAAGGTGCTGATTAGTTGAGAATGGCCAAAACAAGTAAATAAACAGAGGAGAGTCAAAAATCTAATAAAAGAAAACAAAACAAGCAGCATGGCATACAAATATACAGCTGTATGTATATGTATATATGAATTGATCAAATATAGCTAAAGCGGGAGTACTGAACAATAAATATATAAGATATTAAGATGTGTGTTTATATAAAGTGTGTTTATATAAAGTTTTGCTAGTGTGTCAGAACGCCAAAATCTACATTAAGTCCTTCATTTATGGTGTTGAAATGTGTGATAATTTTCTTCTCAACTGTCTTTCATTCAGGGGAGTCTTTGAAATCCCCTTTAAGAACTTTAATACTTAGGTTTTGGATGGAGTGACCAGGGTGAAGGGATGACCAGCAGGGGTACAATATCCATTTGCCTTACAGTTCTTGATTGAGTGTCTGTGTAGATTCATTCTGAGATGCAGCTTAAGGCAAGTTTCTCCAATGTAGCAACCTTTGTCATACACTGTACACTTTAGCATGTATACCACATTCGCAGATGTGTACAAATATGACCCCTTAATGTTTTATGTTTTGTTATTGTGTCTAGCTGTGTTCTTGCCACATATATTTTGGCAGAGTTTGCATAGTAATCTGTTGCATTGTACAATGCCATTCTGTGTAAGCTCCTATTCCGAGGTCAATTGGTTGCAGACCAATCTTTGTCTTAGATTAGGTGGTTGTTTGAAAGCTAGTATAGCGGACTCAGGAAATATTTCTTTGAGTGTGGGGTCCTCTGAGATTAACAGTTGTAGTTCTTTAATAATTTTTCGTAGTCCTTCTAGAGTTGACTTGTAGGTAACAACCAGCTGGGTTCTTGCTTTGCTTTTCTTTTCTTTGTATTGTAGTAGCCTTCCCTGTGATGTTTTAGGGCAGATTTTTTTTAAGGTATTGTCCTTTCCTTATAGCCTTTTTGCCTTAAATGACTTTGACTTTATTCTCAGGTGTTTTTCTCTGTCTTTTGTGTCAGAGCAAATGCGGTGATATCTGATAGACTGGCTCTAGATGGCACCTTGTTTGGTGTGATTGGGATGAAAGCTGAAATTGCTTAGGTAGCTAAATGAAGAATGCCATCTGTTATTGTGCCATCCAGGAAGCTCACACATAAACTTCTCAGATTTCAATGTGAGCTTTGCAATAACTGTACTGGACTAACACAGCGAATCGAATCTACAATATATATTATATATCATCTACTTCCTCTACTCTAATGTTTGGAAGGAGAGTTAGCTGTCATTTTTCTACTCTTTGAGTAAAATGAGGGCGAAAGAGGCTTGATAGACTAAATGTAGTTTTGCACACTAGAGCTTGCAAGAGACATAAATGGTCTGCACCCAACAGAGGTTCTGCACCCAGAAGACAGACGCTACCTGAATCCTCTTGGTGTTAAGGTTCGATGAACTGGTGAAGGAGTTCTTTAATCTCCCCATAAGCACATTAACAGGCCAGTGTTGCCCTGCATGAGCCAGCAGATGAAATCCTTTGATCCTGTCTAAATGACCAACTAAAGCTTGGAAGGAGAAATTAATGTTTAGAAATTATTATTTTTTTCAATTTGGCAATTTTTATTTGTATTTCTTTTTGTTTCAAGTTGTGGCGCCTGCTCGCCAGGGTACAGAAAGGAAAAGGGTATTGCAGGAACATTTTGTCACAACATAGGGTTGCACACTTCTATTACCATTGCGCCCATTTAGGGTGTACACATTCTCCTCAGAATTGCCTGTTTGGGCTAACTTGGAGTGCTGTTAAGAGCCACTTATGGTTCCTAATTTGTACCTGTACTGTGATGTCACCTGTCCCCCTGCGTTAGTCTTCCTCCCTTGTCCTGACCTGTTAGTTAAGCTGTCCCCACTCCTTTGTTTCGTTCTGTGTCTTGTTTTTTCTAGGTATGCTGCCCATCTCTCCCCCACTTGTTCAACATGTTTCTGGGGTTTTATGTGTTTGTTGGCCATTGACTCATACCTCCAGTTTAGGGAAATTTTTTAGTTAAAGCATCTTTGGTAGGTGTAAGCTGAGACTTCCATGCTCTGGCTATAAGTGTCACAGCGGAAACCAACAGGCGGAATAGCAGTCTTTCCTATTTTATTTACTGCCGCGGGAATCATAAAGAGAACGCGCTGCTGTGAGTCTGTCAAGAGTTTCAGTCTGCATTCCTATCCCCATGGCCTGTGTCTTGGAAATGTTGAGTTTATAATATGAGTGGTCCCCATATTCTTTGATAGTGGTCACTAAGTTAGGGAGAGATATATGTGGCTGCGTCAGGGTTAGCACTATGTCATCCGCAAATACATTTGCCTTGTATTCCCTGTCTCCCACTTTCACCCAGTGGATTTAGGTGAGTTATCTTATGGCAGCCGCCAGCGGCTCCAAAGCCATCACAGATAGCAGCGGGGATAGTGGACATCTCTGACAAGAACCATTGGATATAGGAAAGGGGTCTGAAACAAACCTCGCATTTAGAACGCATGTCGAAGGTGTGTTATATAGGGCTCTGACCGCAGAGAGGAAGCCCTCCGGTGTCCCAAATTTGAGGAGGACCGCAACAAGGAACTCCCATCCCAGTTGGTCAAAGGTCTTTTCTGCATCCAGTGAAACCAACATGCACCCCACCTTCATGCGTTTGGAACTGTGTATGAAGTTCAGTACTTTCCTGGTGTTATCTCCACCCTGTCTGTTTTTAACGAACAACACTTGGTCTGTGTGTAAAATTATGTGGGAGCATGCTTCCAAGGCGCAAAGCATATGTTTTTGCGTAGATCAGTGTTTGACAGGGATATGGAGCGGAAGTTTTGAGGGCAAGTAGGTGGCTTGCCTGGTTTAGGGAGTGATTTTGATGATATGGGCTAACAATGTTTCAGGGGGGAGCCATTGGTTTAAAGTAGCTTTGTTGTATGCTTTTGTTAGGTGAGGTGTTAGGATGGTTTTAAATGTTTTATAATAACAGTTGGCGAAGCCATCCGAACCCAGGGATTTGCCTGTTGTTAGCTGTTGAATAGCTGTGGCAACCACTTCTTCAGTTATGATAGAAGAGAGCTCTTGTTGTTGTTGTTGTGGTGTAATAAAGGCAGTGAAATTGTGTTCAAGTACTGTTGTATGGCCAGTGGTTGGGGCTGGTGCGTTTGGGCATCCTCAGCTAAATTATATAGGGAGTAAGACTTTGCAAAGGTGTTGCTTATATCCTTTGGAGCTATCACTTTGTGTCCCTCATTTGATGTCAGGTATGCTATCTTATGCTTAGTTTGTTTGCTTTTCACATGTTGGGCTACCAGTTTGCCTGCTCTGTTGCTCTGCGAATAGTGAGACACTTTAAGTCTGTGGAGGTAGTGACCAGTTTTTTCTAGGGCCTGTTTGGGTGTCTTGTGTGATTTGCATGATGCGCCTCTTCAACCCTTGTGTCGGGGCTGTTTGGTTTTGGGTTGCGAGGTCTTGAATCTCTTTCTGCCATACTCACAGCTGTGCCTGTGACCTTCACTTAAGAAAGGCAGTCCTTCATATCAACAGTCCCCTAGCCATGGATTTATGGGCTTGCCATATTGTGTTATGAGATGTGTGTTTCGATTTATTCTCTGCAAAGTAGTGTTACATCTGAGTTTCTGGTGTTTTGGTGAAATGTGGGTCAAAGAGGAGGGAGTCATTAAGTCTCCAGGGGCTGTGGTGAGTGGAGTAATATAGGTCGGCTAAGGTCACCACCAGTCGGGCGTGGTCCGACCAAGTGATCTGTTCTATGGAGCATCCCTTGACTTGGTCCAAGTGTCGCCCTGACATTAGTATGCCATCTATCCGGGAATATGTGTTCTGTGCAGTAGAGAAACACGTGTATCCGCTCTCTCCAATGTGTGTTACTCGCCACACATCATTCTAGTGGTGTACGTAGAGCAGTTTCTGCATTACCCTGCTCTGTCTTTTTATCGGTCTTATCCTAGTGCCAGTGAGTGATACTGTGGAATCCACACTGGGATCCATTATATGGTCAAAATCCCCACAAATTACACTGATCCCCTTTTGTATTGTTGTCAGTTTCATGAATATTTAATGTAAGAATTTCCTTTGCTCCTTGTTAGGGGCATAGATGTTTGTGATCGTGTATAGGACATTGTTGAATGTTCCCACCACCATGACAAATCTCCCTTCCTCATCTACCTCTAGCTGTATAAGGGTGTATGCCTTCCATCTTTACTGATTAGTATGGATGAGCCTTTAGACTTGTTGGAGTATGTGGCATGGTCTTGGTGTGGGTATTCATGTGTGAACATTGGTGAGTATGCGTTATTCTTGAAGTGTGTTTCCTGCAGCCACACTACCTCCAGCTTTATCTGTTTCAGATCCTAATGTAGTAAGTTTCGTTTCGAGCGGTTATTAAGACCTTTGGTGTTATGGGTGTATATTTTCATGTGGGTTAAACGTTATGGCTTTAGGTGACTATTTCGTTGGCTTATCTATTGGTGGGAGTGCCCCCCTACCCAGCGTTCTCGAACCGGGTGGCAGCGTGGGTGACTAGTTGGTGGGTTTCCCTGTGGCAGGGCGTCCCACCTTGTATGTTGATGTGCTGGAGTTTTGTGTGCTTGATCCATATGAAACAATAAACAAGGAAGTTAAATATATTAACCAAAATAACAAGAAATAAACATGATGCCTTGCTTACGGCATGGCACCTATCAATGGTGCTGTGGGGGAAGAAGTGATGTGCTTCCATACCTGTGCATAGCAGTCTTACGGCCTTACTTGCGATGTACACAATGTGTTCACCCCCTTTCACATATTTATAACCCTTAAGTGTCTAGTGACTTGGGGTACCTGTGCTTGTGCCCCTGAGTCCCATAAGTTGCGTCATTGCTTATGTAGGGGCTAGAGTGAGGTAAGAGGCCCATCCCACCTGAGCCACTAGTAGTATCTGAATTCCCCTAATGAGAGGACAGTTCCAAAGTCTCTTAGCAGTGCTTTCCACTTTCTGCATTTGGTGTCCGCTCTCCCTATTTGTTATGGGACACTTTTTTCCATGATGGGGTGAACCTGCCTTGTCCCGGATTCCGAGGTATGCGGTGGTGGTAGTCCCCAGTCTCTTAGGGCTTTCAGACTTGCCTCAAGGGTTGTGATGGCTGTTATTTTGCCTTTGTGCGTGATGAGCAACTTGACCGGGAATCCCCACTATTAAGGTTTCTTATGTTGCCTCAGCTGCTCTGTGATGGTGGAGAAGGTTTTTCTCTTCTTGAGTGTGGCTTCTGAGATGTCTGCATAGATCGCTGTACCCTAGTGCGAAGGCGGCAGGTTTCGGCGCTGCCTACTTGCTCGCATGATAGCCTCCTTAACATGGAAGTAATGGAGTCTCACCAGGACGTCTCGTGGCACATACATCATTAGGAACCTCGGTTTCAGAACTCTGTGGTACCTCACCCACCAGAGTTGGGCCTCCTCCATCAGGGCCGCGGTCTTAGTTTGGTCAGTTATGATGTTGAAAAATTAGTTTTTGTCTCCTTTTTTTGTCTGCCGTCTGCCCTTCTGTTGAGACATCTTTCTTGGTGGTTTTAGCTCTGTTGGGGTGATAGTAATGCTCTTGTTTTAGGCCGATGTAGCATGGAGCTACACTGACATGCGGCTGCTTCAATTGAGCTCCAGGCCACGTCCACTAGAAATTCATTTTATTTTCTAAGGGAAAGTCTTCATCTGCAGCTCTGAGGAGGACACAAATCAGAAATAGTTTCACTGTGAAGGTATCAATGAGATTTGGATATGGGGGAGAATTAAATCAATAGTTATATAATTTTTACACAGTTAAACCTTCCTTCTTTAAATCTTTATAATGCAACTACTGCACAGTCTGGTTAATATATATCAGAATTATAGATAAATGTTATATTATCAATATCCTTGTATTTAAGGCTATTTTCAGAGTGGAAAAATAACACCTATTCGAAGGTTGAAAGTTTGAATAAACTGTTTATGCTTTTCTACTTGATAACGTGTTTCATGGATTTATTTGGAAAAATACACCAAATAAGAAAACATTCTTATGCCACTGCTTAAACCAAGCAGTATTAGACCATCATGATCTAAGATGACAAAAGTTTTTTATTTCTGAATGAGAATTAATAAGCCGACTGACAACAGTATTAAAGTCAAGAATATTGTATAGAAATAACACTGAAACAAATGTGTCTGTATTGGGAAAAAAGAGCCTTTAATTGCATTTAATGAAAGGTCAAGATATTTGTTCTCAAAGGCTTCATTCAACTAATCTTCCAAATAAATAATGACATTCTTAAAGTCATATGTGCCATAAAGTATGCATATAGGCTTATGCAAAATAGCAGCTAAATGTCAACTGAATATTTATTCAGTTTAATATATTTTCACTGTAGCATCATAGAGATCTTCTGAAAAGACAAAACCATTGCACTTGATGGAAATATATTCCTTACAACACACTCTTGGACAACGAAGACCAGTGGCAGGAAACAGAACAAATCATGAACAGATATTATTAGACCTTGGAACAGTGTCATATTTCAATGCACAATTTATGTTATCTATGTCACATGATGCCAACCCAAGTGGCTCCAAAAAATTACCAAGTCAGGATAACAGTAAGAAGTCATAAATACTCGAACCACACCAGTGTTAGGATGTGTCAAGATTTCTAACACACAGACATCAGTGTTCCTTCAAAGTTTAACACTATGGGTTCCTGTGCCTGGACATGTATATGATCAGGGCCGGACTTGGGATACAAAGCCGCCCTGGAAAAAAATATATGCCAGCCCAATAAATCATTGTGCCATATATTGTCACATGTAATATGTAAGATTTCATGCCACCCAAGATGATTGAGATATATATATATACAGTTGCAAGAACAGGTATGTGAACCCTTTGGAATGATATGGATTTCTGCACAAATTGGTCATAAAATGTGATCTGATCATCATCTAAGTCACAACAATAGACAATCACAGTCTGCTTAAACTAATAACACACAAAGAATGAAATGTTGCCATGTTTTTATTGAACACACCATGTAAACATTCACAGTGCAGGTGGAAAAAGTATGTGAACCCCTAGACTAATAACATCTCCAAGAGCTAATTGGAGTGAGAAGTCCAATCAATGAGATGAGATTGGAGGTGTTGGTTACAACTGTCCTGCCCTATAAAAAACACACACCAGTTCTGGGTTTGCTTTTCACAAGAAGCATTGCCTGATGTGAATGATGCCTTGCATAAAAGAGCTCTCAGAAGACCTACGATTAAGAATTGTTGACTTGCATAAAGCTGGAAAGGATTATAAAAGTATCTCCAAAAGCCTTGCTGTTCATCAGTCCACGGTAAGACAAATTGTCTATAAATGGAGAAAGTTCAGCACTGCTGCTACTCTCCCTGGGAGTGGCCGTCCTGTAAAGATGACTGCAAGAGCACAGTGCAGACTGCTCAATGAAGTGAAGAAGAATCCTAGAGTGTCAGCTAAAGACTTACAAAAGTCACTGGCAAATGCTAACATCCCTGTTAGTGAATCTACAATACGTAAAACACTAAACAAGAATGGATGTAATGGGAGGATACCACAGAGGAATCCACTGCTGTCCAAATAAAACATTGCTGCACATTTACAGTTTGCACAAGAGCACCTGGATGTTCCACAGCAGTACTGGCAAAATATTCTGTGGACAGATGAAACCAAAGTTGAGTTGTTTGGAAGAAACACACAACACTATGTGTGGCGAAAAAAAGGCACAGCACACCAACATCAAAACCTCATCCCACCTGTGAAGTATGGTGGTGGGGGCATCATGGTTTGGGGCTGCTTTGCTGCGTCAGGGCCTGGACGGATTGCTATCATCAAAGGAAAAATGAATTCCCAAGTTTATCAAGACATTTTGCAGGAGAACTTAAGGCCATCTGTCTACCAGCTGAAGCTCAACAGAAGATGGGTGTTGCAACAGGACAATGACCTAAAGCATAGAAGTAAATCAACAACAGAATGGCTTAAACAGAAGAAAATACACCTTCTGAAGTGGCCCAGTCAGAGTCCTGACCTCAACCCGATTGAGATGCTTTGGCATGACCTCAAGAAAGCGATTCACACCAGACATCCCAAGAATATTGCTGAACAGTTCTGTAAAGAGGAGTGGTCAAGAATTACTCCAGACCGTTGTGCATGTCTGATCTGCAACTACAGGAAACGATTGGTTGAAGTTATTGCTGCAAAGGAGGTTCAACCAATTATTAAATCCAATATTTTTTCCACCTGCACTGTGAATGTTTACATGGTGTGTTCATTAAAAACATGGCAACATTTCATTCTTTGTGTGTTATTAGTTTAACAGACTGTGATTGTCTATTGTTGTGACTTAGATGATGATCAGATCACATTTTATGACCAATTTGTGCAGAAATCCATATTATTCCAAAGGGGGTTCACATACTTTTTCTTGCAACTGTATGTATATATATATATCTTGACAAACTTGCTTTGAATCTAGGCATGAGGGGTGCAGTACATGTGTGTATTCAGCATTCTGTGTGTATTCAGAAGTCTCTATGTGTGTATTCAGCAGTCTGTGTATGTGTGTGTGTGTGTGTGTGTGTATTTAGCAGTCTGTAAGTATTCAGCAGTCTGTGTGTATATTCAACAGACTGTGTGTATCCAGCAGTCTCTGTGTGTGTATTGTATGTATGTGTTGCATTTTGTTAAGTTGTTGTGTAGGGAGGTCCCGAGTGTACCTCTTTGTTGAGATGGCACTGTTAAGGGCTCATTTCCAATCTTGTCTCTACTTTTTCACGGGCCAGCTACTACTCACTAAAGTGAGTAGCGAGTTAGTAAGTGTTACCAGTGGGGTACCTCAGGGGTCTGTACTTGGACCCATTTTCTTTAATATTTGTATTTGCAGAAGGTCTTGATGGTAAGGTATGTCTTTCTTGCTGATGATACCAAGATATGTAACAGGGTTGATGTTCCAGGAGGGATAAGCCGAATGGCAACTGATTTAGGTAAACTAGAAAAATGGTCAGAGTTGTGGCAACTGACATTTAATGCGAATAAGTGCATGATAACGCATCTTGGACGTAAAAACCCAAGGGCAGAGTACAGAATATTTGATAGAGTCCTAACCTCAACATCTGAGGAAAGGGATTTAATGGTAATTATTTCAGATGACTTAAAGGTAGGTAGACATTGTAATAGAGCAGCAGGAAATGCTAGCAGAAGGCTTGGTTGTATAGGGAGAGCAGTAGAAAGAGGGATGTGCTCATGCCATTGTACAGAACACTATTGAGACCTCACTTGGAGTATTGTACACAGTACTGGAGACTGTATCTCCGGAAGGATATTGATACTTTAGAGAGAGTTCCGAGAAGGGCTACAAAACTAGTTCACGGATTGCAGGATAAAACTTACAAGGAAAGATTAAAGGAACTTAACATGTATAGCTTGGAGGAAAGACGAGACAGGGGGGATATAGAAACATTTAAATACATACAAGGGAATCAACACAGTATTGAGAAGACTATATTTAATTGAAGAATAACTACCACAACAAGTGGACATAGTCTTAAATTAGAGGGACAAAGGTTTAAAAATAATTTCAGGAAGTATTACTTTACTGAGAGGATGCATGGAATAACCTTCAGCTGAAGTGGTAGAGGTTAACACAGTAAAGGAGTTTAAGCATGTGTGGGATAGGCATACCTATAAGATAAGGTCAGAGACTAATGAAAATATTAAAAAAATTGGGCAGACTATATAGGACGAATGGTTCTTATCTGTTTTCACATTCTATGTTTCTATGTTTCTATGAGTAGTGTTAGTTTACCAGCAGCCAAATTGCTAAAGCAGCTATTGAGAAATATCAGTTGCCGCCACATAAGGTCTGCCACTAAGTGGTGGCTCCTGCTAAAGCCAATAGATAGTATTTGTTACAGAAAACTTATGGGTATTTACACGGCATGTTTTTTGGTCATTTACCAGCAACAGGCCGATCTGTTAGTGGTCAGAATCATTGCAAGCAGACATTATTTCCGGCTAGCTGGTAAAAAAGCAGGTTTGGACACCTGTTGGCAAATAGCAACCACTACTTAATACTGTCTTCTCTTAAGAGTGACAGAGTATGGCTGCTTTTTACCAACCACACAGGAAATAAAACCTATATTTGTAGATATTATTTAGACCCCCTAGCATATTTATCTAGGAGTGTTTTGACATATTTGTCATTTAACCATGTTATCATCAAACCGGATGGTTAGATTTAATGTATTGTATTTTTCACACACATTTCACATACATATTGAATGGTGAATTTCATAGGACTTGTGCTTCCTTCAACTTTGTAGACCCGGATTTGTATACGGTTGCATCTCCTAAATATATTAATACTCTACATGTATACCATTTCCAGGATTTTAAGTAATTTATAGGATCAAAATAGAGACAGTTCAGCATTAGCCTGCCAAATGCATTGTAAAGAAAGTCTGTTGAAAGACCTGCTGCATTAAGTGAAGCATCTCATCTCACCTTGACAGCCTGTGACAATGCCTGGATGTTAAAAGTACCATCTGTAACACAATTTTTGACTTCCTCATGTCTGAGGCAGCAATAAAGAAATTTCACTGTTTGTACTAATATCTTAAAAATTTTATTAATGTATTACTTAATTATACCATATAGGTGTTTGATTTTTTTTTTTTACTGCTTGTACTTTCATGGTTTTGATCAAAAGATTGTGATATTATAAATTATAATTTTTATATATTATCATTTTGTTCACTTCATGACCTTTGTTGTAACATGTTTCTTCAAAACATATCTTTTTCTTTTATATTTTTCAAATTAATAAATTACCTTTTCTCAAGCAATACTAAACTGTTTACACATTTCTAGTGATCTTTCCACTGTGTTTAAAACAGTTGAATAACCGCTTCCCCCACTTTAAAAGTGATTCACTCATTTGACATTTGGCACAACACATTTCTGGTTTAAATTGTATCTCCTACTCAAGTACCTATTCATCCCTGTCTTCATTTTCTGCTGGCATATCCTCTTCTATTCTTGCCCCCATGCTCTCCTCCATCTACACATTAGCTATCAACAAGCTAATTGATTGGAAAGACTGGAAAGTCCCCCCAAAAAATATATGCCCATATTGAAAGATAACAACATACTTTTAATATTGTCATCATTTTTTTGTAGATAACTTGATTTAGCAGGTCTTAGCATGTAAGGTACTACCGTCAGAAAATATTAATTTAAATGTCATTCTCAATAAGCATAGGAAGAAGCAATTCACAAGTTAAGAAGTTAATTAATTTATTAAACTCTCTTACACAATGAATTTAGTTTGAAGCGATGGTGCTCTCGATCCAGTCATTGTAGTTGCAGACCTTGGTATAGACTCCAGGGTAGTTGGCTATGGCACAGCCATATCCCCAGGACACAATACCCTGGAGCTCACCTTTACAGACCACGGGGCCACCAGAGTCTCCCTGAGGAGAGAAAGAGACTATGAAGTACTTAGAAGAAAAATACGGTTGATGTGGATATTAATTTAAAAGATCAATAATGATAGTCTCATGGATTCAAAATTAATTTTAGTTTCCCAACAAAAATTCAAAATATAAGAAACGTGGCTAGGATACCTGGCAGGAATCCTTGCCGCCTTCAATAAAACCAACACATATCATGTTATTGGTGATTTCTCCAGGGTAGGCATTGCTGCAATCAGTGTCACTCAGGATGGGGGCATTCAGGCACTGAAGGAGATCTGGGTAATTGGCTGAAATAAATTGAATTAAAAATTGTAATTTAAAATTATTACAAATGTATACACCAAAATTAGTAGCTAATGTACTTATTTATTTTCTACTTCGATTAAGTATTTCCTATCTCTAAATTGCCTTTTTAACAGTGTACACTATTGAATGGAATCCCATCAATATTCTGAATAAAACATGAACCGTGAAGTGGAACTCTATAATTTAAAGTGACTATACACGTTTACTAAATCAAAAGTGTGATAAACATTAGACATGTGCACTGGAACAAATTTTGATTTGTTCAGTTTATTTCTAAATTATTATTTTTTTTTTTATCCATCAAAATTATTGGTAGTTATCTAAATTAGACAGTTATTCAGTCTTAGATGTAATTGCACTGTTTAGAGAGTGAAGCAGAGAAGACCATAGAGACTAACTGTTAGTTTCAAACACTGTCTGACCCAAAGTGTTTCTATATGGCCGAAAGATCTTGTCATATATAAGGTAGGGGTGAGTTTTTCATTTTTTTTTTAATTATTCTTACTTTACTTTACTTGACGAAAGGATTATTATATTAACCCCTTAAGGACACATGACGGAAATATTCCGTCATGATACCCTTTTATTCAAGAAGTTGTGTCCTTAAGGGGTTAAAAAATAGTGTAGAGTTGACTGTTGTCCTTTAAGGCCAAAATAGCCAAAATAGAATAATTCAGCTTTGCTTTAAGTTTCCTTGACCTGAAATTTGAAATTCAATTTGAGTTTACTTGAAACTTTAGAAAATAAAACTGATAATTTTAAAATGCATTCAAAACAGTATATCACTTACTGTGTATGTAATTTCAGTCCTTTATTAGATTAAATATATCAGCACTCATTGCATTCTCACTAGCTTGGCAAAATTATTCTGATAAATTGATAACAGTTAAAAAAAAATTATCCCACTGCTAAAATATAATAGTTTATGATTATCAAACATATCGCATGGCAAAAATATATATACAAGTCTTAGTGGATTAATTTCTCCAACAATTCCTTTTATGAACTTACAGCCACTGCTAAGTGTGTTTCCCCAACCAGAGATCAGACAATTGGTGCCAGTGGCCGCACAGCTCGAAGGTAGAGGTACTGTGTTTACGTAAGAGTTAATCGTTGCAGGAGAAGAAAGCTTGATTAGCATGATATCATTATCCAGGGTTCTGGAGTTGTACTTGCTATGTCTGTAGGTCTTTGCTGAGTTGATGAATTGCTCGGTGCCATCACTCACAGCAATGTTATGCTCTCCCAGTCTGACCTGAATAGTTCGTCTTAAAAGAAATGTTGACAAATTGTAAAAATCTACCCACTGTTGTAAGACATTCATATTCTTGAAAACTGATGGCAAACATTCTACTGATCTTATACTTAAGATCATTATTACCTATCAGTTTATTGTATTTTAGTGCATTTTATCTATGCACTGCTTTAGGAATGTGTATGTTCTTAGTTAAAACGACAGGAGGACAGGGATCAGGATCACTATTGGGAAACAGGTATCAGCATCAAAGTTCTTGTAATGAACTCTGATCATGTAATATGCATGTTCTCAGCAGTTATGTTATTAGCAACTATAATGTTATCAGCAACTATTAAAAAGCTGTTAAAAAAAATAAAGCTTCACATAATGGTCGCACACCGCATAATGGTCGCACCCTCATTTTTAATGAAAGAAATCAGGCATAAAATCTGTGACTATTATGCGGTGAAATACGGTACTTACCCTGTAAAGCAATGGGCAGCAGACACCACCCATTGGCTGTTAATCAGGGAGCCTCCACAGAAATGGTAACCAATGTTCAGAGAAGCAATGTATGGGACAGAGTTCTTGCTGCAGGTGGAACCTCCTACAATCTTGTCATTGTCCTCAAATGCAGCTATAGAGAAATTAAAAATGTTCTTTTCAGAAATTCACCATGTTAATAAAAATAACATTTATATTCAAGTCTATATATTACTTAGAAACCAGAAAACTTTAAAAGAATATGAAAGTGTTTCATTAATTGCCTACAGAATATGCTGAATAATAATAATGTAACTCAAATTTTCCATACAGAGAAGGTATAACATCATAAACAATTAAGAAAAAATATTCTCAATTAATATTATAATATAAATTAGGAAATATATATTCTCTTGCACAGTTTAAACAATATTCTATAAAATGATTGTTTTGACCAGTAGCATATTAAGGGGGGTGGTGGTCTGCCCCTGGAGAGAGGATGGTGATGGGGATGCACACAGCACCCCAGTCCCTCCTGTTACTCTCTGTAGCATGGATACACAGGACCCAGTTACAAGATATAATTATCCTTTACCCGGGTCTAATAGGGACAGGGAAGAAACTGTCTCACTTATACAGGCAGAAGTGGGGTAAGTTTAATACTGCCAGTACCCACTGCCTGTTAACTGCTGTGCCTGCAGCCCCTACTCCTCCCGCCCCAGTACTCATAAAGGTAAAAATAAATATGTCACCTGCAGCTCCCAAGAGCATACAGATCAGTAGAATCCTCATAACGAATAGGTTTCTGAGATGTGTGCTTGTTAGCAATTCATCTTGTATTTATGTATTATTTAACCTGAGGTGCACCTATGTCCTTCAACCCTGTCATCATGGTGTGTGCATTCTAGTTTACCTGTAAGTATCGGATTACAAGCAAAAAAATATATTATCAATAACCTTGTATGTTGGATTATTTTAGGAAGGGAAAACAGTAGTTTTTTTTTCTTTCGATTTTGGGCTCAAAATGTTTTTTTTATTAATTATTTTAGATAAACTCAAAGAAAATTATTTAGAGAGATTTAGGGAAATGCAAATGTGTTTTAAATATGTATATTTTAGGGGTGACTGGAATAAGTATTTTTATGTATATATCTTCTTGTATTAATGGCTCGCCGTAATACACTTCTTTTTCAACAAAAAATTATACTTAAGCTGATGTTCTACAAAATGAAAACACTTTGGTGCAAAATTTAAAATATTGTCATCATTCCAATTCAGCAAAATGGTTAGACTTAATTAGAGTCTGTAGCAAATCTCGCAGATTACTGGAAGATTGGGTTAAAGATTAGTGCCTGCTCTTTCTGCACACATTGGTATCTAGATTTGATCGTCACATAACATCAAAGTGGGCTGTATATCAAAAATGTGATCACAATTTCTTCAACGCACTTTCCACTGATTTTTTAATGCATATTTTGAGAGTTGCTTGCAAATACCCTCCACAGAATTTTCTGCCATCCAGATTTTAACCTTGTTTAAGTAGAACCTTCTTTACTTCCTGTTTTTGTTTAAAGTATTGCTATTTTATTATTTGCCCATTACTTATTTGTTCATATCTTCTTTGTACAATTTGTAAAGCACTGCAGAAAACATTGGTGCTATATATATATATTTGCATGTTTGAACGTATTAGTTATATATGTATATAAAGACGTATTGTCCCTGTTGATCACCTTGAGCAGACTCACATTCCCAAATAGTTGTTTTTTTTTTATCATTTTCTTCCATCTGCAGATTCGCCATCCAGATTCAAACCAAAAGACTTACCATATGTTCTACATGCAAATAAAATTCACCAAAATTTGCAGCATTTTCTGCGGGCAACTCATGAAACACTTTCAAATCTTTTTAAACTAATCTTACAACTAGTATTATAAGCTTGTTTTGATTTTATACACTTGTACATGCATTATCCATTTTGAGTGGACTAGAAAATGTTTGCCAAAATGTTGTACTCCACCACCAAATGCTACACACTTCTCTTCTCCACCACTACCTATTGCTCCTACCTACCTTTTTATAGAAATGCATGTTCCTTGCTTCTCAAAATTATTTTTATTTTCATCCATCTCAATGTGCAGCATCCTGAGTTCCTCAGCAACCAAACAAAAACGTTTTCTATCATTAACCAACACCTTGCACCTTCTCCGACCCACCCTTCTTCCACTTTACTTTATTGCACAATCCTTCAGCTCTCTATAATCTTAATTATTTAATCACCTCACTATCTACATTGAACTCTGTCCTTTACTACAAATACCTCCTGCAACATTTTGTGTGAACTCCCCATTATTACCTTTAGATTATAAACTCCGTTATATTGATAATCACTAAATAGAAAAACTGTATCTGCTAGATTTTAAGCTCACTTGCAGCACCTTCAATTCCTTTTTTGTGTCAATATATGTTCATTATTTGTCTGTATTCTATTGTATTGTGTTACAGAATATGTTGACACAATATGTATGCAAAATAATAATAATAATAATAATATGGTGACATAGACATTCTACCTTTCTCATACCTTCCTCAGATGAACCTCTAGATTGTAAGCCCTTTTGAGTAGGGTCCTCCTCAATCTATTATTCTGTAACATGTTTTAATTGTCTCATTTATTGTTCATTTTCATGCTAGCACTATATAAATGCCAGTAATAATAACTAAATGGGAGCAAAAAATGAGCCAATCCGTTTACTGCAAAATATATACATAATATAAATGTATATTTATTGCACTCATAGGAACATTTCCCCAGCATTTGTATCACATATAAAGTGAGAAAAAGTAATCAATACAGCGAAAAACAGGAGGAACAGTGAACATTTATTTATTTATTTACACCTCACCTCAAAAACATTGCCTGCATCCACCCCTTTCTAATGCAAGTTGCTGCCAATGAGATGGTCCATGCTCTAGTAATTGCTTGCATTAGTTACTGTAATGCTCTACTAATTGGTCTCCCCAGAAGCCTCACTGCCCTGATACAGTCTGTGATGAATGCTGCTGCCAGGCTAATCTGTCTCTCTTGTTGCCCATCTTCTACCTCACCCCTCTGTCCATCATTACACTAGCTTCCCGTATCCTATAGGTGCCAATTCAAAATACTAACCCGTACCTAAAAAAGCTCTAAACAACTCTAGCCCCTGCTACATTTTTTTTACTGATGTGTAGGTATGCTCTTTCTCAGTCTCTCTGCTCTGCCAGTGACCATCTCCTTCACTTACTGCTAATTATCACTTGCACCACTTCTTGCAGGTGACACCTTTCCTTTGGAACAGCTTGCCTACCCCCTTCAGAGTCTCCCCTGGTCTCTTTTAAGAAGTCTCTCAAAACCAATCTTTTCAGAAAAGCTTGTGGACTTGCAGAGTAATTTCATTTTTACAAAGCTGTCTCTTGCTCTCTCCTAAAGGGTCACACTCCACTATCACCTCCAGTTATGCTACTTTCTGGCATTGCTTGTTTGCTGCCCCCCTTGATGCCCTATTATATTTTTATTCCCTACCTCCTCTAGACTGTAAGCTCATTTGAGCAGGGTCCTCATCAATCTATTGTTCCTGTAACATTTTATAAATGTCTCACTTATTGTTAAATTTCCCCCTTTTATAATATTGCAGAATAGGTTAGAGCTACATAAATACCAACAACAATAATAATAATAATATATTATATATTTATTGAATATATAACATCTAAATGTAGATTGTTTTTACTGCTTCTACGTTTTTCTCTCTGTTGCTCACTTCTCACTTGATCCATGTAAATATTGTGGTCAAGCCATTTATCATGTTTTTTTCCCATCAATCATCTCTTTATTTTGGCTCCATGGGCAGAATGCAAAATGACGAATGAAAATGAGAATGTTCTGCCATTTCGTTTTTCGTTTGGTTTGTGATTTGGACAACTCAGTGTTTGGGAAATCGAGCAATCACTTGAATGGCCGAAATGAAGATGAATTGCAGTTCATAAATAAATAAATACCTAACTATACTATAAATGGACATTTTCTCATAATTTAAATGTTTGACTTTTTTCTTTAGCTGCTGTACACCAATTAAAAAAATGTGATTCCCAAATAAAAGTAATTGTAATACATTAGCTCTTCTAATATTGTATTTATCAAATGCCATACTTGGATGAGATCCATTTAAGATGCCCAAGTGTACTCATATATATATATATATATATATATATATATCTGTGTGTGTGCAGAAAATGTCCAACTTTGCTCTAAGTACCTGTAAGGAATCTATTTTCATTATATGAATGTTTACTTTGCTGTAGTTATTTCTCTGTGTAATTTTATTTGTTTGTTAATTAAAACCATCAATATTGTTTAAATATTTTAACACAATATGACAACTGTTAAGAAAATAGTATTTAGAATGTAGTCAATACACACTAGCATTTAAAGATGGATTTCAGAAGTCGATGCATATTAGCATTTGTATAAATAGACTTTAGAGATTTGCAGTCAAAATGCATTTTGTTTAGTAAATGGGATTCAGAAATGTGTAGCTAATGCATTGTAGTATTTAAAAGGAATAAATATCAATAACGGTAACATTCTGGAACAGAATGTTAAAATTAAAGGGACACTGTAGGCAGTTAGACCACTTTGGCTCATTGAAGTGGTCTGTGTGCTATGTCCATTTTACACCTAGTGCGGCAATGTTAAACATTGCAGTTCTAGAGAACTGCAATGTTTACATTGCAGCACTATGTCAGCCCTCAGTGGCTGTCTATCACACAGCCACTGGGGGCGCTTCCGGAATCGTAATGGACTTTTGGTCTGTTATCTGACAATGGACGGCCTCACGCTCTGCATAAGGACCTCCAGTGTCAGATTTTTTTACCCTTAGGAAAGCATTGATTCAATGCTTTCTTATGGGGAGGTCTAATGCGAGCTCCGTATTTGCCACGCATGCACATAAGACCCCGCTCGTCATGGGACGGAGGAAGGGGCAGAGCTTTGACTTAGCACAGAGGGACATCAGTGCTGAGATGAGGTAAGTAAATAAAGGGTTTTAACCCTTTATTTACCATGGAGAGGGAGGGGATTTGAGGGAGGGGGGAGGCAGAGGGATCGGTAGTGCCAGGAATACAGCTTTGTATTCCTGGCACTACAGTATCCCTTTAACTCTACATTCTGTTATGGCTGTTATAGTGGATATAACCATTATGATGTGAGACATAGAGCCAATATTATGGGATTCAGTACAATGCTGCTAAGAATATTCCCATATATCCCTCTCCCATTAGGAAAATATTTTTTTAATAATATAGATATAAATCCATTCACAATAAACAAACAATGTATTAAAGTCTTGCATAGAGTATTTATTTAAAAAGATTTAGTTTGAAGCAATGGTATTCTGGATCCAGGAATTGTAGTTGCAGACCTTGGTGTAGACTCCGGGATAATTCCTCAGAGCACATCCACTACCCCAGGAGACCACACCCTGGAGCTGATTGTTGCAGACCACGGGGCCACCAGAGTCACCCTGAGGAGAGAAGAGAAGACTGTTACATACTTAGAAGAAACTCATAGTGTATATGGATACATTGATTCATTTCCTTCCCCAATTAAATGGGATTCTTAAATGAAAGAGACATGGCCAGATAAAATTACCTGGCAGGAATCTTTGCCACCTTCAAGGAAACCAACGCAGATCATGTTACCGGTGATCTGCCCAGGATAAGCATTGCTGCACTGGGTAGAGGTCAGGATAGGGGCACTCAGGCACTGCAGGAGATTTGGGTAATTGGCTGAAATAAAATAAAACATTACAATTTTGTTGCATTGCTATAAAGCTAATTTATTTTCACTTTGTTCTGCAAATTATTGGACTAAAAAAAAAATACAAGAAATACTGTCATGATACTTCAATTCTAGTATCTCAACAAAAAAAAAAATCGATATAATCGTCCAATAGTCCATCACTTTCATCCCTAGCTCTACTTTTCAAACTGTTTTAGAATCTGGGGATCTATGTAACTATTTGATATGTTACCTCTGTCTGTAAATTGTATTATAATTAATGCTTTATGGACCAAACATAAATGTATCAGCATATATCATAACTTTCAAATTGTAAGTGGCCTTTAAATCCTATGTCCCTAACAAATCGAGAGCTGACCATAAGAAAAAATATATTTTACTATATTTGATAGTTTAGGATTCTCAAGGACATAGGAGAGCCTCTATTGATTTTTGTTCCTGTATCAAAATTATGCAATTCTTGAATGTTCTCATTGTTTGCCCGACAAATGCTCGGCAGAGCATATCAATGGCATTTTAATTTAAAATGTGTCAGATTAGTAACATCCCTTAACCTTTACACTTTCAATTTGTCGTAGTGTGTTTTTTCTCCCAACCAATAATTGTATGGACTTACTGCCACTGCTAAGTGTGTTTCCCCAGCCAGAGATCAGACAGCTGGTACCAGCGGCCGCACAGCCAGAGGGTAGAGCCACAGCCTTCACGTAAGAGTTAATAGTGGCAGCAGAAGACAGCTTGATCAGCATGATGTCATTGTCAAGGGTTCTAGAGTTGTAGCTTCCGTGTCTGATGACCTTGGAAGAGCTGATGAACTGCTCAGTGCCCTCACTTGTAGCGATGTTGTGCTCTCCCAGTCTGACCTGAACACTCCTGCAAAAAGGAAACAGAGAATAATTGAGAAATTGAGAAATTATAAAGAGAAAGTTTACACAATGGTGACAAATTGTGAGTAATATTAACACAAACTAAAATAATTGTGAAATCTTGGTTGTGAAATAAGTGTGAAATCTTGATGAGAATACTTCACAGATTTAACTTTTCTGAGTAATTGTTCAGAGCCATTTTACTGCCCAATATAAGAACAAATAATCTGTAAATATACCTACATACAAAATTAAACCCTGTGCTCAAACTCCCACTACTCCTGGGTGGTAGCAACAAATACAATACACAGCAATTGTATTGTATGCCCCAATTCATACAGTATATACCAAAGCAAAAAGTTAATTGTGCACTATCCCAAATGCCTGTGCACATTTAAATATCTGGAGGCTTTTTCATTATCACTAAACATGGCCATGAAAATGTAAGCTCACCTGTCATATCAAGCTAAAAAAAAAAAAGCTAAAAAACCCAGAAAGTAACAGGACAGGTTGTCTAAATGAGGCATGGGATGCGCGGGCGGACAGGAAGATGAGCCTCGCCACCGCATTTATTATAGACTGTAACGGGGCAAGTTGGGAACACATAAGGCCACTGAGAAGCACATTACTGTAGTCAAGGCGAGAGACGACAGCGGCATGGACAAGCACCTTTGTCGTATCAGGCGTTATATAGGGTTAGATGCGCAATGTTTTTGAGATGGAAGTGGCAGGATTTGGCGATTGATTGGACATGAGGGGTGTAGGACAGGTCAGAGTCAAAGAGAAACCTAGGCAGCGAGCTTGCGAGGTAGAAAGGATGGTAGTGCCATTGACTTGGAGGGAGACAGACAAGGGAGTAGCAACACTTTAGGGAGGGAAGACCAGAAGGTCTGCTTTGGACAGGTTCAGTTTAAGGGAATGAGCAGCCATCCAGTTGGAAATAGCAGAGAGGCAGTCAGAGACGTGAGTCAAGAGGGGTGGTGATAAATCAGGGGAGGACAGATACATTTGTGTGCCATCCGCATAGAAATGAAGAAAAATTAGTTAAAATCTAAATCTAAAATTTAAATCTGTATGTAAGTAAAGCATATGTGTCATACGTGTACATTAAATATTCACTTACAAATCTCAAACTTACCAAAATTACCAAAAAGGTAAAAACACTTTTTTTACTTACGCCTTGTAGCAATGAGCAGCAGACACCACCCACAGGTTGTTAATCAGGGAACCTCCGCAGAAATGGTAGCCGATGTTAAGGGACGCAATGTATGGAACGGAGTTCTTGGTGCAGGTATAACCTCCTACAATCTTATCATCATCATCCTCAAATGCAGCTGTGGATAGAAGAATAAAATTGCATTGAGTGCTGTCACTGGGGAGAGAGGAGACTTATAATGAGACACTTTGTGAGCTTCTACTTGCAGGATCACTCACATTGCTGCTTTCAATTAAAGAAACTGAATACATCTGTCACCAGGGCCGGACTGGGAAAAAAATTAGGCCCGGGCATTTTTCAATCAGAGCAGCCCCCTAAGAAGGGGGCGGGGCCAGATAGGGTGTGTTTTGTCATCACTAACTACAAGCACGCCCCATCTCAAAGTGAGAATGTTGGTTCAATGCGCAGAGCCCCGCTGAAGAACTCTGGCATTAGAAAAAGGCCCTGTATTTGTTCTGTGCATCGCAAGCAAATTTAATAACATGCTTGCGCTGTGTTTGCTTTTAAATTGTCTCTGGTGTCTCCACAAATGGGATACCAGAGGACAAAAGTGTATGGTGCATGTGTTTGGAGTCTGCTTGTGGGATTGCGTGTGTGTAGAGTGTGGTGTGGTGTGGTATTGTGTAAATAGGTCAATTTCATCCGTGTTTGTGGTGTAATATGTGTGGCTAGGGGCTGTAGAGAGTGTGTGTATAGGGGGCATAGTGTTATAGGGTAAGTAGCAAGTGTGTGTGTATACGGGCTGTAGTGTGTGTGTATATGTGACGTAGTGTGTGTAGGGGTTGTAGAGAGGGTGTGTTTAGAGAATGTTGTATGTGTTTGCTGACAAGAAATGTGTGTGTGTGTAGGAGATCTAGTGTGTAAAGGACCCAGAGTGTGTATAGGAGATTGTGTGTGTGTGTGTGTGTGTGTGTGTGTATAGAGGATTAAGAGTGCATATAGGGTAAGGGATCTAGCGTGTATCTGGAGCGTAATGTGTGTAGTGGTGCAGTGTGAGGGGTGCTGTAGTGTGTGTGTATTTATATATATATATATATATATATATTTGGACATATTGTATGTGTGAGGGGTGCAGTGTGTGTGTATGTAAGAGGGGTGCTCTGTGTTCGTGGGTGTTTTTATCTACCGTCACATTCTAGGTTTCTAATTTTCTTTGTTAACTCACTAAGGGTTATTATATATATATATATATATATATATATATATATATATATATATATGTGTGTGTGGGAGTGTGCTGTATGTGTGAGCGAGGGTGCAGTGTGTCTGAGGGTGCTCTGTGTGTGTCTGAGGTTTCACTGTGTGTGTCTGAGGGTGCTGTGTGTGTCTGGGTGCGTTGTGTGTGTCTGGGTGCGCTGTGTGTGTCTGAGGGTATGATGTGTGTGTCTGGGTGCACTGTGTGTGTTTGGGTGCTGTGTGTGTCTGGGGGTGCTGTGTGTGTCTGGGTGCTGTGTGTGTCAGGGCACTGTGAGTGTCTGGGGGTGTTGTGTGAGTCTGGGTGCTGTGTGTGTCTGGGGGTGCTGTGTGTGTCTGGGTGCTGTGTGTGTCAGGGCACTGTGAGTGTCTGGGGTGTTGTGTGAGTCTGGGTGCTGTGTGTGTCTGGGGTGCTGTGTGTGTTTGGCTGCTGTGTCTGTCTGGGTGCTGTGAGTGTTTGGGGGTGCTGTGTGTGTCTGGGTGCTGTGTGTGTTTGGGGGTGCTGTGTGTGTCTGGGTGCTGTGTGTGTCTGGGGTTGCTGTGTGTGTGTCTGGGGGTGCTGTGTGTGTGTCTGGGGGTGCTGTGTGTGTCTGGGGTGCTGTGTGTGTGAGTGTGAATTTTTTTTTAATTTAAATTAAAATATATTTTTTAATATTTTTTTTTAAAAAAAAAGTTATATCCCCCCCTTCCCTTCTTACCTTTAGCATGGGAGGGGGGGAGCCGTGTTGCCATGGGGGGGAGCCTTGTTGCCATGGGGAGGTGCCGTGCTGCCTTCCCTGGTGGTCCTAGTGGTGAGAGTGAACTTTAGCCTGCAGGCTAGAGTTCACTCTCGCGAGATCTGAGCGTTGCCGTGGTAACCGTGACAACGCTAAGAATCCCGCAAGAGGACCCGGCGGAGCTGCTGGCTAGAGCTCCGCTGGTCCTCTCCTCCCTCCCTCGCTCCCCAACCGGCGGCCGCCTCTAACAGTGCCTCTGGGCCGGTGAGGGAGATGTTTGATCTCCCCACCGGCCCATGGAGGCACACAGCAGGGCTGGTGCTTGGGTAGCGCTGGCCCTGCAAGGGCTGGCAGGGGAGATCCTGTGATCTCCCCTGCCGGCCTCAGCCCCACGGCCATTGCGGACCACCGGGCATTTGCCCGGTATTCCCGATGGCCAGTCCGGGCCTGTCTGTCACCAATACACAAAGTGTGCTCACAACAGTCATTTTTGTACAGGATTAAAATTAGGCACATTCAGAACAAAGTTATGAGCTGCCACGTCTGCTAGGGGTGCAGCTAGATAATATATAAGATATAATATATCTCAAAAGATAAGATATCTCTGTTTAGCAGTGTTTCAAGTTGAAACACTGAACATTTAGATTGCTACCGTCACGACCACTTTTAAAAGCAGAAGTGGTCACCAGCTCTAAAGAAGGATATTATGACACTTGAAAAAGTGCAGAGGGGGGGGCTTCAAAATTAATAAAAGGAATGGAACATTTTATCTATGAACAAATGTTAACAAATTTAAACCTCTATAGTTTAAAAAAAATGGCGCCTCAGAGGGGACATGATAACATTATACAAATATATTTGAGGCCAATAAAAGCCATTGTCTGGAAATCTATTCACAAACAGCACTATACACAGGACACAAGGTCACGCATTTAGACTGGAAGAAAGGAGATTTAGTCAAAGGCAAATTAAAGTTGTTTTTTTTATAGTGAGAACAATAGGCATGTGTAAATTTCTGCCTGAAGAAGTGGATTATCCGAGTCTGTACAGATATTTTAACTGCAACTAAATGCATACTTGCAAAAACATAATATTCAAGGATATCATTTTTCAATTGTAGGGTAATAGCTTCTTGAACCAAGGATAAATCTGACTGCAATTATGTGGTCAAGAAGGAATGTTTTCTTAGTGTGTTGCAAAATTGGAAGTGTTTCAAACTGTTTTTTTTTGCCTTTTTTTAGATAAACAGCAACAACAAACATAACCCCATCCCCCCCCCCAGATGTGAGGAAGACTGAACTTGATGAACACATGTCTCTGTTCAGCCTATGTTACTATGTGACTATGTAACTGTGTAAGTTGTCATGGTGGTTGGAAAAAATCTTTAACAGTAAGAGCTTACAACAAATATGCAACCATATGAGTTTGAAGACAATAAAGTTTTTTTCCTCAGTAAGGACAGTACTCACCGACAGCTCCAAGGAGCACACAGACCAAGAGAAGCTTCATGGTGAAAATGTACCTGGGACATGTTTGGGGACCATATTTATACATTAAGTAATCACAGCAAAAACACCATCTTTTAATAATTAACTTATTATGCATTGTTTGTTAGTGTGGATAGTTATAAAAATAAAATCGTATTATCAATAACCTTGTGCTATGTTTATTTCTGGAGTGGGAATTAGCAAGTATATTCGTGCTGGTGAATGTATTCTGTTGGTCCATTTCAGGCTTAACTAATAAGTTCTGAATTTAGACAGGTTTATTCACAAAAGTGTTATTTTCCAGGAATATAAAGTCCAAAGAAAGTGAATTTCAACTCACTATTTAAGATACTTTAGCCACTTTTTAACCTTAAGAGTAGCAAATTTGAGAAAAATCATTCAAAGCAGTAAGGAACATTTCCAATGAAATAATATATGATAAAAAGTTACAAACACATCCTCACTGATGAAAATTTAAGTAATTATGATTTCATATAAATTTTGGCAGCGTTGTCTAAGGTCATCAATAATAAGTGTACTGTGAATAATATGAAATATCTGAAAGCTGGTGGAAACCCCCAATTAACATCACAGTCAATGCATCACCGGCACCAACTCCTGCATACCGGACTTAAATGCCATACTCCATCAAACAGATTAAAATGTAGTTTTCGGTGATAGAAAATATATATATTTTATTAAAGACAGGAGGCCCATATTATTCATGTTAGAAGATAACATTATATAACTAGAAAAGCTACAATTTCTGGGGAAATTGTGTGAAGTGTTCTTGCCACCACCAGTAGTCCACAACTGGAGTGGGCGGAGTAACTGTTATCATTTATATAGCACATTTAATTGCAACGTTGTTGCACAGTTACATTAAACAATACATTTATAAAAACATTAGCAGGTGTTCAAAAGGCCCTGTCTATGACATCACTTGCTGCTGCAGCCTGACACAGGTCAGAGTATTTTGGCGGTTGCCATCTTCAAACGGTCGTATTTTAAAAATATAAATCCTACAGTGAAGAGCTTTATATTGCGAGAATCACAAGACCCAGACCTACATTTTGATGCATAGTATGTCTCTGAAGTATTAAAAATGAAGGCACAGTCGCAGTTTAGAAATTGCACTTCAAATTTGAGCTTTGTAGAGTGAAGTTTCAATGAATGTCAATGGACGACGTTAGTTGCAAACAAATGATTATATTGTGAAAACTATCAGGACTATGGCTTAGCCGTTGACATGTTTAGTGGCAGCAAGGATAGCTGAACGTTTTGATATAAGATTTGTGTAGGTGGGCCTGAAAATAAGGGAGTGGTGGCAGTTTAGAAATCATGTCCTGATTTTTCAGCTTTTGCCAGCTCCCACTCTAGCTTTGCCATTCATTCCTATGGGACAAATTGCGCCACAAGAACACATTGGAACTGAAAGGGCAAATTATCCCAAATTTATGTTACCATTTTAAAGTTCCAGTCTGAAACTGCTTTATTTAGAATTAGGAATATTTCTTGAGCTGGAATAACTGAGCAGTATCAGTCATTGTGCGTTTGATAAGAGAAGTTTATCTCATTGGAGAATTATGCATTAAACTAAAATCTGAGGACTTATAGTTAGTTAACTTTAGCAGTCATATCTTTATTAACAGCTGCCACTTCTCTCTGTGGCTACAAAATATCCTCAAGGTTAACTCAAACGATTAAAATACAACTGCACAGATGTAGAGGTTTACATAAACATATCAAGTAAATTGTATACAAAAGAGTCACTTTTTTAGATAAAGGAAATTAAGAGAAAAATGAGCATATGTAAAAGTAAAAATGTGCAAGTAGGACATATTTTGGAATGTAAAGATAAGAATTTGTCGATGCATTGATCCATATTGACATATTCTTATTTTAACATTTTGGTCTAATGGTCTGAATGTCAACTATTTATCGGCAGAAAATATTTTGACATTAAGACAATATTTTATTTCTGTATCTCTTTCACAAGCATATTTACAATCAGCCTCCTGGATTCTTAGCTACAGTTCCCGTATCTTCTACTTCTAATACCCTCATCTCTGTAACCACTCAACTAAACCCCTAGCTTTTTTCTCGTCCTTCTTTTTCTTCTCATCTGCTCTCTTCCTTGCCATCAAGTTTTCGTTTCAGTTACTCCCCAAGTATGACTTTATTAAGCTAGATTAAGTAGCAATCTTATGAAAGGTTCTCAGTACAAAGAAATTAAACAACATGTATTGTTATGGTACAAACATAATGTAACAGATGAATTTTAAGGAGTGAAGGAGTAGGTCGGATGGCATGAATTTCAGCCTGTCAGTGTTTTCTCAAAATCAGTTATTCCCTGCAATTTCGACGTTGGAAACATGCTCTTTGATTTGTTGGGTGATGCTGTTCGACCTTTGCATTACGTAGTGTAACTCTGTAAATTGGGATGGTGAGTATGTATCTTTCTGTTGGACAGCAACCGTAGTATTAGGAGTTTTGTCCAGTTCAGTCCCTGGGGTTGGAACATGACTCTGCGGTTGTGTGTGGATATGCAGCGTGGTGCATGGTGTTGGGGTGCAGGTTGATGTGTTTGTGAGAAGGGTAGGAAGTCGTGATGTTTGAGGTCACCCAAGGGGCACCAGATTATCTATTTGTTCACAGTAGATGCACTGCAAGATGTAATCAAGGCTTGTGGTGTCAGCATCATGGAGTGTATTGGCGTTTAGCATAGGTTTATAGGGGAGGTTGGCAGGGACGTATTAGCCGCGAGGCAAACAAGGCATTTGCCTTGGGCGGCATTTTTCAGGGGGCGGCAAAAAACGCCGCCCCCCAAATGCCCAGGGCAAATGCCCAGTTAGCCTTGTGGCTAACTGACATCCCGGGCGGGCGGGCGGCGCTGGCAGGCGGGCGGCTGGCGAGGGAGCACTTCTTCTGAAAAAGTTAATGTGTGTGTGTTTGTGTCTGACTGTGTGTGTGTTTGTGTTTGTATCTGACTGTGTTTGTGTCTGTGTATGTGTCTGACTGTGTGTGTGTTTGTGTCTGACTCTGTGTGTGTCTGTGTTTGTATCTGACTGTGTTTGTGTCTGTGTATGTGTCTGACTGTGTGTGTGTTTGTGTCTGACTCTGTGTGTGTCTGTGTTTGTATCTGTGTTTGTGAGTGTGTGTGTTTGTGTCTGACTGTGTTTGTGAGTGTGTGTGTTTGTGTCTGTGTCTGACTGTGTTTGTGTGTTTGTGAGTGTGTCTGTTTGTGTATGTGTGTGTGTGTTTGTGTCTGACTGTGTATGTGTGTGTGTGTGTGTGTGTGTCTGACTGTGTGTGTGTATGTGTCTGACTGTGTGTATTTAGAAGGTGGGGCGGGGGGAAGGGTTGGGTGGGGGTGGCGCGGGGGGAGGGGGGCGCCTGAGTTTTGTCCTGCCTAGGGCAGCACAAAACCAGGATACACCACTGGAGGTTGGTGTGTCTTCTATATATTAGTGTGGGATGGGGAGGGTGGAGGTAAGGGATGAGAGATAGGAAAACATTAAGGAAAGAGGGGGAAGAAGATGGAAGAGTAGAAGCAAAAGAAGGTGGGGGGGTCTTGCAGAGGTGGTGAATTCAGTTCCGAAATGTAGTGGGATGGGAGTTTGAGGGAGGGGGGCCTCCCATCTCCCCTGCCACTCCCTGGTCCCCTTATGTGGGAAACTCAAAGGGCCAAGGGTACCAAATGTTATCAAAATGTTTTGTGTTGTCATGTATCCAAATGGGCCAAATGGTTCTTATCTGCCGTCACATTCTATGTTTCTATGTTTCTTTGTTTTATGTGTGTATCTTGACCACCTTCACATTTTTGGGTGTCTCTTCAACCCCTTAGGCCCCTTGTGCATCATTTTCACCTGCACCACCAATTCTGTACCATCCCATACCTTTTAGCAACTGACTGTTGTACAATAGTGGAACCTCTGTCATGTTTCTGTACCAATTACATTCAGCTTCAGTGGTAGACAGGTCTGAGGAACCTCCACAGTTGTCTAGCTTGTCCATGCCAAAATCCATTGACAGTGATGGGATGCATACGTTACCACTTTCTAAGATGCTGAGCCTGACCACCTTGCCTCTTTAGTGTGCTGTTGATCTAGCAAACCACTATTAGGATTCCAAATATGAAACTTTGGTATAAATCTTTGTTGGCGAATATTGAATTGTTCATTCAGTCTTTGGTCTGGAAGGATTATTTTTTTCTTAGGGACAATTTTATTTTTCTTATTATTTCCTAGATGCTTCAAATGTCTATGTTTATGTTTTTATTTTAAAGAATGCATATCTCAGAAGCCAGAAGATGGGTACATATAGGGGTCATTTGACCACACTTAATTTGTCCTCTCGGGTCCTAAATATGTATGGCCACAGGAGGGTATTTTAATTAAAATGAATTTTAGCTGATGAACCTAAACTCACAAAAATAATAATCCCACTGCATCCTCTGCAAAAATAAACAAATACAAAAACTTTTTTAAATGATTTGAATGGCATATTCCTGTGTTTATTAAAATAGAATGTGTTAGATGGACTCTTGCTAACATTTAGTTCGAAAAAGCAGTAAGAAGCTGCCTACACTCTTGAATGGAGGGTACAATTAATTCAAAGATGGCTGGGAGTTCCCATGTCACACTAAGGTGGTATATTCTGCATTTATAAGATAAATGTGAATAGCCAAGCTACTCAATTATTATATACCACTCCAACCACACAAAAGGGCATGGACATAGAAAAGAGTCAGTGGCTTCCTCCGAGTTTATAAAGAGCCAATAGGATTTTCCATTAGTTATTATTTCATTAATGATTTGCTGCATATGAGTTAGCAAATAGTACTAGAAAATGACTTTCCTGTTACTGGTCACTAAAACCAGAACCAGGACTGTCAGCTGGACAAAATATTAGTAGATAATAGATAATTAAATCAAAATTGCCATCAATATGTCGGAATATAGAGAGGGTTCATACGTAGATTCAAGTGATTAAAATAGCCTAAATGGCTCTTCTCCTGTC